CGTCTAACTAAACTTATTATTTTTAAATATCAATTCCAATTTTAAAAAATTGTCACTACAGATATATTTATTAATTGGAAGATTTCTTTATTTCATACAGTTGTTCAAATACTTCAGGGATATTAAATGTATCTGTAAAAGATAAAATATAATAATATTGTATGATAAAATACATTTCTGCGGACCGTTTTTACAACACCGATTGAACATTATATAAAACAATATGTCGTGACATTGTTCACATAATTTTTAAAATAATGTCCAAACGATACGATTAAATTCAACGATTTTCGTGATGATTGGTATTTTATTACAGATACGTTTTCGAAATTAAACAATTCTCCGAGAAAAAATATAGGACAATTTTGAATTTTTATTTTTAATAATGAAATAAAGTAGAAGATATAATTTAATTTTCACGAATAGTGTTTTTATAAACAACAAACATTAAGACTCGGTTAATACTATAAGATGGAGACTTTTTTAACGACCCATTGATATTTTACAATTGTTTAATACTAAATATATTACGAAATTTTTAATTTATACAATATATATATAAATATCTTTATATTTTATTTTTTATTCACTACTTATATCTATTTTTTTATAAAAAAAAAACATAAATATTAGGTAAAAATAATGTAATTACCAAATACATGTGTAAAGAACAATTTTTAAATATTCTTAAATACGATAACATTATTATAGGTTTAATATTCTATAGTAAAAAAAAAAATAAATATATATTTATTGTTTACAAGTTTTATGACATATTTAATTGCACGTAATTTTTTGACACACGAATAATGCCCGTGATCAAAATTTAAAAAAAAAACCTATCTGAATATATAATTATTCATTATACGATATTGCGGAAGTTTAGTTTTTTTTTTTATATAAACGTTGACATTATAATATTAAAGCGTGATAGTAAAATTCTAAGGTATCGGATTAATGCTATCTGAATTTATTATACTTTATAAAGAAGATGAATTGAAATTTCAATCTGCGTGTTATATTATAATGTATATTAGCGATTTTGATTTTTGAAGCGAATTTTCCGGTACGTTACACAATTATAATTATTTGTTGATATTTGAATTCATTTTTCATTTCTAAGCATTTATCTAACATAATTTTTACAACATTTATTTCGTAATATTCGGTTAGGCTTATGGCATCAAACGTAAAATCATTAATTGGACCTTCCCCAATACAGTAGTTATCCAGATAATTTGAAGCGATTATATAATCACTCAGAATTAGAAATACGACGGTATCCAACAATATTGTCGTATGGATAAAGTGAATGTCATATCTTACAATATGCTCTACCTAAGGAGTTTAGGAGTATATCAGTGTTATACATATATTCACAGGTTGTAGAATGCATACTTAAATGCATTCTACATTGCTTTCAAGTATTTAATACTTGAAAGCAAACAATTTGTAAACTTCCTGGCACACAAATAAAATATCTCCAAAATAACCCGCAGTTATTTGTCACAAACTCACAACTATCAATTTTGTCATAGTTACCAATCTTCAAATCAACATTTAAGAAGTGTCATCATTAAATTAAAATTTTACCGTAAATAAATTTACTTTGGTTTTCTATTTATATACATTTCTATTTTTTCATTTCATAATTATATTCATATATGAATAGCTCTATGTAACTTGCATGAGCTTTTAAATCGAATACAATTGCCTATGATAATTAAGGATTAAGTATTAAAATTTAAAAAAATATATTAAACGGGTATAATATTTAACAATACCTAATAAATATAATTCGGTAACTTTTGGGTAAAACACTCCATATTTTTTCCAAATAATACCCCCCCCCACAAAAAAAAAAAATAAAAAAAACCCCCATAGCTATATGAGCTCTTATTGAATTTTAAATAAACAGATTGAAAATCCATATGTGTAGGTACTACCTTACTGACAGCAATTAAATAGTAGTGTAATAGGTTGTTGATTAATTAGGTATTTCCCTCTAATTATACGTAACAAAAATAAAATAAATTTACTGTTTTTATTTATTGCAACACATTTAACAAAACATATTTTATTTTTTAATAATTTAGCAACACCACGTGTAGATTCAAACTGCAGAATATTATCTTTTAGGATCTTTTCAAGTAAATCATTTAATATTCTTACAACATTTAGAGAATATTATTATTTAACAATAAGGTTTCAACTATACTTGAATCGGTTTACAAAATGTTACCGAAATATTTAAAAATGTTGTGTTATTATTTTTGGGCAGTTTTTTAATATTTGCAAGATAATTATATAAAATATAAAATAGATGAAACAATTTAAAAAATATGCCTAAAATTGTTAGCCTTCCAGCTCTATATCCTACGATATAACGACTGTGCTACCTATCAGGTATGAAATGGTTAATTGAAAATTATATGAATTCTATTTACAATTAATATGTTTCGAAATTACGTACTGAAATTTATTATAATGTATCAAAGTGTCGATGCAAATTTTATTTTAAACGATATATTTTATACTTACAAAATATTCACACAAAGTTAAATTTAAATTATTTTATTAGTAAATTAACTAAACCATGTCAAACATATTATTTTATATATTATATTGTTTTAAATATAATACAATTATTTAAATATTCATAAAATGTAATAATTCTGAAATATTTCAATTTAACCATTTTGTATAATATTCCTAAAATAAGTATCAATTTTGCGATTTAACTTTCTAGGACATTTCAGCATGGCATCAAATATTTCGGCTTAAAGTCATAGTAGCGAGAACACTATTTCAGTGTGAAATATCATTTTTTTTTAAATTTGTTACCATTTTTCCTAATATTACAATTTGCTATTATTGTAATTTAGTAAAATACTATAACAAAAACCATGAAAATAAGATACTTATGTAAAGGAATACATTATATCGTTATCATATTTGAAAAAAATGATTATTATCATTTTAACAAAAACAATTATGAAATAATATTATGGGCATTGGATAAAAAAAGAAGTATACTTAATCTTCATTAAATAATGATGATTGTTCGTTCGTTCGTTCGTGATCTATAGGTATAAAATCAACAACTACTTATTGTCACCAACATTTGCAAACATTTAACTAGACACTTGAGACTCGAGAAAGCTATGTATCTTTGATTTTTAAAGTTGCTATAGAGTGGCTCACACATGAATTTCGTTTCAACTCAAAAGAATCTAATATTTGTTTTATTTATGTATAGCGTTGCCATTGATTACAAATAATAAAATATTTATGATCAGTATATAAAATCTTCTAAATAAAGTGTAAAATTGAGCTATTGGTAAAGGCAAATCTCGTAAACCATCGGACCGTTTAATACTGAGCTCAAGCAAATTTGAGAGGAACAGCTATTCATATTGTTTAAAACTAATACAAAATGTATTAAATTAAAAAGTTATACCACTATACTTAAATAAATTGTGATCTATACAATTTAAAAAGTTGTTATAATATGATTATAGTATTCATTGACGGGCAGTACTCGAATGGGACAAACAAAACAATAGTGAGTACTGAGCTCCTTAAACAAAATTAGTTACTTCATGAATGAACTCAACCTAACTCATTTACTGTAATTTAGTAGGAGTTCTTAAATATTTTTAAAATAATTGTCGAGTAACTATTTATTCTCGCAAACTTCTTTCCGACAATCCGATTACTACTGATTAAATTAAAAATAATATAACGGTAAATGATATTAATATTTAAGATATTAAAAATTATATTTCATGTCAAAATAGGCTTCTTGCCGAAATGTCTTAACGCCAAATAATTGGATTCGGTATTCACTTTTTATTCCCCTATATCCTCATTTATTCTCCATTTGTCTTAATTTTCAGTACGAGTTTTCTTATTAATATTTTCTTTCAAAACACTTACATCTTTTACATGCAACATTGTCGAGACCTATTCTCCTCATCACAAGCGCCACAGTTTCTTAACGTTCGGGATAGTAAAAACGAATACGGACATTAAAAAACTAAGAATATACGTCACCATAACCTAACATATTATTATCAAAAACTATTTATACGTAGCATAATATATTATATAATTGCAATTGTTTTTTAAAAACGCTAAAAGAAAAATATATTTATATATATATATATATATAATAAGTAATAAACATATTATACAAAATCAATTTTGATTTTCAGGGTAAAATATCACCTAAAACGACATATCATTGTTATTTTTATTTATCTACTCGTATTTAAATTTCAATACAGTTAAAATGAATACGTGTATTAATATTTACTATACGTTATTATATAATATGTATAATTTATCGTATTGCACTAAAAGAGTTTTCTCGAACAATATTCGCTTAATTCATAAAATATTAATATAATTTTATTTTTAAATAGAGCAATATTACACTTTATTGAAGGAAATACATACTGATTTTTTTTTTTTTGAATAGTTAGGAGTATTTCAAAAAATGTACACGGAAAAATATATAATTTGTAATCATCTTTATAAATTTATTGTATATAATATTTTCATCTAAAACAACAAATAGTATTTAAAATTAAAGGTTCGAATGTAATGGTAATGATTTATTTTGTTTTTAAGCATCCCTATTTGTATTTTACCGGGAACCATCGCAAACAGTTAATATCAGTAATATCAGTGGACCGATGCAGTATAACTAAAGTCTTCTAACTCCATCAACTACACAATGGTTGCGCGGTTCATTATTATTGTTTGTTGTTTTCATACGTTTAAATGTAATTAAATGGAGGGGTATCGCATAAAATAATTTCTGAAATAATCCACTGACGCATAAAAAAAAAAAATACGAAATTTCTCAAATAATGAATTAATTTCATTAATAGTCTCATAGTAAACTAGGTGGATCACAGACGCGTAGAGATGTTGCGGCGTTTGCCCGTGAACGGAAATGCCGAATTTATAGGTATGGAAAGACAGAAATGTACTTTTGACATCCGATTGCATGGTCAAATACACACTTATTAGTTATTACTTAGGTTTAACTAAACACTCGGTTAAAACGACTATCCGTAATTGTATAAATAATAAAAAAATATGTTTTTTTTTTTTTACTTGAACGAAAACAATGTCCAATGTGAGACGAATATGATATAACTCTGTCAACGCGTCCCTACTATACCCGCATAAGAGGGTTATTGTTTTTTTATTATAAAAACGATCGCGCGTTAAGGACTCCGACGGAGACATCGCGACGTTGTATTATTAAAAAAAATTGAAAAAAAAAATGAACACATTATTCAACAGTAATAAAAATAATAATAAATATAATATATGTTTTATAAGTATTCGTATATCGACTATACTAGCTGTTATACGGACGCCTCGTCGATGACCGTGATCAGTCTACTGTTCGGCCCTGCGACCAGCCGCCACTTGCCACCCCTGGGGGTCTCCTCCTCTGCCTGTTTGGCCAACGACCACCGCCGACCCTTCCGGTCCATGATGACCGGCATCTCGGCGATAAGATTGTTCTCGAACTCGCTGAGCATCAGATAGTTCTCGACCTTGTTACATGACGTGATACAGTCGCCGATGTAGTCGAGGTCGTCGAGTAGGTTGTCCGGCAGGTCCATATCAGCGATGCCCTCCTCGGATATGCACGTCAGCTCGGGTTTGTCGTTGATACCGCCACCGCCGCCGCTACCACCGCCGGTGATTCCGCCGACTCCAGCGATCCCGGCACACCCGACAAGACCGCCGCCTTGTTGGTTATTGGCCAGCGGCGGTTCCATGACCACCACCTCTTCGGGCTCGACCGTAAACGACAGCCGCCTGCGTTGCGGGCACGAATCGGACACGCACAGTTTTTTTGTGCCAGACTCGTTGTGGTGCTTATGCCGGGCGACGTTACGCCGGTGCAAGTCGATCAGGAACATCGTTAGGCTGCCCAGCAGCACACACGCCGAACTGAAATAATAGCCCGACTTGGCACCGTAACCGATGTTTATGTAACCTAAATAAACGCACAAATTAATTGATTTGTCTGTATACGCGGGACGGGAGCTAACGCGTAGCGGACTTTCGGGTCGTTATCCGGACGACGAGAAACACCTCGGGAACAAAAACATACGAATATAATATAGAAAGCGTTAAGTTGACATCGGAATTAACCGTCGAATTGCAAGTGTTCTAAAAATACCGCCAAAATCGTACACTCTATTATTTATTCGTCTATTATTATCCCTAGACCAATGCTTTTAACGTTTGGCAGGTCCGAAGGTTGCCCCGAGGAGACGGTAACACCGCGATAAAGAATTCGGCGGAATTCAAATCACAATAAGACATTAAAATAATATATTTATCGCATTGTTACTCTTCTCTCAGATTTTGACGATAGACACGGCCCGGACGGAAACAAAAACTTCGTCGGGCGTTTCGGGTAGGCGCGAACAGAAATGCATCAAATGCGACCGCCCGGAGTGGTTATACTCACCGGCAATGGGCACGCCCAGGGCGATAGGTATGGCCTGTGAACACTGGACAAAACCCCAGGTGCGGGCGAAGTTCCGGGCACGGACGCGCTCGTAAGTGTACATCTTCAGCGAATAATGGTAGCCACCGCAGAACATTCCGTACACCCAGGCGAACATGACGTAACCCTGGCGGTCTCCTCGGACCGTAGTCAGGGCCAGTATGGATACGCCACACATAAACACGGACGCCTGGCACAGGTACTGCCGAGCGATCCGGCATTCTACCGAGTTCCGGACCACGATCAGTCCAAACGCCACACAACCCACCGTCCACGCCAGGCCCATGTGGACTTGTAACGTCAATGCCGACTCGCCCAGGCCGTCTTCTTCCGCTTGGTGGGCCTGCGCAAAAGACAAACCGGTTATGTACACAGCGCATGATACACAGTTAAATTTACATAATATTGTTACCTACCGGGGATTCAGGAAAACACATATTATATTACGTCGCGTATTATATACCCACGCCGTTAGTAATCTCGATCTATTCCGTGCATACGGAACGTATTTTCCTAATATTCCTAGTACTCGTTTCATTAGCGGAAACACACTCTATAAATTGAATGGCACTGGTTTTGGACAAAACCTATGCGATACAAAGATGTTAAAATTTGACAAAAAAGAGAGTCGCTCACATTCGAATTTCCGACTACCGTACAAAATTGCATCTTGTGTGATGCTTTTACCGGGTGATTCGTTTAAGCGGGTATACTCGTTACGAAAGTGGAAAATCTCGTCAACGGATTGACGGAAATCAAAAATGTCAACACTATATTTATTTCAACTAATAATACTAATACTATTAATGGAATTTTTACTATAAGTAAAATCAAAAGTCGGTAGTGGTTTTACTTGTAACAATAAATGTGACAAAAAATAACGGTATAAAATAGTAGAGCAGCTTGTTTTATAAATATTCTAAAAAAAAATTCCGGAAAAAGTTAACACTCTCCGAGATAATGAGTGTACAAACTTAAATGGATCATCTGGTATATTGTGCGAAATATGTCCGGATATATTTATTTTATTTCTTATTTTCTACTACACATATATATTTTCATAATACGGAGGTAATGGTCAGGGATTTTAAAATTGAATTTATTCTGCCCCGTTGAACATTTCTCACATCAAAAATAACAAATACGAAACGAGTATTTTAGCTTAATACTTGCACGACAACGTAAACGATGAAACACGCACACATGCACTAGCACGGTCACACACATACATAACCAATAATGTACGGTCCGGAAACCGTTAAAAACGAAACGACCGCAAAATACTTTTCGAGATTTATACACACTCGGTACACGCTCGAGTGCTTTACTATAATATAATATGCGGTCCCCGTCGTTTATATTACATCGAGGACGCATAAATACTGCTATCCGGGTTAGTTTACGCGACGAATTTATCGAGACTTCGTTTAAATACCAATATTCCCAGAGAATTCAATTAAAGTTAAGTTTTATACTAAGACGGCGGGTAGAGTTTACCTAATTGTACGCGCTTCTTCCGTCGCGCAGCCGGAGGTGCAAGGAAGGTCGTAATATTAGAACGTGCTTTTGTTCTTGCGATTCTCTCGCTGCTGGTCATAAGGTAAAGCGTTTTGACCGTTATCCCGTGACATGTTTTGATATGAATGTATACGAATATTCTACAACCGAGTGGTTTCACAATCGAAAATCAGTTTTCATGCGAGCGTTCGAAAAAGTCCAGCCGGTCGTAAACCGAATGGAAAAATACCGTTTTACTGTAGTATAAAAGTTATTTAACAACTTTACTCTATATGATATATCCATTTCGTATAACACTGATATATATATATATATATATATATATATATATTATATGTTTTAGGTTTCCATCGAGTGTGTATATCGTTTCGTTCAGTAGGCCCTCGATTATATATAATATAATAACATATATTTGTAAGTATACGCATTTCGTCCGGTTTTTATCGCTTAATTACGCCGCACACTTGAATATAAATCTGCTCGTATGGCTTTTAATTTCAGCCCGTTTCGTATAAATCTCTATGCTATATCTTTTAATTTGATTATTTTTGTTCTTTAACTCATCCGATAAATTGTTTAAATCGGTTATTCGATTTAGTTTTAGATTCTGAGCGGAGAGAATAAGCTTATGGTTTTGAAAAGATGTTTATTTATTATTTTTATCTGTGAGCAACTTTTCTACCAGAAGACTTGCTCAGATTTCTAAGCATAGCACCTTCTCTAAAAGGAAATCTGTATAGGAAGATACACTAAGGGGGTCATTTTTCAATTTTTCAAGATTTTTTTCATTAAAATTAAAAACCAAAAGAAAAAAAAAACTGGAAAATTTAAGAAAAGTAGGTATTGGTTAAAATATATTACGGCCTTTCTTTTGTCTGTAAACAACTTTTTATCCAGCAATTTTGCTCCATTTTTTTATGATATCAATATTTTTTAAAAGAAATTTCACTATGGAGGTACTTTAGACAAGTTATTTTTTTAATTTTCCGAAGAGTTTTCCAAGCAAATGTGAAATCTCGGGATAAAACATGGGAAAACCGATAAAATGTAGAAAAACTGGTAAAACCTATACAACAGTAAACAAATAATATAAAAAAAAGTATAGAAAGCCTTTTTAATTATTTTACTATAATATTACATATATATTATAGATAAAGCACCACTATCAACTGAACTTTGCTCAGAATCGTTTGTTCGTTAGCAATAGTTTATTGTTGCTTACAGATATACATTAAATTACCTATAACAGTAGCTGCACCCGTCCCCATTATCTTACGTCTTTTTACTACTGCAGTTTGTTTTCCACCTATGTCACCCGGATCCATAGCGGTTGTCGACTGTTTTGAATAATAATATCTATGCTACGCATTTTAATTGTTTATTGAATAGTCTTCTTTAACGTTGAAATCTACTACCATTATAAGAAAATACTTTTCATCGACAACAGAAGATTTTTTTTACCTCAATAAGTTTTCGGTTTCAACCGGTACTTTAAAGTAATCACGATGAGGTGATTAAGTGGAACGAGTAAAACAAATTCAATTTGTCGTAAGCATAGTTGGAAAAAACTATAAGTAAAATTGAATGTTGGTTTATTTATCTTCTTTGTATCAAGACAAAATAAAATGTAACGAAATTAGGATGAATTCTATACACTTAGAACGACGTCAAAAATGTATATACTATACGAGATATTACTACACAAATACAAACGCGTTTTTTTATTTGTAAACTTACATGTAATGTCATATTCAAAAAATTGTTTGGAAAAAAAATATTTCTCGAACAAACATTATAAAAGGAACAAAAACAAAAAAAATACTAACCTATAATGTGCTTATATAGTGTACTAAAAACGATTGAAATTGATAATAGCCATCACAGAAGAGTTTTTGGATTTAATTCTTTGTTTTTTTTTTAGTTATCCGGTAGGAGAGTGTATGTAAAAATAATGGAAACTTCGAATAACCAATGAAATGTGTATAATATGATAACAATCGTAAAAGTGTCGACAAATGTATTAATCCTATAATCGAAAAATAAGTTTATCGGTTCCGGAAATATCCGGTCCTTTTTCCTTTCACCAAATTTGCCATTTCGTTATCTTCATAATGTTTTGACCCTGATGGCTATAAAGTATACGATGTTATTTCTACACGGTATGAACCGTCAAAGCATATTATTACTCTCCCTGACCGAACCCGCTAACCTAACCCAACCCACTGTCACATGAGTAGGTATCAATGGCTTTTAAACAAACGTTCCGACAATATTTATGCACTTGATCATTGCATGGGATGGTAGTTAAGCTATAAAATGGCTGAATTATCGATTAGATTCTCGTAATCAAATAAATAAAACCTTTATCACGGCTCTAATAATAATACTAATGATGATTTGAACAAATGTATTCACATAATATATCCAACATAAAAAAAGACGTCCTAGGATAATGGAGACGGATACAGCCACTGTTATCTATAAGTAATTTAATGTGTATCTGTAAGCAACGAGAAAAAATTGCTTTTTGCTCAATTTAAATTGAAAATAAAACGATTCTGAGTGGATTTCATTTGATAGTTATGCTTTGTTAACAATAAATATGTCATTTTATAATAAAATAATTAAATAGACTTGATATATTTTCTTTTTTATAATATTTGTTTAATGTTGTACCGATTTTCCCATTTTTCCTACGTTTTTCCCGGTTTTCCAATGTAATATAAATATCATAAAAAAAAAAAATTGAAACGTTAGATTTTTTCCACATAATTTTTTACTCAAATATTTTTCGTCAAAATGTAGTATTAGAATTTCTTTTTAAAAACAAATACTACATTACTCATTTTTTTTTTTTTAACCACAAAGTAAGACTCCTGATGTATCTCCTGTTCATTTTTGAAGCATTTCTGTTAAAGTCTAACAATTTTACCAATGAGTATCTACCAAATAAATACTACGTACAAAACTTTCAAAATGAAAATGTCTATATATACCTTAAAAATGACTTTAATTTTTTGAAAACTACCACGTTTAGAAAAAGCAAATATAAGTATTTCGACTTAATTTCACGTCATCACGAATATTTTTAACTGAATTATAACAATGAACATAATTGATAAATAAATAAAATCATTAATTTAGTACATTTACCGTTTTTCTTTCTTTTTATCCTGGTTTTTCTCAGATATTATGAAAACCACTTGGAAAACCAGTAAAATGACCTCTCAAAGTATCATCTGAATAGTATTTCGTTTATGAAATTGGGCCACGCTCACATATCAGAGCAAGATTCCATGTCCAATTTTTGTACGAAGTATAAAAAAAAAATAAAAATAAAAAAAATAAACATTTTAGTAAAACCAATACATTCTTCGCTACACTAAAAATTTAAAATTGAATAAAATTCGACAATATCGCATTTAGCTATAACTATCTCAAAAATCATACCATGTCCTAGAAATGCTTTTTTTAAAGTATATGGTGAAAATTTCAGAGTTTTCCTTTAATTTTCCACCGTCTTCGCTAAATTAACAAAGAATATCTACACAAAATAGTCAGTTACTGCTTTTGGGTCTGTTACTATTTTAAGTGAAAAATTAGAAAGTAAAATAATATTTATAATAGTTTAATTTATATCCGTTTATATTGATAAATCATTGTTAACGGAAAGAAACTCTGAACAAAAAAACTATTTGTCGTTTTTCTTCTTAAGATCTAGAAATAAATAAAAATTATATTAAAAATTAACAGATTTTTTTATTTACTAATAAAATTACATAACAAATCAAAAAATGATCTCCAAAATATATCTAGGATGAAAATTTTTACAAGTAAGTCGATATAAAATTCGTAATTGGAGCAAGATATTTGATAGAATAGTTTTTCACAAACAACATAGACAATTCAATACATTCTTCACTTATTTCAGATTCCGAAAACAGCATTATTAACCTACTAAATAGATAGAATTTGACAGGAAAATCTCTTTGATGTTGACAATTCGAGCATTTGTTTTGGTCGAAATCATGTTTGTAAAGAGAAAAAGTAAAAGAAAAAAAAAAACTCATTATAAAGTAAAATTTAAAATGTATAGATTCTTGACTAAGCTAAGAATCGAAAATAGTTTCTACCGATTGAGGTTATTTTTTAAAAAATGAATAAAAAAAACGTACTTACCAGATAAAATATCGGAGTATTTATGCCAAAAGCGCTGATACCGGTGGACACGAGTAAAATCCGAACCGTCTTACTGCGGAGTGTAGTAAAATCCAAAAAAGGCGGCCGGTCGTCGTGCCGGTTCTTGTCCTTAATCTTCCTCTTCTGGTTCTTCAGATGAAGGATGGCACGTCTCTGTGGATGGTATAGTGATGCTGACCTATAACACGTGCCCAACAGAAACGTCGTAAATACCGTGGCGGTAACCAGCTGCAGTCCCAATCGCCATCCAATAGCGCTGAAAAACAAATTCGAATGGGTGAAAGATTATTCCTTAAACAAATTATCAGTTTGCAATTTTGGTCTGAACGACAATTATAAAGTGGACACTTCCATCCCGTAATGATCAAACTTTTATAGGTGTTATATTTATGGGGATCGACTGACGGTGCCTCCTAAACTCTAAGCCCCGAGAGAAATATGATATACCCGGCACTTTTCAGGTAATATATGATGCACTTGAACGTCGTAGATACACAAATGCATGTCACGGTATTATATAAGGTACTCGGGTCCTATAAAATATTACGCTTACGTATATCTATGTAAGTATTAACTATACAAATCTGGTCAGGCAGGTTATATCCCGTGTCAATTGAATAGAAACGTATTACGGCCAACTGATTTTAGTTTCTAAGCTATGCAAGAAAATATATTGGTTTTATAATGTTAGTTTATGTTTGTATGTTGCGTATGTTTAGATTTGGGGCCTATTTTTGTATTTTCTTTAACATTTTTTTGTTTTTGAACAACTTTTCTACTACAAATCTTGTTGAGCAAAAGTAATTTTTTTTGATTTGTAAAATGGCAATTTTTTACGGCAACTTGTCGTCCTGGTTTAATTATTTTCATATTTGCAAGCGATGATTTCTATCTGAAATATTACTCCAATCGAGTTTCCCTTAATATATAGCCACTAATAGAGAAAGGCCTTTTTTTCATATCTAAATTAATTTTCATAATAATCTGGAAGAACCACAAAAGACAAAGAATGCGGCACAATAATTTCATTATTTTAACATTTTTTAACAGAAATATAGTTTAATGAAAAACAAAACAAGTAATCTTTTATGCTGAATCTTTAATCGTTTTGGTGACCACGAAAGTCCTTTTTTGATTCTGTAAAATTTCAATTTTGGGTAATGTTCCCTTTTTGTAATTAATGATTTATATATTCTCTTATAAGGCTATAAACTTTATTTTTTCTTTACGTTTTTAAACTGAGAGGGGGTAAAAAATAAGTTATATTGATGGGAATAAGTGATTCATAAAATAAAAAAATTATTCTAGCTTGACAAAAACTAGATCGAAATATTAATATCCAGAGCTTCCTCCCGCCAACATTTTTTTCTGAAACTGAAACTAACGATTAAAAATGTTATTAATCGCGAATTTGTTATTTGTTTCTGGAAGTATCTCATGTATCTTTTAAGGGTACCGAAGATTTTCTAATAAAATCTCGACTCTGATCATACAATTACTTAGGTGCCAAACAACGAATTGCCCTTACTCTCTATTCGAAAATCGGTTTTTAAATTCCAACTGCAATTCAACGCGCATTGTAATACCATGTAATTGTAGTAGATAACAAATAATACTAAACATTAAAAATAACGCGTATCTCTTCTTAGTTGCACTGAAATTCGGAGTTACGTAAATTCTACTCTACTATACAATACCTAATGGCTCCTTTTATGAAACTCGACATGACGGCTATGCCCATCCCGCTACCTGACACGATGAATATCTCGACAAACTCGCGTTTCCGTTTGAAGTATTGCGCCACCATCAGCGTGGAACAATCCCTAGTCATTCCGACGCCGATTCCTGGAAACAATTATATAATAATAGAATATTAAAATATCTTATAAAAGTAGGTAAGCACCTATATTTATTTATTAAATAAGCGCGACTATGCGGCGCTGGAGTTATAACTGCAGATAATATATACATAAATGGGATATCTCTATACTTAGTAAACATGGTATACTGTGCCAGAAGAGTATAGTTGTTATCATAATGGTTACATGCGGTAAATTCTGATCTATGATTAAGGATCGAATTTTATCAATCGGCTATCTATATTCAATGTAATCTGCCAACTTTTTTAAACTCGGTTGATGTCTAATTTTAATATTTAAAGTACACTGTAATATTATGCATTCAATTAAAATTTAACGACGTTATTATTTGTAAAGACTACATTGTGTATAATTATTAGTATTATTATTGACAAAGTAATAAGTGTATATGTCTCCTGTCAGTGTTGAGATAATTATATCCATGTAACCGCCTTGGTAGCAAATATACCCTTCCCAGCATACGGAGAACAATAGTGTATTCTTTACGCCTATCTATATGTATATAAATTATCTATGGACAGGGCCGTGTTTAGAGAGAAAACGGATAGGGTCGGGCCCTGAGAATTGAGTTTTTACTTAGTTTTGGGGCCTTGTGGTCGAAACAAAATACGAATTATACTATAACAAAATGTAAAAATACTTTAAATATCGTCTTTGGTCTCGCAAATCTGAAGGACGTTTCTGTCTTTGATTATAATACTTCAAAATGTACATAAAAGAATGCGAGTTATCTATACGAGTACAATACGATTGCGCGCGCTATATTATCTGTACTTCTCCGTAACATTGCCAAATATTACAGTTTTACGACTATTTTCTGATTATGTATTAGAGACGTATATTGAATCTGGCTGTTTATTTCTCCCTGAATAAATATCTAAATACTATTTAAATTATAAATGTTTATTATTACCGATACTATAAAAATTAACCGACACTAAGGATGAATTGGCAATATTTTAAATCATAATTTTATATTATGTTTATTATCTTGGATCAGAATATTATTATCTTTATTGTAATTTCCCATATAGGTACGTTCGATTATACCTAAACTATAATCGCGCATGTGTATACAATTAACTAAAAAAATATTTTAAATTTCGTCTCTGGTCTCGCAAATCAGAAGGACATTCATGTCTATAATTATAACACTTCAAAATCAACAAAATGCGATTTATTTAAACAATAGAACTTCGATTATCTAAAACTTCGTTATTCGAACCTTCCATTATCCGAACGTTATTTCGTTTCAATTCATGTATCCGAACGTTTTTTTATCTTAAAGTGTGCGAGATTTAGCTGTTGAAAAAGAGCATAGCAGCGATTCATCAAATAAATATTGATAACTTTATGTATAATAAGTCTTTAATAATATTCTTTTATTCGTAATAAGTAATAACATAAATTTCATGTGTAATAATAATTATAATAAGTCAATAATATGTAATAATAATTCTATATTTATTATACAAATGATATATTTTTTAAATTTTTCTATCCGAACTCAATGTGGTCCTGATTAGTTATGATATTCAAGGTATACTGTAAATTTTGCAACAAACAACAAGGATTAAAAACGCGCATTATTCCCATCCTTAAAACCAAAACTTACATGAAACATTCGTGTAGTTGAATGCCGTTTCATGTTAGTAAAATAAAATCTATCTGTTTTCCCGATTTGCCCATGTTTTTTGCATTTCATGCATGAGAAAAAATCGAAAATTGACTTCCTTAAAGTACTTCCCCACACCGATTTCCTTTCAGAAATGGTGCTATACTTACAAATTTAAGCGAGTCATCTGGTAGAAAAGTTATTCAAAGATAAAAAAAAAAAATAAATAAATAAATATCTTTCTAAAACTATAAGCTTTTCGCTCCACTCGGACTCTAAAAAAAAAATAAAATATTTTACCGTTTCAAATAAAATCAGTTTATTTCGATTTCCAACATATCCTGTAGTAAAGAACCTAAATAATCATAATCCGTTTACAAATTGAAAACTCGTCAAACACAATTCTCACAGCTTTGTCTGGCTTTTAAGACCAAGCCGATTAAAGTATACACCGTTATCAATCCCCTTGAGTGACCATTAGAAATGATCACTGTATCATAAAATATGAGAGTTTCTAAAACCATACGACCCTGTTGAATTGTTTTAGAATTACAATTTATATACGAGTGATGTTGATAAAGATTACCTCTGTATGTCGTTGATGACTAAGTGAAACTTTTACTTTTTTCACGTTTTTTAGAGACATTTTATTGTTCTTCGGAGTTCAATTAAACTGCACATACAAAACGTTTACGAAAAGTAAAACGAATAAAATATACACCTGTATATTTAATAAAATATATATAAAACTCAATAAATACAATAGAATATAATAATATTGATCGAGAGACACCGCATAAAATTTAATTGAGATGAGCATAATTTATGTATAGAAAAATAAAACGTCTGAACTAAATAATAATTATCAATAAATACGTTGGATAGGTGTGGGCTGTAGGTACCTACGTAGCTAAAATTGAAATGTAATTCCGTATTTAAACCTTTCGTAAAAAAGTAATTATATTATTAATTGGAAACACGAAAATTATAATGTACGGGGTAAGTACCTGCGTTCGTAAACAAACATTAAATTAATTTTTTTTACGGGATATTAATTATATACTTACTCACATTTTTTTTGTTCAATTCGTACGAACGAGAAATAAATATAATAATCAATTGCCTTATGTAAACGACACAGTTAATAGAATTTTAACTATAATCATTCAAACAAAAAAAAACATTAATTTAACATTACCTATACCAATTAAAAAAAAAAAACCAATCAACATCAGCTATATAATCAACTATATATCAGCCATATATATTAATATTATGATAAAACAATCATGAAAAAAGTAACCGGATCGATAAAATGCTTGTTATACTACCTAGCAGCGATATATTCACTACTCGGTTACCCAGTGCTACCTTGTTATTTGAAATATTTCAATGCGAATTGATAATACGGGATGAATTTTATGTACTCTTTCTGTCCGGAATGTTTAGCGATATTTCTTCTATGTGGATAATGTCCGAGATAATTTTCTACAATCTTAGAAAATCTTATAAATAAAGTTTAATTCAGATTAATTGTGCATGTTTATCATCAGTATGATATTAAATAGTTACTTTATGCCAAAGAACGATTACAAAATAAATACTATATTACTTTGATACGGAACAATAATTACATATATAAGTTAGGTACCTATACATTATGTAACAGGAAAAACTTTTTTGGTTTTTTTTTTTTTTTTGGCTACCTCAGTCTCGTACGACGCGGAATTTTATCATAAAAGTGTATCGTGTTTTGAAATAGAATACCTACGTAACCACAATGATAGTATTGCCAGTACTGTTGGCAAAACTTCAAACTTTTTAAACTTTTTTCGTCGCAGAAGTTTTAAAAAAGTCAATTAATAAGGATTTCAGTGCACGTTCGTATTAAAAATATTATTATTATTATTATTATCATCTTTTCCTCTCAGAGTTCAAAAACAATTTTTATCATTTCTCGACACTTTTAGTGGTAATATAAAATATGACCAAACGTAATAATAATATTCGGATTTTATTTAATTTTATAATTATATAAAATAATTTATAAGAAAAATATATAGGTGGTATTGCTATTTTTTGAATATACATTACTGTTTTTTTCGGTTATTTTCAACTATTAAAAAAAAATACGGGCAAAATAAGTAAACGACTTTCATAATCATCAACAAGATTAAAAATTCAACAAAAAAGGTTTCTTAGTTGCTTTCTGTTGGGGCAGAAATATTTCTGATGTTTCAGAATATTTCATAATATCGTGTAAAAATATTTAAAATAATATAATCGTTTTTTATTTTTCTTCTTTTTCTGGTTTTCCCAATTATTGTGAAAACTACTTGAAAAATCAAAAAACGAATTTCTCGGTGACCATCTAGATCCAAAATAAAGTACGAAAATTCTCTTGTTTTTCTATTGGCGCAAAATGTCTAGTAGAAAACATAGTTCGCTACGTTCTGAATCTAAAAAAAGTTTAGTATATCACGTGTTTTTTAAAGTTTTACGATATTTCAATGCAACGAGGAAAATATTGGTTTTACTGTAATTTTAAATTATTAATTTATGCGATTTTTTTTATTGTGCCTGTGAACAAATTTTTCAATAAAAATTTTGTTCCTACTTATGAAAGTAGCATCTTTTATGATAAAAAATTAGTTGGTACGTTTTGGAGTTATAGATTTATAATTTTTTTCGTAATTTTCTTAATAATTCAGGAAATATCCATGAAAAAATGTAGGAAAAATAGGAAGTTAACAGCAATAACATTTTTATAATTTTCGAACAACTTTTTTGTTACAATTAGATTAAACAAAAATCATAAGAACCACGGCATTTCAAAATATGTTTAACCGAACTTCGTTAAGACTTTTACTAACAAAAAACTAATAAATAAATAACTTATGTATACTACCTCCTCAAATACTCAGCTACAACAATGGCACGCCTATCAGTAGCATCAGCTGTTTTTTTTTATTCGATTTTAAATAATAAGAATTTAGTGGTTGTACTATCGTCACGCGTGTGTGTAGAATGGTAATAATTTTCGAGGAATTGAAAACTTCAAAGGCGAAAACCATTGTACGTTTATAAAGAGGAAAAAAGTTATTTCAGAGATTTATATTTTTTTGGTAAAAAGTACAATACGTGCCCCAGATTCTAAATTGATTTTCTAATTATTATTATACGTCTTATAAGTGGGTGGTCTCAAGTACAAAATATAGTTTATGAATGTAAAAATCGTTTAGTATTTTTTTTTTTAATCCCGGGATTAATTTTATAAGACAATACGTTAAATCGAATAGTGTTACCGTTGCCACATTATTATTAAATTTTTTTTTTCGAGTCTATATTGTGCGTTTTATATATATTCGGTATACACGTGGTCTGCTCATGCAGGTATTATAATAATACTATGGTAATTATTATTCGCCTAAAATCGTTTTCTTTCTTTTACACGCACACACAATATAGCTGTGTATCAAACAATGTACAAAAATAATAATAATATTCGTAAACACTCGTGTATAATAGCTTTGGTTAATGCTGAAACTATATTATATGGCGGTTTGTTCCACCTTCCCCCCCCCATATCAACTATCGTCTTTGAATAAAATCTGACTGCACCCGTGTGACCTAAATTCAAAGGTTTTCATTCAAACCCGGTTTTTGCCCCCTTTAAATAATTTATACATTCGGACGAAGATACTTTTGTCGCAAGAGCTGTTATCCGTTCCGTTTGGATCGTTCGCGGATATTCACTAGGTATATTATATACTATGTAGAATACTATTATGTTCTTTCACATCGTTCGTTATGTGTGCAATACTGTAATCTATACGCAGTGTATGTTTTTGCTCGTATACGGTAAAGCGAAATATTTCAGTCGGGCAGACGTACATTGATACGAGAAAAATGTATAGCTTACATTTTCTAAAAGGGGAACACCCTTTTCAACACCAGATTCGAATTGAGCAACTTTGATAACTACTAACATTCTTTTTTTTGTACCTCAAAAATTACCTAAAAAACGCCCTATATATTTAAACAAGTAAAAACTTATGCCGTTGTTATTTGATCATTATCTTTGCATCTATTTATATAGTTGTTTACCTACAGAAAATGTATTGGTCAAATGTCTTATTTCTAAAGAAATGCGTTTTAAATTATTTGAAAAGACAATTAAAAAATGCAAACATATATATTAATAATATTATGTTAAAAATATTGCAGTTTGAATTTGAAGTTAAAAATAGTTGTTTCAACTTAAAAAAAGTTGTAAGTTGTATTGCGCATAAGCTCACCGTGAGGGTTAACATTTTGCTAAAAACATATGCTAAAAATTCGTATTTATTAGAACCATCGATGTCCTTAAAAAAAAAAAAAGCTCACACCCAATTTCCAATTACAAATCAATCTGGCCAAAATATTTCGCGTTTCCATTCGAGTAAAACACACTGTATACAAAATAAAAGTGTTTTTAGTAAGCAACCTGTTTTATATTAAACAGTTACAGTCAAATCATATTTTTATCATTTTCTAGTTTTTTTAAATAGGCAAATAAAATTTGACGGTAAATTATTATGGATGTATAATACGCCATAATATGAGTTCCAAGATAATTATTTCGTATTCATTTAATTGTATCCTTACGTTTTCGTGTTATCGCTTTAAGGTATCAAAGTAGAATAAAAACCATTATTTTTAAAAATAAAAATGTAAATTCATATTATAAAACATTTAAAGTTTATAATGGAAAAATGTAAATTTCACTGGAATTACTATTTACGCGTACCTACCTACACCATAATTCCAAAAATATCTTCAAAAAATCTTAATCGACAAAGTAACTCTGTCATAGTTAATAATTTATTGTTAGGATTTTTCTTTTTTCCTACCTTTTGAACACATCAACTTTGTATTATTTTTGTACTATTATAATTAAATAATATACAATTTATTTAACAACGTGCATGGTGGTAATAATTTTGTTTTCCTTATTTTTAATTTGTATAACTAATCTATATTATTTTATACATTAAATATACATGTATATGTAGATCAGTGAACAATATTATTTGCTTAGGATTATAAGGGATTTATACAGTAGAAAAAAATGATAAATAATTGTTTTGTTACAAAAGTTTAATTAATATTAAAATTCTTATTAAGAGGAGATATTCGAAAAAAATTATTTATTAGTATTATATGATTAATATATATTAATATATTTTTATTATATCACAGAATTTATTTATTTTTTTATGATGATCCAGCGATTTCATCTAGATATTTGTAAGCTAATTTGATGTTTGTTTTATTTTAAATTATCTATGAAACTATTTAACCTTTATTGGAATACTTTTTTTAAAATGTTTACCCCTACTCATTATACTTTAAATGAAAATTAACTTTAGATTTCCGAATTAGATATTTCTTTTTCAACAAAAGTTTGAAAAAGTGTTTTGCATTGCATAATCAAAATCTTAAGAATATTTTGAAGGAGAAGGGAGAAATGCTATTTAAAATTTAAGAGTAAAAGATTACCGTAATAAATGTTGAAAATATTATATATGATATTATTATTATTAAACCATTTTATATAATGACTAAAAAACTAAAATCAACTGTACACAATAAAAAAAAAAAAAAAAATAAAAATACTCTATATTTTATTTGTTTATTTAATAATTTAGTATATATGAAGTGATTATTATAACAATATTGTTGTATATTATTAATAAATAATTAATTTGTACTAGAGTTTAGAATATGCAGTTTTTATAAACGATTTGATTACAAAATCATAACTTCAAAAGATATTTTATAATAAAGAATATTACTGCAAGTCAATTTATATTATTAAATTAGTATGATAAGTACCAAGTACCGTTTACTCGTATTTAAATGTAGAAATTCATATTTTTGAGACGATTTATTCAGATGAGGTCAATATGTATTCTTTAAAATTAAAGTTGATGTATGTTTTTTTATTAATATTGTAAATATTGAAGAGGTATATGTTACACAATAAATTGTTTTAATAAAAAAAAAAATTGTACAATTTATTTGGTATGAAAAATAGAGTTAAAAAAAACTACACAATAACTATAGTTTTCCAATCGATAATTAACGATCGAAAAAATTAATATATTTTATGTCGTTAAATATATCACGTTCACTTATCCATCTCATCATTTTAACACCCTCTCCACTGTCATTACGGAGTTCACTACATGGTTGCTTTATTTTTATGCTCGCGTCACCCACTCTTTCCCTCATGATTTGTTATCATCGGGTACTAGAATGAAAATTGTAAGTAACATGTACTAAAACATTTATGCGTACATATTTTAAAAATGCACTAATTATTTATTTATTGTTTTTTTTCAAATGAAACTATTCATCGTTATAAAACATATTATAATAATATTTTAACACACATAATACATACAGACACCTAATTTAAGAATAAAAAATATAAAATCGATTTTATTCATGTTACAAATCAGATAATTAATGTCAGTATTATTTCAAATATATTTATTTTTAAATTATATTCGATGTAGGTACCGATATTATTATCATTTTAGATATGTATTTTTTTTTAAAACCCATAGCGTAATATGATTATACTTCACGTGATCTGAATAATACAAATTCACTAATAATTTATACACGATACAATTATTATTCACGTAACATAATATTTGTAAACGTTTTATAAAATATTTTATTTATGTACTTAATCAAATTCGGTACCATTGATAAACGAAAAAAAACAATATTGAAGTGAAGTAAAATTATACAGAAAGTAATTTTTACATTTTGTTCTAGTGATATTAAGTAAATTTGATTTCTATTTTTCTTAATCGTTATAAAATTGTTTAAACTTTAAAACTATTTTATATCAATTTTTGGAAAATAACCCTCCGTCGTCCTTTAAAATATTCTCTTTTGGTATCTGGTATACATGGAGCTGCTGTTCGCTATTTGTAAATAAAAAAATTACTCTATATACATAAAACGTATAAAGAACAGTATCCAATATTATGTTGAATAGAAAAACCCAATGTCAGTATATTATTGAAATTTCTATCGAGTAATTTTTTTTATCACTTAAAAAATAAATAAAAATAAAACTTTATTCTCTCCACACTTTTCGTTTGATTTCTATGTGTAATTTGTTTTTATTCGTTTTGGTTTATATGTGCACCGTTATCGTTTCACACGAGAAAATATACCCAAGTTTCTTTTTTACCGGTAAAAAAAATTTTGGTTGTGCAATAATATTTTATAAATAGCTCTCGAAGCAACTCGCATAGAAATTGCTTTTATGCGAGTATTTATTTTTTTTGCAGCTATATTATTTTTTTTATTTTTTAGTTACAATAGAAATATTTGTTGAGTCACATTTTTTTTCTACTACATGAGACAATTCCATTGTTTTTATTTTATACAATTTCCAATGCGACTTTTGAATCTGTTTTTTTTTTTTTGCTCTGTAGAAGAAAAGTTTCAAAGTTTCTAATTCGTGCACTTTAACACCATATAACCGAAAATTTGAATAACCGTAAAGTTGAGACTAGAAAAAATATCAATGCTTATATATATATATAAGTACGATTATAATATTATATATAATCTAATACTCTTAGGAACAGAAATAGTACATTCCAGATCTAATATGTAGTATAGAACTTAGTGGTCATTAAAAAAACCGTGCCAAGTCAAATTTCTTTTGCTTTAAATAAAATTATTTACTTAATATTACACTGACAGTGCAACATCCAAAAACAAATAAGATCATGACGATTTATTTGTAATCCTAGGGTAAACTATTTACTAATTAACTGTTAACAATAATTATAAAGGAAAATAATTAGATATTATAAGAAAATAGTTAATTTCGTTTGTTGTCATAATATTCTGTACAATTATAATGAATTAAAATGTCGGTGAGCCACTAATTTTGGATGTTTATATATGTCGTCTTCTGTATGCATCGCGTACAGGACAGTGTCTGAAAGTAAGCATCTTATTTAGATAGAAAGTTAGATAGGTGTAAAATAAATGCAAATTGTGTTTACCTACTAAAAGAAGCAATTCAACCGTTGAAATCGAAAAAAAAATTCTAAGCAAATCTTGGAAACTGATAAGGCGGGTTAGGCAGCTTGATCAGTTCATATTACATAAGAGATGCATTAAGATCTCGAATATACATCTTGTATAGCTTATACTTAATAAACACCAAGTTTTAAAAAAGAAAAATGGTGTATTCTAGGCTATAAACGCCACCTGTTTTATTAAATAATATAGTGCAATGGCTGCATCCAATTTATTATCTGTACCGTCCTATATATTTGCATTTATACCAATACACATAAATGGTATGGAAATATGTATTTTCAAGATATTTATCTATAGCTAAAAAAGTATATTATCTGTGTTTATTGTTTACCATATTTTTGTCCTTTTCTGTCAGCTATTTTTATGATTTTGTAAATTCTGTCTGTTTTTGACCGGAGATCTTGTTCCAATCACACACGTCAGGGTGGTATTTTAGTAAATAGCGAGTTTTATCTACAGTATTTGTGTATTGGAAAGTTTTACTCGTTGGATATACTTATTTTAGAATTATTTATAATTAATTTATATTGTACATTCCAAAATATATTTTACTATAAAATATGAAAGTTACAAGCTATTTCATGTGATATATCATTATCACAAATATTTATTGTGTATTTATTGATGTTTAAGAAAAAAAGAACGTTCCATGAACTAACAAATAATTAGTTAAACTAATATTTATTCTACTATATATATATATATATCCAATTTGATGTGATTAAATAGACATCATAATAAAACTATTTCACAAATTACATTTATTAAATATCACCCGATACACATAGTGTATAATATATTATACTAGAATAATTTAGACTAGTTTGTGGCACACATATTATATACATATACTGTAGTGTAAAATCGTGGTTTAGTCGAATAATGTAACCGAGTCACGTTTATTGATAACACAGTTGACATAATATATTATTATTATTGTTGTATTATGTTTGTCTCTTCGGTTTAATATGCACGAATTGACGTGTGCATCATGATAAAATAATATGCAATACATACAAAAATATAATAATGTGTCTTTGATGGACTGCAGTACACGTTGTTATGAAAAAAAAAAAAACAATTTGAAAGTTACATAAATAGATATGTAACTTTCAACATTTTTATGTAAGAATAATAGGTACGCACAACAACATATACAAATAGTAATATATTAATATGTTGGTTTTCAAAACAACGAAGAAACATTTCCGAATTTGGACAATTTCGTGTTTTATAATAATACGTATATATAATCTACGTAATGAACCTTATATTGGTAAACTCAATGTTCCGTGCCACGAGTGTCCAAAAATATATAAAGAAATCTTAAAATGTGTGACGTATTCTACTCGTACAGCATGTAGGTATAACGTAATTTCTAATAACGTGTCTCTTGGTATGCTAAAACGCGATTAAACTTTAAACGGAGCTCGCTATTTAAACTTTAATTATATACATACGATCGTTTGAATTTCGGACCATTTTAATTCTATTTAAATCGATTTCTGAACTCAGCGATAAATACATATAATAATAAGATTGATAAAAATAAATGGGTTTTTTTTTTTTTTTTCTTTTGGGATAACTGCTAAAACTAAAAGTTTTGAAACGCTTGCAGTGTACGGATTTGGAAATATAATGATCACAAAAAAGATACTACCGTCATTGAAATATTTTTACTGGTTTTTGAGACCACGTAAAATTAAAAAAAAAAAAATAATAATTTATAATTAAGTCGTCTTCATTGTAAATATAACGTAATAATTATTACTTAATAATTGAACAAAACCGAAAAAAAAAACGTATAAAAAACAGAGAAATTTTCGGAAGTAACGCCTTTAATAGTTTCAATTTTGTTTTTTTGTTATAATTCAGTTGAAATATTCCTAAAAACCAGAAAATATTTCAACAAAAAACTTATATTGGTGTTTCTAATAAATTATAATATTTTCAAAATATTCTGAAAACATTGTGAAGCTATTTATTGGCATTTTACATTTTCTAGTGTTTTACATTGTTTTTCATTGATAGGTGTAATACGTGGATATTGATAAAATTGTTTGATCAAACAAAAATACTTGAAAATTTAACAAAAGGTTCATTATGAGTTGTACTTAATTAATAAAAAAAAATAGAGTTTAATGTAATCGTTTTGATGAAAATCGTAAATATTACGGCATTTCAAAACATGTATAATTGGACTTCACTTAGAATCGTACTTCGTTAGCAACGGTTTATTGAAATTAATTCAATAACTTAATGTATCCCACCTTCCCACGTGAAACAGTGGCACGCCCGTCCCCAGTATCGGCTATATTCTGTTTGTCCTTATCGCCAGGACTCCCGTTTTAACGTTCGGTAGGGAACTCGGGCGAGTTTTGCGTAATATATTATTCGTTTTAATATTATTATAATATCGAGCACGCATGTATTGTTATTATCATTATTGCTTACTATCTTTTATTATTTTAACGTTTCATTCGGGATGGTAATTTTTTTTTTTTATCGCGGCGGGTCGTACCCAAATAATATAAAACCGACAAGGCAACTACGACTAAACATACAGTGGTCGTGCAATAAAATAATATTATAATAACAGTACAATTGAATTTCGGTCACGTCCCGTCCGGTCCGCGAAACGGTCGAATTTCACTGTATACGGCGGATCGTTTTTATTTTTTTATTTCAAGTTTTTTTTTTTTTTCAAACACCGTCAACCGCAGACACGAACGCGATAACAATAACGTAGTAATAATAAATATTGTTACGACCCGTACAAATATAAACTACACACTATACGATGACGATGTGTGTATAAAATATATTATACGAGTTCCACGCCACGGAAACGTAGGCGACGAATGACGTTTTGCCGCCGTAGTATTACCATCACCATCACCATACGTAAAATATAATCAGCGGCCGCGTTATCAGTCTCTAGTCTCTGGGTTTTCGGGGTTATTAATAATATATTATTATTTATGATTATAATATAGTATTTGTTGATATGAAGTCGTAAGATGCAATATTATTATTATTATTATTATTATTGTATCGTCACGATACCGCCCCGAACACTTTTTTCTGTACGTAATCGATAAAAAGACGCGATAATGATATAATATAACCTCCTCCCCCCAAAAAAAAGAACACATAGTCGGGACATATAGAAATTTGGTTTACACACTCAATAGCACAAGAAATCATAGCGAACGAATAAGAACAATTCTGCAAAACATAGCTCGTAGTTGTATTGGTCTCCTTCATATTGACTTTTATAACTATTAGGATGGGCCGATATATAAATGTTATCGGTGTCGGTATTGAAAAAAAAAACCGATATTTTGGCCTACAGTTTCTGAGAAAAATGTCTATAATGTTTCTGGAATATGCAAAAAACATTAAAAACCATCGGGCGTTATATCAGTTAATTTCAATATAAACCACGATTAAAAATATACTGGTTACACAACGAACTTAGATAAGAACGGTAAAATGGTAAAATAATATCGTAATATGAACTCGTGATTTTCAATATTAGATTCAGAGCGTAGCAAAGGACCTATTGGTTTTACTATGATGTATTATTTTTTCGGTCTGTGAATAACTTTTTTACCAGAAATCTTGCTCCGATGTATAGACTATATAGAGAATAGTTAAATTGTTAAGATTGTATTTTTCTATCAGAAATCATTGTCAAAATTTCAAGAATAGTATATTTTTCTGAAAGAATATTTGTTCTATTTCGTGAATAAGAAAGTTTTTGTTTAATTTACCGTATAGTTTTACTAATAATTATGAAAAACCAGCAAAAGGCATAGGAAATACAGCCAAGTGTACGATATTATTGTATTTTTTTTTTCAGTTAAAAATTATCGTAGATACTTGCAGTGTTTGAAATATACTAATATTGGCCTTTTGTAAACGTGATACAATTTTCAAAATATTCTAGCTATTTTTAGACTATTTATAGGTATTTGATATTTTCGTGTTTTTATAATGTGTACTTTTATTTAGTAGGTTATTAAAATATTATAAGACTTAAGTTAGACGCCACACCGACATCTTCTACCGTAATTTAAAGGTAAGATGATTACATATGCTCAAGCGTTGATGTTTTTCGATATTTTGATTTTCGAGCAATATATAATTATTTTAAAATTGTGATGATTTACATACTCATATCTCACTTAAAAATAAAAATATCGAAAATACATTTGCACATAATAATCTTCTTACATTTAAGTTTGGTAATAAGCAGAGCGAAGGCTTAATGCATTTTTCAAATTCACAAAAAAGTTACCAAAATGTCAAAAAAGACCTACCTTTTAAACTTTACACTTATAACAGTGGCTTCACCCCTACCCAGTATCAGCTCTTTTTTTGAAATAAAAAATATCGGTTTTATATTGGAATATCGGTAAAAAGTGGTATGCGCCTATCTATATTTTAGAGCACTATCTTTAGGAAATTAACAATACTACTTTCCTCTATTTCTTCCGATCCTGGGCAATATTTTTCTGACCATGCTAAACTTTCCAAATAACATCCAACCATCATTTTCTGGATTTCTCTCTCTCTTGATTTTCAGTTTATAACAGCTTTAAAAGTGTTATTTCGTTATTTCTGCACATTGCGTTGCACAAGCCGTTTTAAACGTTAACGGCCCTTTATAAATCTTGTGATTACTCGTTGATTATTTTTCCATGCCTTTTAAAATTAGTTTACCATAAACCCTAAAGTTGTTTTATCTGATTCAAAAATTCTTAAAAGTCAATTTCATTAGCCACCATCCCACACAAGTACAATATTACCATTGAAATTAATGACATATTATAATACAGCTATAGTTCGATAAGTATTTTTTTTTTTTTAATATTAATTTTCTCGGTCGATATATTTTGTCTTTAAGATCGTTTATTATCCAGAAAAGTACTATTATACGTATACGTACATAAAACTATATTTTTCATAACTTTTTTCTTCAAACAGTCACTCTAACATTTATTTATAATCAACAACAACAACAAACATTTTTAATAGAACTATATTTGCATTTTATATTACAAGGCTAGTCTACTCACTAAAGCCTATGGTTATAGTGTACGTTTGGTTCAAGAACAAAAAAGTTGTCCTAGGATAATGGGGACGATTATAACCTCTGTTATAGTTAGTAAAGTGGAAAATTAGGATACAGTTGGAAATTGAATGTACTATTATTTCTGTAAGCAATGATTAACCATTGCTATAGCAAAAAACCAATTCTCAGCGGAGTTCAGTTGATAGTGTTGATTTGCAAAAATATATAAGGTAAATAATAGTAAAATAATTACAGATGCATTAAATATTTTCTTTAATAATTTTTGTTTAATACCGTACCTATTTACCGTTTTCCTGATTTTCCAATTTATTGGCAAAACTCCTTTTTGGAAATCAAAATAAAACCTCCTTAAACTTTAGAGTACATCCCTAGTGAAATTTTCTCTCAGAAAAAGTGCTATCATTATGTAAATCGAAGCAAAATTGCTAGTAGAAAAATTGTTCACAAGAAAAAAAAAAATTATATTTTATTACACATATTTGTACATTTTCCGGTTTTTACAATATATTAAAAAAATAATGAGAAAACCAAAAATTATTTCCCTAAAGAACCATCCCATTCAGATTTACTTTCAGAAAATTTCGAAAAAATAGATTAATTTTTAACCAGACACAAATTGCAAAAAGCAAATAGTGGATAAAACTTATTAAATTCAACATTTAATTTTATACTTCAAGCAGATGCAAAATATATAATTTTTTCTTATTTTAATGAACCAAAAAGAATTAATACATAGTTTATGATTTATAAATATTTTTCACTGAACAAAAACGAAATGTTGAGGCATGGAGATAACAAAAAAACATAAATAATTTATGCTTCATAAAATATTATAGTGAGCAGGTTGATAATATTATGCAAGTGAATCATAATTTTTTCGATTTGTGTTCTCGAAATTTCCAGAAGAATAAATATAATGAAAAACGATAAGAAATGATTTTTCAAAAGCTCAATTCCTAAGTGGCCACGTTTGAATTTTTAACTTGGGATACAAAAATCTGATTTCTGGTTTCCATACTCACGCAAAGTAAAAAAAACCGTTTTTATATCATTTAAATTTAGCTGTCACGGTTAGTATTATGTAAAAATACGGCTTTAATAAAACAATAAAAATGTTATTTATTTATTGTATATGACCTTTGTAGCACAACTCGATAGGTGTTTTGAGTATCACAATGAAACGCACGCGTGCAGTAAAGAGAGTGACGTTTTATTGCTGTCGTGATATTTTTATTACGCGCATAACTTGCAATGGCTGGTATAATCCTTAGTTTTTGAGTTTAACGGCACAAAAAACGGTAAGTCTTTTTTTCATCCAAATGTTTATAATGCTCAACAATGTTTAATAACATTTATAATTACTCGTGCACAACCTGCACAAAATAGTATACAATAACCTGTTTACCTCGACAACCCGTTATAATTTAATTGTATATGTGATTATTTCGAATGTTTTATCCGATCGTCATAATAAAAAAAAAATCGTAATAGATAAATCATATAAAATGTATATTATATTTTATGGTCTTTGTTCCGATGGGTTTCATTTTTTCTTAGCTTTATTAAATTTTAATTTAATTTTTTAAAACTATAATAATTTTCCGAATATTTCGCCGTATAATACACGAATATAGTATAATAAGTACAAGAATATAAAGCCGGTAGTTTATTATTATTATTATTTTTTTTTTTTTTATAAACGTTCAAAGTTTTTGATAAGAGACGTGATGGCGGGGAAATATTATGATTTTATAGCCCACGAATTTTTACTATACATTACTCGGCTTTTCGAAACTTTCAACGCATATAAATATTACAAACTATATTACTATATAGTGGCCCGATATGACATTATCCATACATATACATCGATTGTATTTCTTTAAGATTTTATAGATTAAAAATGTCCTTTCTTTATTATTATTATTTGTATATATATAAAACAGTACCTACATAATATTATAGTTATTGAAATAAAACAATTTTTTTTTTTTTATGTAAAATTTAAGATACAATTTGTTAAAAAGTCGTTGTAATTTATTTCTTAGTCGCAAATTATAAAAAAATGTTCAATTAAAATTTTTAATTTATCAAAACAACCTTTTTACCGAAATCCGTGCTTAAATTTGGGTTTTTCCTTTGCAACGATTTACCAATGCATTTATACAAACTAAACCGCACCATACAGTATCATTGATATCATTTACTCGACCGAAATTATTTAAATTCCCCAGCGGCCTATCCACGAGCTACCGCTCCTGCGGTATCCCGTATCGTAAAACCACAGGGTAATTCCAAACCTGTTGAACTACTAATATTATTTGTATTTATACGTACCGATGACGGTGCCGTAGCTGAAGAATAACTGATGGAATTGCGTGGCGAAACTAGTGAAAAGACATCCCAGTGCGGTGATAAGACCGCCCATAACGGCCGTCAGTCTTGTGGATTTCCGCCGGCAGAACGCTATGGTCACCGGTGACAGCAACAACGCCACTCCCGTGGACATTGCTCCCAGCCATCCTGCACACAAAACACAATAGCACTGTATTACAATATTATCGTTACTATATTATAATACCGTGATAACGGTCGTTTACATAGAATTATTATTTTTGAATATATTATTGTTGTTGTTGTTGTACGGTCGAATACAATATAATAATTAATAACATACGGCACGTGATAATACGCACCTATCCGACGTCGGTATTAATATACGTTCTAATCCCCGACGGAAGGATTTGTCGTGACTGCTCCGGTTTCGTCGGATTAACCGTGCGTAGTCGGTACATTTATATGCGTATTGATATATGTACCAAAGCCTACGGTTTTTTTTTTTTTTTTTTACATCAACCGTGCAATAATAAGAAATAAACTTTGAATTCAGTAGTTGGATAGTACAATCGGTTATATACCATAGAATTTTGCAAATTTACTGCAGGATATAGTTAAAAGATTACAACTCGATTAGGTTAGGTTCATTGAAAAAAAAAAATTTACGAGTAACAATTACGTAATAATTTAATTTCCTTATTAAGTTAAAAGTTAATTTGCAAATTTAATTTGACTTAGGTTAAGTTAATTTTTTTTTTTTTGAAAAAATTTGTTTGTTATTTTCATAGTGAAGATGATTAAACGGATTGAAAATACGGTTGATCAATGTGTGTTTATTCCGAAAATATTAAATTTTGGGTGTTATTTTAAACTCGAAACTTACACACATTATTGAGTAAAAAAAAAATATAATATCTTTACGATGGCATCTATTCATATATAATGTATATGGAATCTATATTATTTTATAATGCCCCATTTAATTTAAATGTATTAATAGTAGTACAATATAATAAAATATTAACTTATTATTTATGTTTGTGTTAATTAAAAAAAAAAAAAAATTGAAGTTTATATAAAACGTTAAAAATATTGTTTGTAAAAATAAATATTAGTTAAATTAAAATTAAACTTAACTTATATTTTAACTTTCCTCGAAAGATAAACATAAATTTGATTTAATTAAAGTGTAATATTGATATAATTAATCAAATGCAACATATTTAACATATTTACAGTCTTTAAATAATTTATTAATCTGTATTAACCTTTAATATTTCTAATTCTATCGAATAGGTAATTAAAAAAAAAAAATAAAACTCAATTTAATGTTCCAAAGTTGAACATTTGAAACGTTAGAATCTTATGTTGAAATGTCTTCATTTTCTCTTCCATATAGTATATTTTTGAGATCATAATAATATAATACGCTGTCATTATAATTTTATTAAGTACCATTTTTTTTTTTTTCGAAGCGAGTTGGGAATTAATACTACTCGTAATTATATAGATTCTGTGTAGAGAAGTACGGTAATTTTTAATCACGACTTACTTATATTGGATATAATAACACGGAGGTACTAAAATTGGATGGGAATTTAATGTACGTATGCATATATATACATATATATATATGTATGACGTGCATATATAATGGCCATTACATTAAAATATGTATGCTTGTACATAAAACCAAAACCTCGAATTACTTTAATTTACACTAACATAATATTTATATAGGTATACTTAAAAACAGACGTTCCATTTAAAATCGACTTTAGAAGAAAACAAAACTGTTAGGCGTGATTTGCATTACACGCCGTTTGACGATTATATTGTAATACTCATATTATTATGACATGCCATGTGTTTTAAATTGTCCGTGACAAATTTAATATACCGAAAGCACAGTAAAAAAAAAAAGAAATAATAATAATTTCAACCCGGTAAGTTTAAAATAATTTCGTGTACCTATTCAAAATCGAATTTATTATGTTTACCGTACCGTGTTATATGCTGGCATTACATCACAAAACAAACGCCACGAGACTTTAATATCTATTTATAATTAAAATCTAATGAATAACAATTTTCAACGGAGAAACATCAAATTTTCTCAACATAACCATCATACACTTTCGGCATTTGAGTATTTCAAGTAGGTACATAGAGTGACTAAAAACAAACTGTATAAAATATTTCTGGAAATTATGACCGGTATATGAAAGTCGCCATTTAATTTTAACGTTTTAGTATACCCAAAGCCTCTATAGTCGACCCAAAATTTATGGTCCGTGCGATTCCGAAATAATCCTTGTTATTAATCTCCATTATAGAACCATGACCCCTTTTACACCACTAAAGGTGGTAATAAAAGTCTGACCGTTTTCGTCAAGTATTAAGTACCAACCTAAATCGTGTACGTCTTAAATAATAATGTTTGTTTCCGACATTTTTATAATACGTTTAATATTCGTATTATAATTGTCATGCTTTTGCCGTTTATAATTGTATCGTATTAAAACTAACAACGTAGCAGTAACAATGGTTTATGTATTATATTACTTTGTGTTAGATAATATTTAATAATTATATCATTATGGACAAAATGAAAAGTCTACTATAATAACGAAATAATCCATATCAAAACTTGTACTTAATTGAATTAAATATAAAAAAAGAAACGATAAGGAGAAGATTAAATAAGTTCTTAAAACTTTTGTCTCAATACATGACTATTGATTTTGCGGTCCTAATCAATTTACCACATGAATATTACTTTACGTTGATATTATAAATAACAATATGCTTATAGTTATGTCTTATTCGTTTTGTATCAGATAGCAGGTGAGTATATGTATTCATAATTTATAATTCGCTAGAGAACATCGTTCACTCGAAGCTGTAGTAACTGGACTGCGAGATATATTTGGTAATAAGCAACCGGAAATAAAATACTTAAGTAAGCATTTTGATGTGTATTTCGCAAATAAAATTGAAAATGTCTGTACAAATCATGATTTTTGTTCAACTTTCATTTAAATCAACATGTTCTTTAAAACTATCTGTATAATTTTGTAATGGGAATCATTCTGGTGATACCTATACGCTCGGATGGGTAAGAATAAATATCTATAACCTAGATCCATGTTATCGATACATTGATTTTCAGTATCTAAATATAATATAATACTCGATATACTACAATTGAAACATTAATTATATTTTTCATGCATGTTGTATTTAAAAAAAAAAAACGTTTTTTCGGAAACTTTTAACAATTTCCCCTATTTTTGTATAATCACTTTCAGTTTGTAATGGATTTTTCAAAAAGCCATAGGAGAAAATGGCCTAGCCTGTCTCTTCTTCTGATGCCTACGGGCAATTAGATACTTCAAAATGAGTATTAATATATTCGATACTTTCCAAAATACAAAATACAATTGTACATTACAATTTTACAGGTAATTAAAATACTTGTATCGAAAATACTGGCCAACCCTGGGTAAACGTAGTATGTGGTGTGTAAATAAATAAATGGTAGTATATATATTATTACGAGACGTTTTTCGAGCAGCCAATAATGGCGAAAAAACATCGCACCGTTAACAATAAAAATGGATATTTTACGAGAGGAAGCGCAATAAACACAATAACGTCAATGGACTTTCGTGTGCATTAAAAACGATAAACACGACGCGCATGGTTACTTAAATAATATTAATAAAATTACATTACATTACATAATTCTTGTACGGGACAACGCGAAATACCGTATAAAGTGTAAAAAGGTTTATTTATTTATGAGTATCTTTTATTAATTTTTTGTCTAAGAGGTCCGATACGGCTCGATATAAGTATTCAAATGTACACGAAAATCGACAAAAAAAACTATATATTATTATTTTCTACAAAAATGCTGTGGGGTTTTTCTTTTTCCGCGATTCCTTTAAATTTAATAATTTTAACGACTACATACAATATAATGTAATATCACTTAAATTGTACAAATTGCGTTTATAGTTCTGACTTTTTGAGCAAATAATAAAACATACACTATAATTACTTAGTACTTATTCCTGAAAGTATGTTAATATAAATGCAAAGTTGCTCACGTTAAAATAACACAACTATTTGAGTAAAACTGAAATGTAGAAACCTAAAAAACCGAACATATTTTGTACCACGGGTTTGCTACTGTTGTGTAGTTAGATAGTTAGGAAGGCATACCTATAAGTAATTATAATTTAGTTTCTACATTGAAAGAAACGATAAATCATTGCAATCAAAAAGCGATTTTTAATGGGGTTCGATAAACTGCATGCGCATTTTTTTACAACGTTATATAGACGTTCACATGTAACACAGTAACATCACTAAATGTGTTGTAATAACGTGATAGTTACATTTCAACAACCGTTATTGTCCAAAATTGATGACTACTCAGTGATATTGTATCAACATTAAGGTAATGTTATACACGGTGTTTGGCCAATGTATAAGTGTGATATTAGCAATTCAACTTCAATCATACATCCTGAAACGTTATGTAACTTTAAATGTACAGTGGGGTTGTAAGGTTTATAGTATTGTTCGTATTGTTTTCACATGCTATCTTAGTAACGCAAAAATAAAATTGATTTATTTTCATTTGTTATCAAACTTTTTATTTATTTACTCATCATTTAAGGTATGGCGTAAAACAATTTAGATCATTTTTAATAACCAAAAAAGTTTTTTCCAAGAATAAAAACACATCAAAACGAATAACTTTTGCGCTATATACTCAGAATCTAAAATAAAAAATTGTTATAATAGGTAATATGTATAAATGATATATATTATAGATAACCGATCTTTGTTGATTCTTTTTTCAAACCATTTATTTGTCGTCCTTAAACGAATCTGGTCGGTATCGCATAGTAACATTCAATATACTTGGGTAGGTATACCTAATTAAGTTATTACATTAAGTTTAAGAGAAAACGGATTTAAGTGGCTACTGCGCAACGCATATTGACCAATAAAAATTCACATCAATTACGAAATGCCAGATATTTTTTTATAGTATGGCAATAATAATAAAAGATAAAGAAACGCTCTTGTTTCGCTCATCTCTGCACAAAATATGTATGTCTAGTTATTGTTTTTTTTTTTTTTTTTAACGCAATCCTTAGGTATTCATAATTTTTATGACATTGGAGATAAGGAGACGTTCTAGGATAATGGAGACGGGTTCAGCCATTGTTATAGACAATTTAATGTATATCTATAAGCAACGATAAACCATTGCCTACGAAAAAGGAGTTTCTGAGCGGAGTTCAATTGATAGTGATGCTTTGTCAACAATATATATGTCATATTATAGTTAAATAATTAAAAAGGCTTTATATATTATCTTTAATAATATTTGTTTAATCTTGTACCGATTTTCCCAGTTTTCCTACGTTTTCCCCGGTTTTCCCATGTTATATCCTGGTTTATCATATTTGCTGGAAAAACTCTTCAGGAAAATAAAAAATGGTCACTCTAAAATACCTTCCTAGTAAAATTTCCTTTTAGAAAAATTGCTATCATTAAAAGTTGGAACAAAATTGCTGGTAGAAAAGTTGTCTACATGAAAAAGGTCATAAAATTTGTAGCTAATACTTACATTTCTAACATTTTTCCGTTTTTCCTTTGTTTATTTTCACTTTTTCAAATTTGATGAGAAAATTCTTGGGAAAATCGAAAAATAACCTACTTAAACCTACCTTCCCTATACAATTAATTGTACACAGTGTAATTTAATTTTAAGTATCTATATACTTACCTTTATCAACAGTGTGAGTTTCCATGATAACAATAATTGTTTAAAAACGATTAAAGTAATTAAAAACTTATAATAATAACAAAAAATAAATAAAAACGGTTGTCAATGACAACTTTACTTTTAATTATTTGATCCTTTTTAACTTAAAAACCAGGTTTTCCTCATTATTTTAAATTTAATGAGAATTTCAAAAAATGACCTCTTTAAAGTACCACCCAGAGAATATTTTCTTTTAGAAAAAGTAATATAATTGATAATCGGAGTATATAATTCTGGTATAGTTTTCACACACAAAAATAAATAATAATAATAAACATCATGGTAAGACCAATACATTCATCGCTCCGCTCAGAAACTAAAATTAAATAGCTTATAAAATATTATATTCCACACCGTTCAATTTATAGGAAAGTTATTAAATTGAACGGTTTGAGCAGGTTTATTGCAGTACTAAACAGAGTTTGTTTTTTTTTTTTTTGGAAAATAAAAAATGTAAAAAAAAATATATCAATAGCTTTGTAAAACCAATTATAATTTATCTCTTACTCTAGCACTGAAAACATTATATTTAAAGTCACTTATTAGTGCAATTCGAAAATAAATTTTTATATTATTCAATTTTCAAAATTATCAAATAAACAACATAATTATAGCACTCAAAGTATCTGCTATTCATTTTTAATTGATACAAATAAAAACAAATAAAAATAGTCAGAAATTTGTTCAGTAACTTAAATTGATGAATCGAATCCATTTGTATAATGAATAGCTATAGAATATTATTATAATATTTGTCGAGTACTTTAATTATCTGCGTATCAATTATCGATACAATTGGTAATTTATTAATATTTCTTGAAATAATATCGCGCAGTTATAGAAAAGAATGATTAAATTTTGAAAAACCGTTTTTCTCATTAAATATTGTAAACATGATAATATTTAATAATAAGCTTCAATGAAATATCGTTTTTAATGGAATAAGTAACATTTTTTTTAAATTGTATACTGCGCGATAGTTCATCATGGCAATAATATAATTATAATATTATCAGTTTCATCAAAGATTTTAGGTATTGCTTTTATTATTGAACAATCGCATTGTGTTTATCGTGTGATTTAGCTGCGCAGATTTAGTATCTCAGCCGTTTCAATACCTTCTGACTTTTACATTGATTTAAATCGAAATGTATACAATGGTGCCAGAATAAAAACACCGCGTAATGATCCTAGTCGTAAAATCGAAGACGGACGTAAAACACGATCTCGAAGCGTCAGAGACTTTTTCCAAATACCTTACTTTTGCCCTTTTGTTTTGTGTATTTGTTTATTTTATTTCATGTTTTTAAATCCTCGCCATGCCACCGAAAAAAAAATTATAGGTTTTTCTATTGTTTTTTTATAACCTTATATAGTTTTATCGGTTGCAAAGTTAAACAGCGCGATAAAGTTTATGTCGAAAATAATTCTTACGTTCTAAGGGTTTTTTACGTACGTTTAATATCCAGATATAAAATTCTTAATTTTCATTCTCTGTGATATGGTTGATTTTTAAAATGACACATTTTTAAAAATTGTGTGGGGTTTGCATAAGAAATAATAATATTCAAACCTAAGGGTACCAATGTACCTTTAAGGGTAAGGTGTGTTAGGTAACCTATGTAACCTATAATATACTGTAATAATAGCTTGAACGCAAACGCAATAATTATAATAATAAGTACGTAAAAGACGAAAAAAAAATGCACTAAGCTAAACTCAGACTATTCAAGTTAAAAATTCGATTAAACATTTCGACGTTCTTTGGTTTGTTTTTGAAGTTATCAAGTCACCGGTATAGGAAATTAGAATTATAATCTTTATAGAAAGTATAACTACCGTCTGAATGCGGCTATTAATATTTTATAGGTATTTATTAAAACAGTCGTACGAAAATTTTTAAACACCCCGAAAAGTGTTAACCGAAAACCATCAGAAGAAATCAAAAAAGGCCACCGTTACTCATTATCGTTATTATTATTATTGTTATTATTTATCTTTTTATTTTACCTTTTCGTATAATTACTTCGATCCACTCATAACCTATAAATATTTTGAAATTTACTTTCGTACGGGGTACGGTTCTATTACTAAACTACGGAATATTAATCGGTCGAAAATATAATATCAGTATATTACTTATATAATATATACACTTATATAGAACATAATATTTTTTTTAAATTATACTTCGATATATATTTTACGTTCTGCCAATATATTTTCTAAAGAATCATTTATCTTCGGTTAGTTCCTATAGTTATTGTAGATATTATATGATATATATTATAGTGGCAATGTATAAATCATTGATCATGTACGGCCAAAAAAAGTAGATATATTTCATAATATATTGGATGCATATTGCAGCAGCCCCGAAGCTAATGTAGACGGTATACATTATAAAGTGTGTGAGTATACATTTTATATTATGTATATTATATACATATAGATTAACGATGTTGTTTCGGTTAAAATTTTATAGCGATAATAATCAAAAACAAAGACATCATTTGAATCGTTGATTTATTTGATATTCACTCGTCATTTTTTGAACAAAATAATATACCCCGAAATATTATGAAAATTAATATTATTTAGTCCGATCATGTGATTCGCGGTGAAAAAGTATACACACGGATTTTAATCTTCACAAGAAAAACAAAAAATTACCTCCTTAATGCACCAGCTAGATTAAAAATTCGAAAACGAAGATTCTATAAGCTCTTCTATTGAAGCAAGTTTTTTTTATAGAATTGGACACCAAAAAAAAAAAAAAAACATCATATTAAAATCGATACCTATCTCAGTTCGCTCAGAATCTAAAAAAATAGTTTTACAATAATAATTATGTACCGGTTCAAAATAAAAATCATTGTGGTAATTTGAAAACTTCATAAGTCGACGATTTTCCCGTCTTGCGAGTACAAATCGATATTGACTAAATAAAATGCCGGTGATATTATTACATTATACCGCCACCACAGACGTTTGGCAAAAGTTCACGACTCTTGATTTTATCATTCAATTTATAATAGCAACGCCGCCGTTGTCGTGGACTACAATAGTAATAATTTTCCAATGTACACTTTTCCGTTTTTCTACTAGTTTCGTATCCACTGCACTGTAACTAAATCGTATACATACATAGCAAGTAATACACGGTGATAATAGTAATAATAATATTTTTAGTCGATGACGACGAGTTTCGACGGGAAAGTTTCCCTTGCAACGCCGCCTTGCGGAGAGCGTTAGGTACTCGTGTCAAAAAACGACTCCGTGATTTATGCTCCCCTTCGCCGCCGTAGAAGGGGTCGGAAAAACCTTTCTCACATATATACCATCGGAATGGCTGCGTCACATCGACCGACCCTTTTACGAGAGCAGACGCACACATGTATTTATCATCCATACATAAAAAAAAAAATATATATATATATACGTAAATATAAGTATATCAAGTATGTGTGTATAAAGTGTATAGGAATAATATGTTGTTGTACTATAAAAACTTAGTCGACGACATCACGTCAATGGTGTTTAAGGGAAAACATCGTTTATGCGTGCGGACAAGTAAAGGGGTTTATTTTTTATATTAAGGAAAATAAAGGCATACGTATGTACATTTTGAGCTTTTTTTCGCTCACTCTCCGCCATCGAAATGGGCTGTTTCTCGTCTAAACTGTTATAATATGCCAAGGGTGTTTTTTGTTAGGTCTTTTGCGGGAAGCTATGGGCGTGCTCCGTCATATTTTATGACAACCGACGACGAGTTGTCCCACAACAAATGTTAAAAAACCTTAAAAAAAAAAAAAAAAACGAATTTTACGATAGTCAAATAATATAAATATATTCGGATGGCAAATTCGAAATAACCGTATTAAATATTATAGACTACATTTACGATTTTAATATTTGTTCAGAAATAATTATCTCTTTATTCTCGCAAAATTGCTTGGTTCACGACCTCTGGCTGAAGGAACTGAAAAAAACAATATACCTATACTACATCGTTCTAGAATTACTTATGATACAAAGATATAGGCTATTAAGAAAAAAGTGACGAAATAAAACTCTCAGTATTGGAAATAAAAAATACTACTAGTAATCAATTTTGAACCAGTAAAAGATACTCTAGTGAGTGTAGAATAAGGACAATTGATTAGACACAAGCATTCTTCCAAAAACCGGATTTACTGATCACAATAAAGAGTAAAAGATTACAGTGGGCTGAGTAGGCGTGGCGCAGTCAATACCTACTCATAAGTACGGTGCTTGAAGAAAATTTTACTAGAAAAATCTTATTTGAAAGACCACGTATGTTGATATGAGAAGATATAGTAAGGAAATATACGGAGGCCTAATAATTAGACGGGAAGTCACAGGCAGCGGACAAGGAAAACTAGAGATTAGGTTGCATGATAACGGGATGGTTTTAACAATCTAAAAATATTAGTTCAGAATATCGATTTCATCACCTATCCGGAACATAAATATCTATAAATTTATACCATGTACATTTTAATCGATTCAATTAATTAGCTGGTATCCTAGAGTAAAATTTATTCGAATTAAAAAAAAAGCAATATTTGTTTTTTTTTTTTTTTAACACAGATTTTTTAGCAGCTAGTCATTTTACATAGCATACTATTTTGAAAATACATATTCATCGAGGTTGATGAACAGTTACCTAAACATACCTATATATAGATTCTGAATAAATTGATTTCAAAGTACTACGACGTGTCCTAGCCATCACAATAATCTTAGGTACGTGTTAACGACTGCACTATCATTACGGTCGAACGGGTATCGTAGATAGAAATAATTTAACTTCGAATCGATGTGCCACAACAACAAAAAAGGTGTGTGTGCGTATTCTCATTAGTATACATTCGGTACATTCGAACCTTTATTCGACCGAAATATTATTTCAAAAAATGCTACATCATTTAACGAAACATACGTTTTCTACAAGTATAAACAAACTATGGCAATAATTTTAATTTGAAAAATTGGTTTTTATTTTTGTTTCTAAGGGAAACAAGTATTTATTAGTTTTATATTGATGTTTGCGTTTAATTTCTTTTTTTTTTATATAACAAGTTTTCGATAAGAAATCTTTCTACGATCAAAAAATTCAGGGGTGATTTTCTATAGAAAATATTATCTATAGTCAGTGACATTGACATGATTAATTTTTTGTACTTTTCTTAATAACCGAAGAAATCAACATAAATCATCGGGGAAATGAAAATATTTACGCAATAACGGTTTCTGTTGATTTTGATGTCATTTTAATTTTTGGTTGTGATCCGGTAAAAAGTAATCGTAGAGAGACCTAAGATTTAATATTTTGCTTATATATTACTATTTTTTAGATTCATTACAGTTATTAAAATATTCTGATGATTTTTAAGTTTTTTAAAACGAATAGAAATTGTCTAGTTTTATTTTTAAATTTCTGTGAATTTATTAAAAATGTTGGCTGGCTTCACATAAATGATTAAAAATTGATAGACGATGGTTAGTTGTTTTTTCTAGTAAGTGTCGTCTTCTGTAGCATGATTTCATACTAATCGTCATTTCGATCGACGCACGTATAAAATAATAATAATATATTATCGTTTACCTGATATAAATTACCGTTTGAATTTTATAAACGGAAAATCGTTATTCAGCTGTTTGACTATAAATAATATGTATGGCAACAATATTAATCGCCGGCCAACCGCATCACCATATATGTAGTCCGCACGATCATTTGGTAGATGAGTATACCACTTTTCGTTGACGGATAGGTACCTATGTATACACACGATAAGGCGTATCATCTTAATATACCTATAACTAAGTGTATTTAAGAAACGATAATATTTCATTTCAATAACATTATAAAATATAATATTAAAACGGATTACGCGTGTTTAATGCCTAAGTATATCATTTGTAAGGAACGCTGGGAAAGATAACCAATATGTTTATCTAAATAAATGATAAAGATAATAACAACAAAGATATTATGATGTATAAAACTAAAATCCAAGATAAACATAAATAAGATAATTTTTAATTTGTAAAGATAACGTAGAAAATATATTAAAGATTATATTGTATTAAGATAATTCATACAGATATTATTTTAACATTGTACAATTCATGCTTTAATCACATTGTTAAATATTTAAAATAATAAAGCATACTTGATAGTTACCAAAGTTACAGCGTGATTCCTTAAAAACGAATGTTGTGGAATGATGATTATCTGTTATCTATGCATTTATTAAAAATAATTAAATAAATAGAGATAAAGATAAATAATTAAATAATAAATAATTTTTATTTTATCTCAATAATCCCACTACTGATTGTACATAATATTAATTTTGGTTACATAAATGCAGTGAATTCGCATATGAATCTTAAAACTAACATTGGATTTTATTGTCAGATGTTTGCTTTTATTTAGCATTTTAATATGATATAACTTAAGAAGACATTGAGTTAAAATTAGAGGTTGAAAATTGCAAAACCAAACAAAATACATAATATTCTAGGGCAGTGCGTTATTGTTTTTCTAAAATATCGTCAAACAAAACAAAATTACACTCATATTAGTTCTTTCCCTTTATTTTTAACTAGCCGCATTTTCATTTGACAATATTTTTGAAAAAATTTAACCCACTACCCCCAAAAATATTTTCTTTTAGATGGTGTTATCTATGTTTATAAACTCTGATTTAAACCTAAAGGCGACAATTTATGTTCTACGCAAACGTAATTTAGCTCTACGGTACCCATTAGTTGGACTGAGACAGTCTAATAGATACAGATGTCCTCTTAAAGTAAATTCCTCTTTTTAGATATACACACTACGTAGGTAGGTATTAGGTTTTAGTGTTTTCTACGTTTCTTAACTTATTGCACTGTTGCACTGCTGCAATTGTGTACGCATCGAAGGATTTTTATCGTAGGAGACCCGTGCAGACAAAATAATACTATTTTCTTCGGTGTCTAATTTTGCTGTTGCGCACGAGATTGTTATCTATGTATGCGTTTTATGTCAAACATCCGATTAAACAAGATTTATTTTAATTTACGCGGTTACGGTTAATTAACTTTACTGCATAATAATTAACCCATGTACGAAAATAAATACAATTTAAGAAAATTAAAAAAAAAAAAAAAAAACCATATTCTCCGAGTAATTAAAAATTTCGGAGATATATTACCTACTATGTTCGTGGAAAATATTAATATCAAAAAAATAAATGTATTTGACCACCATTTTTTCATTTTTTTTTTTTCATAGTGAAACGCGTGATGGTCATAATAGCCACGTACCATCGCCAACTTGCCGCAGTAATATTGGCAAGCGTTCTCCTAATAATACGAAATAAAATGGAAATGTCATATTTTCTTGATATATTCATTTAATAATAGCGATAAAAATTTCGCGCCGGAATTATACGATGACTTATAGAGCCCACGACACGATTATAATAAAAAAATTCGTACACGTCGTCATTTGCAGTGGGCGCACAGAGGTACTTCATGTATATAAATATATATATAGGGTAATTCTTTTATCAAGAACAACCGTTTATTTTAATATTATAATATAGATACGAAAGCGTTTTATAGTAAATTTGATTTTTGGTTTTTTTCTTCTAAATTTCCATACATGTTTAATACGAGGGGAAGGCGAGATAAAATGTTAAAAATTCAAAAATTTAGAAACCAAAAGCATGAGAGAGCTAGTTATTAATATATATTTCGTATCCGTATTTACTGATAACTATTCCAATTATTCTAAATAATTTTAAATTATTAAAAACTCTCATAAAAACGTTAAAAGAAACGAAATCAGTATATTTACTTAAAATCTCCGTTTGTGTATAATAGCTACTTATGTCATTGGTTTTCTGAATAAATGGGTTTATGTACATTTTGTACAGTTTTGAATATAAGCAACTTAAATTGTTTGAAAATACATACACGTATGTCATTTAGACCCCCAAAAAAATAACGGCAAAAAAATTGCATAAAAAGCAAAAAAAAAAAAAAAACACACACCATAATAAAACCAATAGATCCCTCAGTCTATTTGTTCGTACCTATCTAAAAAAAAACAAAACAAATGCCAAAATTGATTTAAGCCCTTATTCATCGGTAGAACTTAACATTTTTTATATTAATTGACGATACAAATAACGATTCCATATAAACCGTAGCGATAATATTCACACGAAGTGTACCTACTTATTATTATTATCAGTGGATATATACGTACATCTGCAGTCACTTTTTTATCTTCTCTACCACCCGTACATTACATTAAAACAAAATACCGAACCATCATCGGGAACGCGCAACAATGATAATAATACGATTATCATTATTATTATTGTACAGAACGGGCCGGAATTAATGGATTAAACGAAAAGCGAGTATACGTATATATAGTATATTATATATAATATGTTTCGCCAAGAATTATTTATCGCGTCTGCCAAAAGTCGACGAAAAGCATTTTGTCAGTGTCATTTACAACCGTCGCCGCCGCCGCCGGCGTCTCAATTCTGAATCTTCCCCGCGGTCATGAGATGTTTGGCGAGCGTGAATCAATAAAATTTAGTCGAAATGGCTACTACTATACTAAACTGCCGCTATAAATATATATATATATATAATAATAATACTATCGGCGATCCTTTGTCCGTACAACGACTAAACACAATGCTGTAATCGTATAACCGCGGCGGATTAGCGGTTAATCATCGTTCGCGACCGTGGTACCGAAATCCCGACAGCCAAGCGATAAAATACGAGTCCTAAATAGCCGTTTGAATTATCGGTCCGAAAGCCTCCCCGTAACCTCTCCTCCTTCCTGACATCATAAACCACACATCATCCGTATACGGATATCGGCTGATCAGGTCGATAATACTGTAATAACTAAGTATTCGAGTATCATTAAATACCATCATTTGGCGGTGAAAAATAACGGGGTCCATACCGAAAGTGCACCCATTTGTGTATAGGTATCAAAGAAATTTAAGATCGAAAACTGTTCAGTTTTGGCTTAATGAAATAATTACTCACCTATCATACGTATACCGATATTTTTTATTAGTTTATTACAAATTTTACAATTTTTGTAAAATTCGAAAATCTCTATACTTACACTGTTACACTTACCTCGCAATCTCAATCGATAACCTATGGTGAATACAAAATATTCATATAATATATTGTTATAAGCTTTTGCTTTTTTTTCATTCTTTATTGGCCCTATGTAATATGAGGCTACGTCAGCTATACATTTGTATCAAACTACGTAGATTTTTAATATACACATTTTTAATTTCTACTCTTCTCTGTTTTTATGCTTTTTCGAGTTTTTTTTATACATTATACTTAATTGAATTTTCGAACTTTTCTTTCTTTATTAAATATTTTGTTTTATAAAATATGTTGTGTATATTACGTGTTTGAAATATTCGTAAAAATAAAAAGCCAAAATTAAAAAGGTTCATGATCAGAAAGGTCCATGATATAGCTAGTAAACCTAACCTAAACTAAAACATTTTAATAATTTAATTTTCTTTAAATAAATAAAATAAAATAATTATCAGAATTTATAATTTCAAAAATGTTCGATTAGTATCCAATATAATATATACATAGTGAATCATTTTTACTTCAAACATTTTTTTCCTCTGACGTGTTTAGTGAATTATTATTATTTATTGATGTACATCATAAGTGCATTCATTTACGATCATTTGGAGCCACCAGAGTTTGATTTTTAAATCTTACGAAATATCGCCTAAAACGTTTTCGAACGAACTAATGGCGAATAGATGGTTATTTTTTTAATCTTTTTTTCCCTTTATAGAACAATACCAGCATATCAAAAGAGTCGGACGACTTGTACGATGATAATATGTGTGTACAGTCTCTTGGGTGAGAGTGTGTGTATGTGTTGATGTGTAATCGAGTATACTTAAACAAACGATATAGGCGTGTGTGCGTGCGTAATCTCCTATTATACATCACACAAACCGTGTGTGTGTGTGTGTGTGCGCGGTTAGTTCGTGTTTTTAAATGGTAATCTCGTATAATAACAATACGTCCGGGACACTCTGTAGTGTGTCTGTATACAGGGTGATTATCTTACAATAAACCAAAGGTTATATATCTGTACGAATACAGATTTACTTAAGAGGGCGTTACACGTGCATTTGTAGTCTCTGTCTTACAAACACATGGCATATGACATTTTCATTTAACAGAAACAAATTGAGTGTCTTTAGTTTTGATATTAAAGTAAATAGATCTATTACCAAAAATCAAATTTAAAATATTATCTGTGTAAGTATGTTGTTTTTTTTTTGTTATATTAATTTTTAAGTGAGATACGAATGCATGAAATACTGTAACAATTTTAAAATGTTGACATCTCGATTCAAAATTAAAATATCAGAAAAAACCAAGGTGCAAACACAGATAATAATAGTCTTAACTTTAAGTTAATTCAATCTAATATTAAAACTTAAAAAACAGTCCTAAATTGGTTCTGCTAAACCAAAATTGTCTATGTCATGTATGCATTCCCAGTCTGGGAAAACTAATGCGTCTTTTTAAATATTTGATTATAGTTATTTTTTTTCATTATAATTTAACATACAAAGCTTATATTTATTTTGTATAAAAGCAAATACCATAAACATATACCTATACTAATCAAAATTTGAAATTTCAAACTGTAATCCCTTTACTTACCCTCTTTGAAATCATTTGTCTTATTGGTTATTTCGGGTATTTTAGTATATTTTGTTGTTATTATAAATAGTGGGTATATCATAAAACAAATTATCAGTTTATTACGTTATACAAAGTAAATTTTTTTTTTAAATATATTAACATTTAAATAGTATGGAACGGTAAGTAATACATTCTATAGTCACCATTTACAGATAACTTTGTAGTACTTATTGAAATTTTTATAAAAGTATATATCTAGAACAATTTTACGATTTGGAATTTAGACTGCATATATAATAATATAACAGTATATTTTTGAAAAAAATAATATTCACAGACTAATATAAAAAAGGATTACACATACGTTATTGTCGTGCATAGGGTAAAACAAAAAACAACCGAAAATCAAATGTACTTCTCGATGACTTAATATCAGATGCTTATCGGGAAATCGGGTTGGGTTCCGGTGGGCCCCTGTCTGCACTTAATTATGGGGGACCAAGGTCTCAAGACCCTATATCAGATTTAAATTTGCTTGAGAAGTAATCTTTTATTTTAGGGCCCTTGTATTCAGTTTCCAGTAACAGAAAATAGCCCAATCCGCGTATATATGTGAATATTATAATAGCTGATACGTGATAATATTAAGGAATCATTCTGTATACAACGCGTGTGATTATTTCGATCGCACACATAACGACGCGGGGACGGTAGCGCCCGGTTGACTTTACGAGTGCCTCGGGGCTATAATATAATATCGCCAAGTCCATTTAATTTCGACGTCGTTTTTGTGAGTTGTGTAGTGTTTTATGCGCCACGCGAAACGTCGCCCATACTCAACAGCAGCAGCATATCATATTATAATTATTATAATTTATATTTACTATACGATTTCCACCAACAGAAATAGTCTCATTTTTTTTTTCATTTTTCAATATTATTTCCTAACCGTCACTAAATTGACGAACTTTTTTTTTTTTATAGGTTTACATCAAGAGCACCAATGCGGCACTGCTAAAAAACAAAGAGAACTCCGAAATTGTGTATAGACGTAGTTATCATAGATACATTAAAATATTAAATATAGGTATAATATAAGATATATAAGATGTCACGGTGTTCAATTTTATTGTTTAGAATAATATTATTATATTACTATCCGTCGTCGTCAATAAAATAATATGGGAATATTATTATTGCATGCAAATATTCACTATTCTAAATCGTTAATATAATCTTAAGAATGTGCATGTAACAAATAAAATATATGTCGTTAAAAGTCAAATATAATAATAACTGTTAACTCGTACAGCTAGGTTTTGACCTAAACGAAATATTCATATAGAATTATATCTCGTGTATTGGTATCGAAAGGTCTGCATTCGGACATAATATTATAGTTATATTGTGAGCGTACCGTGCATGCGCTTGGGCGCACTGCTTCAACGACAAGGACGTTAAAATACATTACATATTATGATGTAAACAAAAGTATAAGGGTGCCCGATAATGATATCACTACATCAGCGCCTCCTATAGTCGAATTTGGATTCCAACAGTTTTAAATATTATAATATTTTATCATTATTGATGTGAATGAAAACCGGGCGTAATTTACAGTGCGCACTACGGAGCCACTATAGTTGTAGGTGAGAAGTTGGGAATATAGGATATAGAGAGGGATTTAATTTATATCTGTATACAACGATTAATCGTTGCTAACAAAAACCGATACTGAGCAGAACTTGATCAATACTATTGCTTTTTAAACACTGTGCGTTTTCACGACAACACCAATTGTTTAAAACTAACTAGAATGCAACAAAGTAGGTAAATTGTCATATTTTGATTGGAGCAATATTTCTAGGAGAAAAAATATAAAAAAAAAAAAAACAAATATATTACCCAATAATTATTGTTACGTAAAAAGAATACGTGTTTTTTTAACACATTTTAATATACACCACTTATTATCAATGGAAATATTTAATTTGTAATTTTATTATATATATAATGGTTTTTTTTATTGTTTAATACATATTATGTCATCTATTTACCTCCCCTAGTATAGACCAGGTAAGGTATTGTGGTTAAGTATATTATAATAATTAGAGAGCAACTGGTACATTAGGTTGAAGGTAACATGCCCGATATTACATTATTATCAGATTTAATGAACTTGTTGAAAATTGTTGGACTCTCCTCCCCTTTACTTATTCATTCCAAATTAAACTTGGTACTGCCAACTTCACACTTAGCATAACAATATTCGATTAAAACGTTTCGATAAAAATGTAATGATAGGTGTGTTAGCAATGCAAAGTTTAACGTGGAATAGATAAATAATCGGGAAGGGGCTCCAACAAATATAGGCAACTTAAACATTGTCAAATATGTTTTGAAAAGTTCTGCTAAAAATGTAATGCTAACTTCACGCCCCATCCCGGATCTCGTATAATATAAAATAGTCTTATGAAGAATTTTATACGCGTAGGTAAAAAAACATCAACGTTTTTTCAAACGATTTAACATTTTCGTTTTACTGATCCGTCGGCATGTTATTATATTATTATTAGACCGAAAAATAAAATAAATAGTGTTGAAAAAAAAAACCGTTTAAAAAATACAAAACGTTAACAACACGCACACGACTGACACAATAACCCGAAGCGGCGGTTTCGGTCATCGTTGTCGTCGGTATGCACACTGAATAAAAAAAATTACACACACACACATGACGTCCCCCGCGAGCTGTTTACGCATGCGAGTATTATTAAACGGGTTACGATATCATTTTTGTTCTTGTTTTTTTTTTTTTTTTTTAATTATTTTTATTATTATTTCCTCTACTCATATTCCCGACAGACGGACGCTCGTTCGCGCTCGTTAGCGACCGACAAATAAGATAATAATTACTCGAAACGTTTTAATCTATCCCGCCAGTTTTATAAACACACGACACAATATTTGTCCCGGACGCATAATACCATTCTGCACACGAAGTAAAATACCCGTATATTATAGAGAATTACTACAGCTTTCCGATTGAACTGGTACAGGTTAATGTAATAAAAACAATGCATAATATATTAATTTTGAATAATATGGGAAATGGTAATATTTACGTAATTATCCAGGGGTTACGAATTGACGGTCACAAATATATTGCCGGATTATCTTCAATTACAAAAAATCACACGTCGAATATAATTAAACAGGTGAATTTTAAAGAAAAATAAAATGTTGAACGGTACACAATGCGTACTATGGGTATATAAAACGGTTATAAGTGAGAAGTGTATGGGTAATTGGATAAAAAATTCAGATTATACATTTTTGCAAAAAAAAAAAAAAAAAAACTATTCTGAATAGTAGTTCCTCCTTTATAACTGCTTTTTGCCTTTAATTGGTTTAACTTAAAGCTGTTTTTTCTCCCCGTGTGACCAAATCAAAATATTCAAAAACAATATAAATTGAAAAGCCTATAACTCCCATCTGTGTTCACCCACTTTCAAAAACGTAGATCCCCGCTTGCTACAGATTTAACATTTGTAGTATAGTGTGATACGTATTATTATTTTTTTTAAATTTTTTATAAAAACTTTAAAGAATACAAAAAAGTTATCTCTCTTAGTGTACTGGTCGATTTATAAACCGTTTAATCTCGTAACCAAAATATCGGTTACGAGAACAGACAAATATTACGTATTTATAAAACTAATACGTGACAACTTTTTGTTGAGTCTGTGTTTAAAACCTCGTCACACTGTAGCAGGATATAACGAATTCTACACCATTCTACAACGAATTATATAAGTTGAAAAAGTTTAGGCTTTTATACCTACTGTATATATAGGTACATTGCAATATGCTTTTAAATCCGTCGTCATCCCAATATTTTATTGTACATTTTTTTACGGACGCATCAATCGGATCGTGTGCCACGTTTTCGTTTTATTTCATGTGCGGAATGTCAATATGCGTCCCGGCCGACGACACAGCCTCACGCCGGTATCTCCTCCGCGCGAGACGTACCTACCTACTACTAATATAATAACGGACGGCCCATGCATTTTTGCATAATATTCTAATTACTATTATTGTTGTTGTATTTTGAAAGGCATTATTATTATTTTTTTCCAGAGCCGTGAAATCATTTGGACTGTTTTCGAGTCACGTCCCCGTCATGGCGTAGGTACGACGAGACTCGTATATATTATAATAATAATATACTCGCCCAACCTCACCGTTATCGTCGGTACATACGGTATGGGTATAATAAACACATCATTAATTTAATATTACCCATTATCTTTATAAAAGGGATACTCTAGTCGCCGTGCAGTAATATGTGAAATATTCTTTCCGATCTGCTCATATTATTATTATTATTATTATATTATGACGGTAGATATATTTTGACCGTGTCTACCAACACCAGATTAGGGTAAAATACTTTTTAATACTTTGCCGAGGAAAAAAAAGCAAAAATAAGAGATGCGAAGTGTTGGATTAAAAATATTTTAAATCAATAGTACCATCGTGTGGAAATTTAGCATATTTCAGAGTAATGTGTGAACAAATCTGATAATTTTTACTTATCAAAAATGTGTTTTGCGAGGAAAAAATAATTTTTTTTAAGAAATGAAATACATTTTGACATGATTCGAAATACAGTATTGAATACTTCTGAAAAAATGAATTTAAAAAATATTCAGAATACTATTAGGAATACACAACTGACCAAGACATTACCGGAGTAGAATACATCCGATATACAGCCGTTTACCACGCGATTATACGAGTAGTGCCGGATTCATCTTATCGGTTATTTTATACTTTAGTCGCAAAAAAGCTATAATCCAATAAATTCAATTTCACGCGACACGAAACGATAATACGACGAGTTTTGTACCTCGTTTTATAATAATACGTATATATTATAGTTTACAGCGTTTGTCGGAGACGGCGGTTTTTTTTAAGATTTGTTTTTTTTATTTTGTTTTGCGTACGTAAAAGGGTCCGGTAGTGGCGTGCGTGACGTAAATAATATTATTATTATTATATAGAAAGGCGGTACAATATAATAATATAATACCTAATAATAATCGTATCCACGAAGTACAGTATTATAGGTAGGTACCTATCGGATTTGCGGTTGTAGGAGCTGCAGGGTTCGGCTTGTGGGGAACGAGATAGATAGGTACCTATTTATATATTACATATATATATATAATAATATTATAATGTAAATTCGCCCAATTATATTATAAGAGTGCCGAGATGTAGGCTGCTGATATTTGACACCGTATTATAATAATGCCCGTGTGTGCGCGCGCGCGCGCGCTCACATTTATAAGAAACTGGTCCGTCCCGAGGGGATTTCGCTTCTGCGGTCGCCCGACATTTCAGGTTTTCTTTTCCGCCGGCCGACTACTATAATATAACATACGTATATAATATAATAGCAGTATAGACTATAAGATAGTTGACGAAATGTCCGATCGGTATTTTTTTTTTATTTTTTTACTGTCGGTTTTATGGGGGTGAGGGTGGGAGTAGTCGGGGAGACAGAGGTTTAGAAGTATCGTATTGGTAATAATACAGTCACAAACAATATAGCTAGCTAATAAATGTCTCCGTCGCTGTAGTTTACACTGTATATACTGTAACGGACAAAACTGCAGACTGTCAGTGTTTGGTAAAAGATACTTTTGAACAAATAACTATATTATATTCGAGTAAATAGGCGATAATTTGTTTGAAGTACTTCACTCCCAGAATAGTATCATTGATTTTCGATACACGATTTATGTTTACGTCTATACTTCTCGAGGCTTTCTAGAGTTTTCATGTAGTCAATGTCCAATGATATAACTACACTATAATGAATACTCGGGAATTAAAGTAGTATTTAAAATGTCTCCGATGCTTGGAAAGCAGTTAAATATCTGTATTCGAATAAAATACAGCACTGGTAGTCCACCAGTCGTAAAATAATTTAAACGGTCGTCCGGTTAATTTTCCCATTCGCCAGAGCAATTTATTCGTTTAAAGAATTGAACAAAAAACGTTTTCGAACAACGCTAAACATTAAGAAGTTTAGAAGCTCAAAAACATTACGCATATAATAAAAATACAAATTATATAAAAAACAAAATCCCACTCCTACAGAATATACATACACAAAAACACAAAACAAAAAAGTTAGACTTCTCACGATGAGTAGGCCACTGTTGTAGGTGAGATGTTAGGAACGTAAGATATAAACGGGAATTTAATTTTTATCTGTACGCAACGATAAACTATTGATAACGAAAAACGATTCGGAACTATGTTTCTTACATACATTTTCCCGTTTTTCCCAATTATTTTTAAAACCGATTGGAAAATCAAAAAACCACCTCACTAAAGTACCACCCAGATAAAATTGCCTTCCAAAAAAAAGTACTACACATGAAAATAATTGCAAGATTTCTAGTTGAAAAGTTGTTCACAGATTAAAAAAAAAAAAGACAGACTTTGTACGACAGGTATTTCGTTGTTGTAGGTGAGAAGTTGGGAAGGTAAAAGGGAAATTTAATGTTTATCTGTACGCAAAGATTAACCATTGCTAACGAAAAACGATTTCGAATGGAGTTCGGTTAATAGTGTTGCTTTGTCAACAATATATATATAATTAATGTCATATAAATATGGTAAAATAATTGGATATGCATTTATATAAGTATATTTTTTCTTTAATATTATTTGTTTAATATTGTACTTATTTTCTCGTTTTTTTCTGGTTTTTCCCATTTATTATGAAAACTCTGAGAAAATCGTAAATTGTAAATAAACCACTTTATTATGTATGAATAAAAATCATTAAAAGTAAAATTGAAAAATTGTTGAGTTATTTACATGTTACGAACTATAATAATAATAGAATCAATACAAGAATAATTGAAGGTTTTTAAGATGTTTTTTTTTTCAGGAGTACAAATTACACATATTTTTAACCCTTACGTATTTTCTACACGTGCTTGGGGAGTGTAATTTCGTAATCACATTTATTTTATATCACAATATACACACGTTTAAACTTTATTAGTAAACTTTTTTTTTTCATAACACTGCACTGACCGGTCTACCGGACGAGCAGGACATCGGCTAGTCATCCGGTCATAAAGTTCAGTACCTACGTATATAAAAGAAAAACCACCGACCAAACTACTGCGTTGGCACCGTATTTAATTTAACAAACACACTGCGCAACGATACCTATATTCAAAATTTGAACACGCAAACACCTAGGTCATACCCGCCCGCATATTTACAGACTCCTCATCCGAGTACGGCTCAAGCGGTATATGTAAATACGCAACCAGACTGCACCGCTTGTGGTTTTTCGCGAACAAGGCAGTAGGTTTTTGGTTTGTACGTTTAGGACACTAATTTCCTTGGAACAGTATCAAGTGTGGATACCAACATGAACCTACATTTGGTTATTTTTTCGTAAAGATCTTAAAATCAACTCGGTTACGTTTCGACTTGATCTGAACACGGATAGGGTCTGTAAATACGGTACCTGCCCGTTGTCGGTCGGTTTTGTCGAAAACTAAAACTCGGAGAAAAAAAAATGTTAATACTAATAACATACACATTCGTTGCTTATTCCGATCGAAACGATGAATATAATATTACGAAACAACGGTGTTCCTCCCAGACACGGGTTATATTATTAAAGTTGTATACGATATGCAATTCGTTTTGACATTAAAAACGCGCATGAGTTATCGGTGAAGTTATGTAGGCATCGTGTAGTAGTATTTTTTTCTTCTAATATTATAGATATGGGGACGTTTTATATAAAAATAAACATAAAATATACGAGTCGTACGATAGAAAAAACAAAAATATATTATATTATTTTTTTGTAAAATATACGGTCCGGATCTCTAGGAAAAATAACTACAACTCTGCGGAGTCTACACCGCAATAGTTTTTTTTTTTTTGTTGTTGTTGTATTCTACATATGCTGATCTATTATATTTTTTTACCCCAAGGATTTTTTTTTTATGTTCTACCATTTTTATTCAACATCAACGTCGCCGTACGTACAGGGAATAATAAACGAATACTTAATATTATGTAAAAAACAAAAAAAAATGTACTTTTAAACGTTTAATTTATTTATATTTTATTCGGATAATATAATTAATAGGTACCTACGTATATTTACATAATATATTATGAAAATTTGAACGTGTATAATCTATATACATACGTCAAAAAAAGATCATCAACATTTTTAAGAAGGACGGCAGACTGCAGTGTTGTACAATCGTAGACTATTTAAACGTATATGCGTATTTGATAAACTAAAAATGAAGAAAATATCATAAATTCATCGAATATCGATAATAACTACTAAATTAATTTGTTTTTAAACCAGACATAATTCGCACCATGGGTAGGTAGTTGGGAAAGTACAAGGTTTATGGTAAATTATTAAATACTGAAAACATTATTGCAATCAAAAAACGATCTGATTGGAGCTCGATAAATCAGAAATAGAAATCAACAAAAATAAAATTGACATATCGTCATTTGTTGTAAGTGTTTTTTTTTTTTCTGTATTTAAGGAAAAACTGTCAGAAATGTAGAAAAAATGTTCAAATAAAATAGAATTAAGCTGCACTTAAAGTCACACAATTAAAATATCATGAACCAACAACTGTAAGATATTATTTCACTTGTTTTTAATACAGACAAATTGTATGTAAATTCAAATAAACCATATCCACAAAATACCAGTGGCAGAACGAAGACAGTTTTTTGAGTCCTTACGCTCAAGTGGATGTGTGAATTGAGTGGGTGTGTAAACGGGTATTGGTACGGAGTAGGAATTAAGAATATAATAATGACACATGTATGAATGCATGATTGAGTACTGAGGAAATTTAGATATTCAAACTATAAATTAGGATAGGTTGTACAATATATGATATTCGTAAACTTAATTGTTGACATAGTACACCAGTTAAACATTTCAAATGTATTAATTAAAAATTCATTTAAAATACGAACAATATTGGAATTTAGTTTATATTTGTATAGTTAAAAAATGACAACATTTGTAGTTGCGTATAAATTTAAATTAATGTATAATATACCAACCGAACTTCCCTCCTACAACAGTGGTGCGAAATATGTTAGTTTTTTTTTTTTTTTTAATAAACTATTATGGGGGTAAGAAACTGCTAATTTCTGTGGACTAACCCTTAAATTATTTAGGCGGGTGGGTGCATGAAATCTTAACAGAGCTTACAAAGTGTAATATCTCACATCGCTATTGCAAAACGCATTCCTCACTGCGATCAGAATCTAAAACTACTCTTATATTCGCTGCGTGTTTTATTCATACAATATTTATCACTGTAAAAGAGACCACACAATCGGATAATAATATTTATAAGTACTGTTGTTTGTTTGAACATTTAGTGGGTTTTTTTTTAATGTGTTATCTATAAAGGTACTATAATACTCGAAGCATACAATTATAGTGTTCGACAATTTAACGTTATAATTTTTAATCACATCACGCGGTAATAACAATTAAAATACTTGCATCTATCACGTATACGAATCGATATAATGTTACGAGTATACGGTTTTTTTTTCTCAAAAACCACGTCTCGTCTGAAAGCCCGGAGGAGGTGATTTCAAAGACATTATAAGATAATATAATATATAAGTATTATTATTATTACAGAAACGAAAAAGACAAGGGGGAGGGGTTCGAAAGTTATACGCGTTATCTATTATTATTACCACGGTATACGGGTGTACGATGTTATTTATTTATTTTTTTATTGCGATCTACCGCAACGTTTGACTTATTTGTATTTTATACTACACCGTGTTATAGTTACCTCGGCTATAATTTCATCGTGTGTGTGTGAGTGCGTTTTTTTTTATTTTCCAAATTATTTATTATACGAAACACACGCGCTGGAAAAAAAAAACAGAAAGTATATAATATTATCGAAAGGACGTGATGACGACGAAAACGGCGGTGGCGGTGGTGCCCTTTGCCCGGGTGGACGGACGGGCCGTTATTCGCGACCGGGAAGTATCGCAAATCATCGGCGGATGCTGGCCGGTCGCCCGGTATCGTTTAAATTATTGTACCGGGGGAGGGTGGCCGAGAACCACCGCGGGGGAAAACCTTTTGGACTCGGAATAATATTTGGCCCTTCGTCGCCTCTTAAAAATACTTGTATACAACGTTTTATATACATATATATTTATAGATTTCGCTTTTCGGCTTCGCCAAACGATACACGAAAGCCATTCGTTTCTATTGAAAACCATACTCGAATTCGACAAGCACGTATACCAATAGCGATTTACGCTGTCGTATTTATATATATATATATATATATATATATATATATTTATGTATGTATATAAATCCATAATATTATATAGATTTCGAATAGTTGATTCTATTTTTATATTCCGCCGAAAAGGCGATTTAGGCTTTTGAAAAAGCAAAAAAAATGATACGCACTTGCGTATAGTGTAAGTATAATAAACGTTTTTATCTGCTAAGACACGTTCGAGACTAATATAAATAATAACAATAATGTTTATTTAAAACTATATAGGACATTTACACGGGTACTAAACGGGCGAATGAAATATTCTTTGTCGAATATTTTGTATTGCAGTATAGAATAATATTATATATGCGTTTGTAGTGCAAGCACGCGTATACCGTCGGGATTTGCTGGGCGGGGAGGATTTAGACATTTGTCCCGGAAATTTTTTCGAAACATTACCCAAAACAATTTGTACAGAACAATGGTAGACAGTTTGCTTTTACGATTTGTCGGTAATCATTGCTAAGCAGGTGCCAGTAGGAACTTATATTTTTTTGTTTTTTTTTTTTTTTTTTCAGTAAATATTATTAATACTTTGATTTCGTTATTGCGTTGGTAATCGTTGCTAAATACGTACCTAAGGTAACTTCTATTTTTTCCACTTTTTATTACTAGTGGATATGGTTTATATTATAAATTATAATTTCGTTACTTTGCTAGTAAAATTTTAAATTAAAGTATACGTTAAAAAAAAACCTCTGGAATATTATTTCGGTTTTGCCTAAGAATCAGCTAAATTATTTTCAAAAAAATTAGATAAATTGTGTAAAATAAATTTTTAACTGCATTTATTTTTATACCTACCTATAGAAAATTATTAATTATTAGTAATTTATGTGGTAAAAAAAATAATTTGAATTTTAATGTTTCGATGTATAGGTACCTTTAAAAATTTGAACTGTATACAATTATATATGACCAAAAATAAAACGCGCGTGTCAAATAAAACATTCAAATCGATTTATACAGTATTTTATTATGTATCTAAGTGATGGTGGGAAATTGATGGTAAATATTATTTATTTTAAAAAAAAATTAATATATATATATATATATAGAAGTGACATTATTATATTAATACATAATTTGGATATTGGATACTAGTAGCCTTGAAAGAATTAAAAATATATTCAAACAGTTATATTAAAAAGTAATAGTTATAAAATCAAAATTATAGTTTCACCAAAAACGGTTCTTTAGTTATCATAAAATCGTTTTTTGAAAAAAAATTATATTTTTAAGAGCATAATCATGTGTTTAAAGTCTATACACATATGAATACGATAAGTAAATTTGAATAAATATTATACTTATATAGTACTTAGATTATACTATTGCTATAGTTATAATAATATAATAATAATATAAATTATTATACGCACGACTTTAATATTTGAAATATGTTGACTTTAAAGATTTACTAAATTTGATTTAGTATGCAAAGTATTATACGCGAGTTGATAATTACAAATGTTGTATGAATGCTTTAAATTTAATATAAATTAATAACGAGATGATTAAATAGTTCTAAGTTTTATTTTTTTTCGCCTTTATTGTTCTAATCTGATAGTGATTTTTTTTTTAAGTCGAAACCGGTCGTAAGTATGTACACAAAACCAATTATATTACTTCGGGCTAAGTTTTTTCTTCGTATTTATTTAATTAATGTTATATATTTTGTATCTTAATTTTTTTTTTAATATATATATATATATATACATTCAAATTCAATTTAAGTGATTAATCTATCTTCTTTAAGTCACTTGTATTTAAGATAAAATTTTGAATGTTATGTTTTTGAACTTTAATCTCTACAATTTTTTTTTTTTTTTTTATGATAAGTCAAATATAATTAAAATAAATTATATTTTTTTTAAAATTTTTAATTATCATAATTTTTTTTTTTAATGAATTTTGATTTGAACGAACCATAATATTTTTTGTTAAATAATGATAGTGGCGCAGTGGTTGGAACTTAGAGATTTGAATCGGTATAAATGATAGTTATTAGGTAGATAATAGGTAGGAATAATAGGCAAGTCATGTAAATTTATGTCCCATAGACACTCAACAGTTTTTGTATTTTTCCCCACTATTTTTAAGGAAATATGTTTTAAAAATATCTTATAATGAAAAGGTCGTATATTTACTTTTTTCAACTTCTAATATCTAATCTCCTAATCTCTTTTCGTGTGGCCTGACGTGACAAAAAAGATCGCATCACATCTTTTTCACCTTATAATCAGTTTGGGCGAGTAGAGATACAATAGTTTTCGTGGGTGACACTGAAGTAAGATTCGACCTGTATTGAGATACAAATTTTTTCGATATCTATAAAACTTACTAAATGATCAAGTATTAAATACAATACAGTGTTTAGATATCATAATTTGTTAGAATTTTTTAGATACATTTTTTAGATAAATCGTTTCATGTAAAATATTTTCAAAATGGTTTTTTTTTAACATTTTGTCGCTTTAAGGGGTATTTGGAATAAAAACTGATGTATTGTTCTTTAACTTTTCGCCGTTGTATCAGTGATGTGATAGTATATTTTATATAATCCGAAAAATACATTTAAGTGCTTAGCCTATATCATTTATAAATATAACTTTGGCAAAAATACTTTGTAAACACACTCTAAACATAAAGTAATTGTACGATAAAAGTTTTTATTAACAATTTATATTACATAGCATTTAATCCGTTTGAAACGTTTTTCTAGTGTTATTCGTATACGCCCCGCTGCAGAAAAGAACGAATCGGTCCGCGTATTCACAGAAAAACGATTTTTAGCAATTAAATCCTAACAAATAATTAACTTAATTCTATAGATTCTTGTATGTATATAGAATATAAAATAATTATAGAATAGTAATCTTCGGATTTAATATTTTGGATTGACTGTAAATACAATAGGCGTGCACAGAGAACGATAAATCATCGCATCGTCGTCGACCGAAACGTATTCAAAGATCATATCGATGAGCCGAATTTAATATTATTATTTATTGTTATTACCAAAAAGAAAAAAAATTAATCTCGTGAAGATATTATTATTATTATTGTTTTTTTCCGTGAGAATACCTGCAATCGGTCATTACCACTTCAGAATAAAAAAAGTCGTTATTTTAAACGTAATTAATAGTTCAAATTATATGCAACAATCATAGACATCCTCAACTACTTAAAGTATAACATAAATAATTATTGTAACTCAAAATTATTTTAGTATTCTAAAATATTAATTAAAGCAATCGCCAAAAAAATGCAAGTGGCAAATAGAAAACGGAATAACTAAGGAGGTAATATACAATCAATTTTATAACGTTGAATACAAATGTATTTCAAGTATAGGTATTCAAAATTTAGGGACGAAGAGGAGGAGATTGGAAACTATAATATAGTTACTAATTTACTGTATAGATTTTTTTTATTTGTTTTTACTCGAAAAAATCAATCATCGACAGAATGTACCTATATGAAAACCAAAAGTATTTTAAAATTGTATTTTTTACAATCATTAATAATTATATAGCGGCTAGTAATAAATAAATTGAAAACCACCCGTCAAACACACACTGTTTAAGTATAGTATATAGCTGCATGTTGTAATACCTATGATTATAATAACAATTATTTATGATATTAAAAAAATAAATAGCGTTTAATATTTTTCAAAATAAAAAATATTCGAGCTATACATGTATCTATACCCATATATTTTGGGTAGTTTTGTTTTTTGTTTTCATGATGATCTAGTGATTTTCTCGTAGGATTTTAAATAAATTTGATAACTGATTGGGTGTATATATATATATATATACATAAATGATTGAAAATATAATGAAAATAAAGATTATTCAATTTAACATTTCTAAATATTATATTCTTATGGTTATAATGGTAATGTTAGAAAACCAAAGTCAAATATTGAAATTATTGACCAAGGGATCATCAAATTAATTAAAAATTTTAAAAAAATTTTTAATTGAAAATAAATAAATTTTTAAAAAAAATATTTAAAAAAAAAAAATAACGCCATGTACATTATATTATGTTTGTCGAAATTAATTAAATAATATTTACTAATTTAAAAAAAAAAAATTTGCAAAATATAATCGCATTTTGCCTTAGCGTTCACGTGTTCTCTTCGTCTTCAATTTATGTGGAAACACGTATTATTACTAGTATTATTATTATATACTCTATTTGTATTTTGTAAAGTTCGCCACCGTCGCACTATATCGTGGTTATTATTATTTCTTTAAAGATTCTGGAAAAGACTTTATTATTATTTCCCGAGAGGAGAATATTTTCAAGACTCTAAAATAATACCGCGCAGCCCACGGTTATAGTCTACATACGAATTTTTAGCAATTTACAACTCGTATATATAATAAATACGAATATTATATACGTATATAATATTATCTCGCATATACGATGGCACATGTGCCGTTCGCCAGATTTCGGAATAATATATTGCACCTATAGTAGTATTCGTACGCTAAGCGTTTTGCTCGCGTGTAAATCGTACCGATTGCATTCAGAAAAGGTTTATATACAAGCTCAGCTGCAGTATTACGGATAGGCACCTATACTTCGTGCATAATATTATCGAGGACGAACGCGGTTTGCGGTAAATAGACTCGCGCGGGCGTTTCACGTGTACACACGCGAATAATTATCGTGTATACTTACCGAACTTCTGCGTTCGCCCGGCTATGATATTATCCGTCACATTATACAAAGAGCCCAACAATAACACATAATGTATAGAACAAAACAAAAAACAAAAATAATAATAAAACTCGCAGAAAAAGTAAGAAAACAATTTCATGTAGGTGTATATTTCGGAAATGAATTTACAAAAAAACGGAATTTGTCAATCTGCACAGACTACTGTAGGTACATATTTAATATATGATCAGCTTGCAGAAAAAATTACACTGATAAACAATAGTGAACTTTTGAAATTTTCACCGAGTACTTATAATTCGACTACCCTAACGAAATCGGTCGTAACTATTTCTTTATTTTTTTTAAAACACATTTATATTAGTTAAGAAATAAAGATATTTGAAATTATTAATGAAGAGATTTAATGAGTACCTATACATAGTTGGATAAAAAAACTTAAAATAAAAAATACAGAATTACAATCTGTTCGTTTCGTACGCCTGAGCATTTGTAAAATGTGTGTTATGATAGTTTTTGTTGCAAAAGTCGATGTAGCACTTTTTATACGTGGGGTGTTGTATTGCGTTTTTTGAGTTATACCTGAAGTTATTTGAAATTGTCGAAATTTCTTTGGTTTTGTATATAGATACAATTTTTTCAGCTCAACAATTTAATACCACGAGGTTCAGTAAGGAAGTCATCCTAAGATGTTGTCATAATGACAGTATACAAATATCGAATATCTGTAGTCCATTTTTTTTTTTTATAAATCTTTGAAATTACTATCATTTTGTATAACTATTTTTGATTTATGTGAATTATAGTTTGTATAAAAATGTTCAACAATTGTATACCTGCAGGATCTGCTATTTGTTAAGCTAAAGGTGATAAAAAGAAAAAGAAAAGTAACGGGCGTAATACCATTACTATTTATTTATAGGTGTTTGAAGATTTTAAGTATGCATTTATGAAAAAATGTAACTGTATACCTTGCTTTTCATTTGCAACGATTACGGATTAATTGACGATTACAAATTATTATTATAAACTGAATTAACTGAATTAATATTATACAGTGTGTTTCTTCTTTTATTCGTATGTCCCACTATATATATATATCATCTCTTAAAAGGAAATATAGTTTTCTCTGATAGCTATAAAGGCGTTTTAAACTTACGAAATGTATTATTTTAAAGTCGTAAATATTACGGCCTTTTAAAGCATCGTTTTTCATTAGCAATGAGTATATAAGCAGTAATAGTATTCGTCACGTACGGATATACATTGAATTTCCTCTCTACCTTCTCAATTTCTCACCTAAAACAGTAACCCGCCGTGCACCGTGCAAAGTATTTCCGTTTGTTTTTTATTTGTTGTTGTTTTCAGCTCACTGTTCAGAAATATTAGTCGTTTGGGTTGTGTGTTTAATAAACACTGTTAATGCACCCACTTATAACACCCATCGTCGTTCAGTGCAAACGTGTCGCGTCGTGGCGTGTGTTAAGTCGGGCTTATTATAAAAATAAAAGTACAATATCATCGCGATGCGGTTATATTGGATGTCGTGATGGTACCACTTATAAAACGCAACACAGGGCGCTTTCTGTCGTGTGACGTTTTTGTCGTCGGCCAGCGGTGGCACCGGGTGTTCGTATGTATACAATACATACAGGGTGTATCTACAGGATTTGACAATTTCCTATGACAAGTCCCGCAGACACACTCTGTATAATATTGCCGTCGACCGTTTTAGATCATTGCGTTCGGTCTATTACCAGTTTCCGATGTCAACAACTGCACAGTAGCTCGTTACGCGGCCGTCAGTCACCGAGGAATGGGTTCTGGTCGAAATCATTATATTTTAGGCGGGAAGAATCAACACCGCGAGGCCCCCGGCGGCGACGACGTGCGTAGTAGTTGAAAAACAGGGTCGCCCATTAAAAAAAAAAATAATAATAATAAAATATTTGAAATACAATATATTTATAGTGTTGTTTTTAACGCCTATACGAAATTTATGAATCCGACCGTACAGTTTACAGGCGACAGCTGCTGCGTAAATTATTTTCGTAAGATTTTTTTTTTTTCCTTAAAAATATAACATAATATTATTATAAAATACCTACCCGAACGTTCGAAATTCCATTAGCGCGATATTAACGCGTTAATGTATAATTATAATTGTAATTATTATTATTATTATTATTATTATTATTATACCGACTACGACGATCTTCGGGCCCTATATTTTAATAATATAATACGAGCGTTGCAATTATTATAATAATAATAATAAATATTATACCAGAGTAGATAAGAGAGTGCTACCACAAAACCGAATTTATAATACAATATAATAATAAACGTTAATTTATGGAGACATATATTATTATTTTATCCGCGTATAGAGTTATTTTGGCAACATATATGCATAAACGTATATATATATGTATACTATATAAACGGAGACTATATTATTATTATTATTATTATTATTATTATTATTAATATACCATAATTCTATGGCATAATCATTATAAATTATATAGGTATACAATAATAAATATGGTTTGTGTTTTTAGGATAATAAATACCGCGGCAGCAGCGGCAGTAACACCAACACCAATATCGCTGTCTGACATATTTTTAATTAATTTGAAAATTATACATTTTGATTCGATAATATTTGAGAAAAAAAAACAAAAAAAAAAAAACAAAAAAATTATCATATATTGCCTACGTGTGTATTATACCTAATGGAATTTAAGTGTTTCCGCGCGAATATGTGTTTAATAGTTCTAATTCTAAATGTAATTTTGTATATTTTTATCGCGTATGTTTTATAAGAGACCGGGAGAAATGAAAAATATACGTTTCCAACGTTTAGAAAAATGTTCATCATCATCGGCTATACATTACACGTTAAAATTACTATTACTATAAGTACTTTTATACACTAAGTCACTAATCGTGATTAATGAAAATCGTCGAAAAACCGTCCAACACACATTATAACCGGTTTTCTTTATTATATTAGTATATTTCGATACAAACTTTAATTTAATATAATATATTATAATAATTAAGATTAAAAGTATAATATTTCATAGGATATAATAACATAATAAATAACGCGGCGTTATAAATATACTTTGAAGAGAAAAAAATCTTCAGTCGGTATTGTAAATAATACAATATTAGAGTAATAAGATCCATCGGATTAGGTACCTCTTCACCTGTACAAATCAAGGATACATTATATCTTTGGTTCCGGGGAAAATGGTCTCGAGTCAATTTTTGTAAAATTTGTCTTGGTCTAAATCTTATAATTATTCGTGTTTTCAAAATAAATGCATGTAGTTTATTAGGTTGTGTATTAATTATATGTACAAGCGTATGCAATTTCAAAAGTCAGTTTGTTTGTACTACCAATTATACAAAATTGATACAAGTGCTTATTCCGCGGTATAAAAGATATAATTGCTTTATGAAAATGTTGTATGTAATATTCGAATACGGCTGTCATTTTTAATTTAAACAATAAACAGCACGAAATAATACGAGAAAAGAAATTAAAATCTCGGCCCATTGATTAATAGCAGAGAACATTATTTTAGTGGTATAATCAATAAAAAAAAAAAATATAACTACCTAATAATAACGACGGGTTTTTCAGTAAAACAAAAAACCTAGTCGATAAGTGCTTTAACTCAATAATTCAATTCAACTCAATAAAGACAAAATCAAATTCTAAAATCAAATTTGATACGAGTATTCTTTTCACTTAGTGGGTATATGTGTGTGTACAATATTTTATTAAACATATTATTATGTAGGTACTCACTGGAAATTTTGAAAAACGACTCCTTTAGAGCGCCATCTGAGTTCAAGTTCCAAACAATATTATGTAGAAAGTACCACGTGACGAAAAAATAGGTTAATATTATTATTTAGTGCTCCGGATTTTCAAAATCTACAGCTATCTAAGCATAACAAAATTAATTTTTTGTTTTTTCTGAAATGGTAAATTGTATTTTTATAACCAGTCATTTATAAAAAAAAAAACTTACCAAATTATTAACCTAGAAAATAGCTATTTGGCGAATTTTAGAAAACAAACCAGCTATATGAAAATTATAAATCAGTATAATTGGTTGATTATTTAAAAAAAATACTCTCCCATATAACACTATGTGCGTGCATTACAAAACTATATAGAGGAAAATCGCAACCCTGTTTTTGTTTTTGTAGCATTCGAACGATTTCGAAAATTGCTTACAGATTATTTTGCAATTAAAATTTTCATACTCGTAATAGCTCTTAATATTGTGACTCGTCGGTCAGCACCTAAAATTAAATGCTTTTGTTGTAAAAATATATGTATATTTTATAAAACGAATGAATTATTCATGGTATATAAAAAAAAAAAAATGAAATAATAACACGTAGGTCCGTGTTATTGATTCATGTATATATATAGGTACATCATTTTGTGTATTAATTTTAACCAACGATGTTATGTCCGAAGTAATTAATTCTTTATAAAAATCAATTACCAATTTATAGCCCCGCAGCTGAATCTCGAGTTCGCAGGTATTTAACAACTATGCGTATACATATTTTTATAAAATGGTTTATTAATATACAGTTTTATTATACTAATTTTGCTAGCACTTACTTTTAAGTGAATTTTAAATACTATGCACGTACCCGCCTATATACGATCGTAAAAATAATAAATAAGTTCATAAAACGAAAATTGCATGGAATTATATTTTATGCCGTCGTTAATCACGTGAAATAAACAAGGTAGCTATACTATTAGCCAGTACCTATATTATAATATTCCATAGGTACAAGACGTGAAAATATGATTTTTACGAAGCGTTAAGAATGTAACGAAAGAAATTTACAATGTGAGTGAATTTCACCCGTAATATAAAAATAATTTAACAAATTTTCGCATTGATATAACAAAAAAGTACATCAAATTATCATATCTTTTGACTGTCAGATTGTTAATTTTCGATATTTAAAGTTCAGTCGTTTTTTTCAATATACGCCTAAAATAATCAAACTATAAAAAAGCTTTTAATTATTCTTATATTTTTATTTACTACGTTTACATGAAGTAGCTAGTGCGCATTAACCTAATTCATATTTAGTTAAACTTAATTATATTAATTAATAAGTCCCCGTTTAATACGAATTATCATATGAAGTTTTAAAAGGATTATTCGATTTGTCATATCAAATTAGCGATCATTAAATAATTAAATTGCAATAGATTGATTATCATATTAAATTTCAAATCATATACAAAAATTATACATTCATAATGTATAATTTAAATATTATTTTATTTCATAAGAGTTTAATTCTAATTTTTGAGATGAATTTTGAGAAAAACTCACACAATAATAAGATAAGGTAATTTTTTGCATATTAGCGACTAGGTAACGTTATTACCGTAGTAAATAATATGGGAAGATAGGTACCCTTATCAACGAAAATTCAAAAAGTATCTACGATAGAAAATGTTTCTCCGTAGTCCAATTTTTAAAAAAAAATTTTTTTATATCATGTGCAAAACTGCCATTGGTAAAATATACTGTCCGACATTTTATATAATATAGCTTATCAGAGGAACATAACGACATATACATGACGACGCGTAGTAATAAAATAATACATAAATACTGTACATAATATTATACCATAAAAATAAGGTTTGAATAGTTTTTTATTATTATTATTATTAAAATTTTAGGATACACAGATCGGATATTGTGCACGTTTCGCTCGTTTAGTCGTAAAACTATATTGTAAATATTGTAGTTTATATCTAACATTTAATCAATAATTTATATCAAGTTAAATTGCTTCCCTTGATTCACACATGTTTAAGCGTTGAATCGAAACATTTTTAAAATTCGTTCTTAACTGTGTAGTATATACTATGTTTACACGTATAAATATATGTCATATTTCTTACATCAATATAAATGTCTACGGAGATACCTTACAGATATGTACAACAACTAGATAGTCAACTCGATTATTTTATCCCTGATCATCAGTCTGGTGCTCTTCTGATGATGACCTTTGGCCACCGATTTCCACACGGGAAATGTTTGCGTAAAATACCATGATAATACACATAATTGAAAACATCACGTGTACCTGTTTGATGTGGAATATTTTCAAATAAACATGTTATAAAGTAGGTGTATGTTGGCGATCTAATTATTTTAAAGGGTTTCCACCAGACTATTATAGTGATAGGCCCGTTAAATATTTGGTAAATTGGTCATGTTGGCACTTTTATGTTACTACAACAGGCTTGATGCCGAATCTGAAATGATAATTTAAAGTCTATCCATAAAGCCTAATAGTAAGTGTATCTGCAATAATAAAAAGTAATATCATTAAACTCATTAAAATTTAAAGACCAGTTTTTCTGATATTTTAAGAACTTTTGGTTGATTTTAAAAATATATTTTTAATTAAATTAATATTATTATCATTTTTGTTGTAAATAATCATTATGCAGAATATTGTATTAAAACTATTGAAACAAAAACTGGACTGATTATAAACATTAAAAAACACTACTACACTGACGATGACAAGCGTTATCGCTGTTACCTAATATTATTAGTAGGTAAAATGTATAAATGAGTTCAGTCAGACGGAAAATGCCATAATATATATCTGTGAAATATCTTATAATAATCGAAAAATATACGCGTAAGTACACTTATTCATATTCTTACCACACTAGGTTTAAGAAAACAAATACAGATATTTTAAATTAAATTCACTTAAGTAAATTGAATCGACTCGAACTCGAGCATTATTAAAACCATTAACGTATGTACTATAGGTACCGTAGGTACCTATCTACTATATAAAGTTTTTAAGACGAACATGTTGTTAAAGATTTTTTAAAAGTCATGCTATAATTATATTATTTTTAAAGAGTACCATTTTTATTCAACTACTTGTCCAAAAACTTACAAGAAACACGTTTTGAATGCATTCTTGCAAAATTAATTTTTCGATACTATAACAAATTACTATTATTAATATATTGTTCAAATCGAAAAACGACGCATGCTCGTCGGGATCTAAAAATTGTAATAATAATATTATACGTATAATAGATAAGTACACTGCAGCATTAATGATGTTTTTCGAAAATCTATATTTTAACCGGATTTTCGGACAATAGTATAAAAATAAATAAGTTAACCACTCGTCTAACAAGATGTCCCATGAAGATCAATTACGATATCATCTGAAATAAAGATAATCAAACTCTGTTTGTTTAGAGTAAAATAGTGTAATAGTAAAATTATTTCTTTTCGTTTTCTGATAATATTTGTTTAGCAAAACGATATTATATTCAATACATCAGTTTCTAGTCAACTAAAAAAAATCATATTTTCAACATTTTCAGAAGAATACATTTTTGTAATGACTTTTTTCAAATTCTTTAAAATAATAAAATAAAGTAATTTTTTTTTTTCCAAAACACATACTTTTAATTTAAATATTAATAATTTAAGTCACCTAATAAGAAATAATAACAAAAAATAAACAATTTGATCTTTTTTGAATTTGAATTTGATATATTCATTAGTTACGTTAGGATATATAACCGTAGGACATCTTATATTAACTATAATATAATTTTTATAGTGGTGTAGCGGTGTACACACAAGAAACTAGGAGATTGAGCGGAAATTAAACTTAAAGTAATAATATTTCGAAACCCAAGCGTACCTAAGATACGTTCGTGTAATATACCTATATATATATATATATAATATAGAAAACTGTGTGGTGTGTACAACCGAAAGAAAATGTGATTTTTTCGATTTATGAAACGACAGCAGCAGCTTGCTGAGGGCCAGCAAAAATAATAATATAATAACGTAGTTCGTGTCGTTGCAGTCGCTAAGATGTACAAGAGATATACGAGTGGACTTGCAGAACCGAGTGAGGAGACTCGAAAGTTCAAGGTAATTTTTCCGGACGATCGTGATGACGACTCACAGTGATATACCTATATATACGTGAAATACTTATCGCACACGCCGAAGTTTATACTCAAATTTTTGACAGTAATGTTCCCTGCTCGAAGCTAGCTACATACACAAATGTAATACTCCAAACTGATTCTTTAATTTCTTGTCACAAGTTTATAATATCGATAACATGATTTCAATGAAAGCAATAATAAGTGTGCTTTCCTTGGTAAGTATTTTTCAAAATCGGGTTCAAACCTGATAATGTTCTAAAAAAGTTATAGCGTAAACTTGAACCTAAGTCGATAAAAAAACCAGGACGGGTTTAAATAAACCCGGCAAAACATTAATTGATACCATCAGAACATATGTTAATTTGTAAAATGGCATTTAAAATGAATAACGCTGTATATGATATAGTCATTTGTGTGTATGGCTCGTTTCAAGTAGGAAACGTTAATATACGCGATCCGACGATCAAGATAAAATATGGAACGCACGATGACATAATATTATTATTAAACATAGTATAATATGAAATTAGACGGGGAACGCGGTGGTATATCGAACGCGAAGGAATTCGTGTGATAATATTACGACGTGAAGCTGCGGACATTATTTCGGGTGAACGAGATAGATATACTCTATATATAGTTTATAAGCACACATATTAAAACTCGTGAAAATTGGACAAAAACTCATATTCGTATAGTACACTACGAGCAAAAAAGATTTGCGATACTCCTGACATGATGGATAGCATGTTTTTAAATGTTTCTTTTCCTAAATTTAAACTGACAATTTTTTATTAATTTCTCTATAATAATTTACGATTTGTGTAAACATTTAACCTTTAAACACAAGGCAAAAATAAATAAAGGAAATCTAGTTTTACTGATGTTTTTGTTTGTGACCGACAAGATTAATAATTCTCAGCTATCGTGTACAATAATTCATTCACACAAACTGAAATAAAAATATTTCATATCATAGTAACATAAATAATTAAGTAAACAATTAAAAAGCAACGAATGAAAAATAACTAATACATATTGGAAATTTGACCACCACATTTTAAAAAATAATGATAACATATAGGTCTTTGGAAGACGCAGAACGCGTCCAACATATGAATTGGCTATTTTTTGATCTATTTTGTACTGCAAAATCTTAAGATGTCTTAAGTAACTATGATTTTTATTTTTTTACAACAAAGGCACAAGTTCATAGTATAACAGCTATGTAGAAAGAATGTATGTCAATAAAAATTACTTAAGCACAATTTATTTGTAAATGCTCATTATTTACCTACATTATTCTATTAACATATGTATTTCTTTGATATAATCAAATTTAAAAACAAAAATTTTTTAAAATGCCGGGAACAATAGCACGATATATTTAGGATTTTTCTAAGGAGGGGTAAAATAAATTTGGAAATTGTGTCATATTGTATATTATAACCTATAATAAAAAAAATGATCAATTTTCGATTCATGCATTTTTGAAAGTCATTTATAATTTTATTTGCACTAATATTAACATTTAATTTAATAAAAAAAAACTATAGGTCTAATTAACTATTATTATCGGATAATTTACTATTTTGGTTCTAAGTATCTCACATCTTTAAAAATTATAGTGGTTTGGAAAGGTTCCATTTTAAACATGAAAATTTATACGTTCAATTTTTTAGATTTTAAGTGGAAGAAGGAATGGTTTTATAATGATGTTTATTTTTTTTCAGAAAGAAAATATATTTGGGACGTTCCTTTATGAAGGTCATTTTTTGATTTTCCCAGAAATTTTCATAATATATATAAAAAAATGTAGGAAAAACGGGGAAAATTTACGAAATGTATAATTTTTAAATCGTAAATATACGGCCTTTCAATAAATATACTACTGAATTCTACTTAGAATCGTTTTTTATTAAAAATTATAAATTGTTGCGTACAATTATACATTAAATTCTCCTCTACCATCCAAATTTCTCACATACAACAGTAGGTCCAACCATCGTGCGAAGTATATCCGTATCTTTTTTATTTTGACACATTGACTATAAATAGGTACCTGCATTACTAGTCCTATGCACTACCAAAATATTTGGACTAAAATTTTAAATGAGGTAATCATATAAATAACAGGTATTGAAAAAAAATTGTCAAGTAAGAGCATTTATTTTTCTTATTTCTCTCCTTAAATTACCACTGATCGGGACTACAGATATTTAATTTTTATTACCATCATTTTTTAAAATTTGATTCGCTCGTGTAAGAAACTAGGCAAAATTATTTTTTCCGGAGGAAATCAAAGAAGTATTTGGTGAAAATTTTAAATCTCAAAACTATGATTTAATTAACCGAATTACAGCTAAAAAAGACTACAGCAGGTTGTCGAGAGACGAAATGTACAATCAGGATGCAAGGATGAAGTTAAACAGTTGGTGGGGTATTATGTGATAATAATTTTATTTTTCGCTAAATTATAATTAAAATCGAATTTAAAAAACTGAAAGACGGGAGCGGCCGTGGCAGTCGGTATAAATTATTGAAATTTAATACCACCGCGTGTATATAGTTGTGGCGGCGGAAATGATTTCCGGTTGTTGAGGCGGGAAATTGGAATACCCCCGGGAGCGCGAAAAATCCCCGTCCCGTAGAAATGGCACACAAATCGTTCTTTCGACGAAACGACACGTAGTAGTCTCGGCGATTCATATCCAAAATAATATAATCCATACGTAATCCGCGTATACAGGGTGATTACATAAAGTTACCATGAACTACCGATTATCTATAAACACATACGAACATTTTTAGTAAATTTGATTTTGCATTTTTTTTTTCAGGCTCAACACCACACAATATCAACTACATTGATTTTCAATTAGAACTTCAGGTTTTTAAAATTTCATTCAGAAAAGAAATTTCTATAATTTATATTAATTTTAATATTATAATTTGGATATGTTATTTATAAGTTGGATTAGTTAAAAATGCAGTTAAAAACTTAGATCGAAGATAGCCTACGACAGCAAATTTTAAAGGGTGACAACTAAATAGCATAGTTTTTAAATTCCGAGCGTAGTGAGAGAGCTATTGGTCTTACTAAGATGTTTATTTTTTTTTGCGCTCAGAATTGTCTTTCGTCAAGCAATGATTTATCGTTGCTTACAGGTATAAATGAAATAACTTTATGTATCCTAACTTTCCAACTTTTCATCTACAAGAGTGATCGCTCCCATTTCCAGTATCAGCCCATTTTTTTATGTAGTAACACAATTAATGTTGTAGCGTTATTTCTTAATTTTAAATATACACACAAGTTATTTTAATGCTGTATGATATTAAATTATTGAATATTGATATTAAATATTGTCATGGGTATTTATATATATTATATCGTATTCGAGATTTATCGGAGTAAGTCCCGTAAACCTATTTTTAATTACTTTTAGAAGTAAAATATCAAGATTTAAAATTTTGTGACAAATCAATTATGAGGGGTATGACAAAAACCTTAATCTAGCTCTGGAGCGGACTGTCTATGAATCTAGATAGATATATAATTCGTTCCCTATATACTTCATAAACTATAAAACCCTATAAGTTATAATAAATATATATCCTATATCTGTGTTGTGCAATCGAACATTTTAAGAAAAATGAAGGTGCTCGTTTTAAAATGAATTTGAAAAAGGTGGGTTATTTCAAAAGTTTCAAAAACTTTGTAAATCGAATAATTCCTAAGTATCACAACTTCTAGAAAAAAATCACAATAATGTATTTACTCAAAATCTTCGTACTTAAAGATAATCGCTGATTCGATTGTTAAAAGAATCTTTCTGTATAGTCTACCGTTCACATAACTAGTCGACAAACGAAAATCAAATAAATCTAACCCGTCTGTGTCGGAAGCTTTTATTTTATTTTATTTTTTTTTACAAGTAGAATTTAAAGTAAAATAAAAAAAAGACTGTTCGTACCTACGCTATTATTATACAATAATAACGCGTATGATAGCTCGTTCGTCAAGTGAAATCAAATACATAAGTAATACCGGTTTCAAAAATTATACGTCAGCTCGTTGTTAAGCCACACACACGAAATTAAATAATAATACGAAGGTGATGATAAAAAAAATAGTACTATCAACATCTTATAGCTTAATTACGATTACAAAAATCCCGGTTCGATCGTGTATAAGCGTAAAAATACTGCAAATTATGATCGTTGAAAAATAAAATTGGCAAAAAATGAAATAAAATAATCTCATATTGTGATTAATCTTAAATATTAAGTTTTAGGATTAGATAACTAAAAAATAAGAAAATAAAAACAAATAATAATTCAAAAAAATTTGTCCATATAGAGATAAAAGAGATTTATTTTCATTTAGATACCTATAAAAAAGAAACATTTATTTTTTTTTTATGTTGAAATACAAGCCTAACCTAACCTTACTAACCCAACGGAGCTAAGGCTTACTAGTCAAATGTATGGATTTTCTAAACTTTTATGTTAATTCGTTAAGTTAAAAATTTAAAATCAAATTAACTTAATTTACCCTAAATTAACTAATTTATTCTTGTCCTTAGTAGGAAATATTTAAATTTAACCTGATTACAGTACTTATTATTGGAGTTAAATTAATAAAACTGATATCTTACTGAAGAAGAAAGAAGCACCTTCCAAAGTTATAGGCTTGAAATAAACTAAATTTATTTATTAATTTGTTAAAGGAATTGGAAGCGGTAATTGTCTTTGATATACACACATATTTCCAACGTACTGATTGATCTTGTGAAACCATGAGAATTCTGAAAACAGATTTGATATTGACATCAAGTCTACTTAAAATCGACTTTCCCACATTTTTGATTATATCCCCTTAAATCCTAAAAAACCCATAGTAAAAAGAAGTAATTTAAAAAATGGAATATTTTAATTTTTGAAGAAATTTAAAATCAAATTCTAGTACACATTAATGATAAATTCAAATCTGTTTTCAGAATTCATATCGCTTCACTAAACCAATCGGTACGTTGGAAATAGAACGCATTTAAAATCCTAAATCCTATGTTGCACGTGTGTAAGACAAAGATAGAAAATCACTTCCAATCCTTTTAATACCTATTTATACTTCCTAACTACATACACAATCGATTATAATATTAATTTTTTTTTTTTAAAGAAATAAATATAAAATAGAAATATTTTATTTGGGACAATAATTATATTATTCAATATTTTACATAAAATTAAAAAAAAATTATCTTAAATAATTAATCTAGAAAAGTGAAATATATGCCTATCTAAGATACATATTTAGAGAAATTGAAACTATTCCATAAAAAATAAATAATAAGTTAACTAATTATCTGGATAAATCGGAATACTGTAGCTTTCAACATTGGTCCGATATATAGAAAACAATTAAATTCCAATTTCAATGTCATCTGAACTGTAGTATTATAATTCGATAAAATTAAATATTATTATTACCTGGAATATATGTGTAAATAAAAAAAGTTTGTTATAATTTTATGGAAGGGAATAAATATTATATTATTATTATTATTTGTATATGATTTATTTAAAATACGAATATTATCTCTACATAATATTATTATAAAAGCTTGCATAGGAATTTATATTATTTTGTTTTTGGCCTGGTTTTATCGACATCCAATAGAACATTATAGAATTAAATTTTTTTTTGTAATATTATTATACGGGATGATCAATCTATCATAAGATACTCATTATCTAAGAAAGTGTTCACCTTTTTTGAAATTTGTTTTAACGAATATTTAAGAAACAAGCTGTTCTAAAATTTAACATTTCCATTTTTTTTTCACCCTAATTTTTGGTGATGAATCGACTATCTACTTTTCATCACTATCAACTGAACTCTGCTCAAAATCGTTTTTTTTTCAGCAATGGTTTATCGTTGCTTACAGATACCAGGTGATTCATTCAAGTGGGTACACTCATTATCTCGGAAAGTATAAACGTTTTCCTGAATTTGTTTTCTATAACATTTAAGAAACAAGCTTATTTAATAAACAATATTATTTTTTGTCACCATTATTTTTAGGGGAAAAACCACTACCTACTTTTTATTTTCAAATGCAACCTATATTAAAAATTCCATAAATAGATGGGAGTAGTAGTTAAAATAAATTTTAGTGTTGAAATTGTTTGATTTCCGTTAATCTCTTAACGAGATATTCCACTTTTAATTTTGGGTCAGGGGAGAGAAGTGGTACATTCTTGAAACGCCACGCGCTATGCCGCCACGCATAAGATACTCTATCACTCTTCTACGATCCAAAATTAAAAGTAGAATATCTCGTCAACGGATTAACGAAAATTTAAAACCTAAACACATTTATTTTGACTACTACTGCATCTATCTATGACATTTTTAATATAGATTGCGATTTGAAAATCAAAAGTACGTAGTTGTTTAACTCCTTAAAAAAATATTAGGATGGCAAAAAATAACATAAATGTAAAACTGCAGATTTGCTTGTTTCTAAAATTGTTTACAAAAGAAATGTCGAAATTGTAATTGATCCTATTATTATAATAATAATAGGATAATTGTCCTATGATGGATTGGTCATTCTGTATCTCACTTAACTGGCACGTAACAGTTACAACGGTAGTCTTATAAAATAACGTAATTTAGTCATTGTGAAATAAATAATAATACCTATACGATTGAAATCTATAAATCAATAATATGGTGGTGTAAATATAGTAGAATATGGTGGTGAATATGATTTAGGTAATCAAAAAAAAAAAAAATAAATAAAATAAATGCTTCTTGTATTGAACACCTGACACTAATATAATAGCATATATCATTTTTCGTTGAACTTTCAAAAAGAGAAAAATCCATTTAAACGTAATTTATATAATAATAAACGACTTTACGACTTTTCAACTTTTGTATAGAATATATATTATTATAAAGATTCTGCTGCAGCGTTTGTACATCTCTCAATTTATATAGGTAAGTATATTTTATTTTTCGATTTTTCCCTGTGTATAACATACACAATGGAGACTTTGTCGGTAGATTTTCGATCGTCTTTCCGCAAGATTCTATTATTGTGTTGTTAGTTTGAAGACGACGACATACGCGTTCGTGATGATCAAAAGGCGACGATAAAGATCGAGCGCACAATCGTGCAGATCCCAGAGAACTACAGAAGAGAATGTTATACTATACCTACCTACTCAATACTATAGCAGCCAATTCAATTCATACCGGTCTTTCTCGGCAATTATTTTCGAAAAAAAAAAAATGTTTATTATTTCTGTAACGATCAAAGATATGTAACTATATTATAATCTTAGAATAGGTATATCGGAAAATTCAAAGGGAACATATACATGTACATAGACGTAATAACCGATATGCTATAGGTGCACCGAAATAACTCAAAATATAGATACAGCATAAAGTAATAAATAATATACAGCTACCTAATAAAGTTTAACACTGTAAAATCATAAAAAAAAAAAAAAACTGGACACACTTTACATTCTTCGAACCACGGGTATGATATGCAGGGTTATTTAGTGTATTGTGTATTAATGTATATAGATACTGTAAATAAATAAAGAAATAAATCGTTAAATAAATAACCATATCAGACGAAAAACGATTCTGAGTGGAGTAATAATAATCGTGTTGTATTTTCCTAGTTGAAAAAAAGATTCAGATCTAAAAAGATGACTTAGAATTCCATAAAAATAAAAAATAAAAAAGAACTGAAGGGATGAACTGTTGAATATCTCGATAAATTATCTCAAATAAAATACCACCGACTGGGAATTTCGCATCTTTTCAGATATTATGTGATGAAAACGGAGTTTTCAATAATTAAAAAAATGTTTTTCAAGAAATAAAAACAACTTTGTAAAACTAATAGCTTCTTCATTATACCTACTCAAAAGCTATAATAGCTTAAAATTTACTCAAAAAAAAATAAACAATCCAAAAATATTATTTAATTTATTAAAATTTTTAGAAAATAAAATTAATCTAAGATTCAAGACTGAGAATTACAGAATTAAACAAAATTTGAAATCGAGTTAATTTTAATTTTTAACTTAGCTACACATTTTAACCTTTCATTTTTATCTATCTACTTGAATTATTTTGTTTTGCATTAACTCAATAAATAACGAGTTAATTTAAATAATTTTAATTGTAACAAAATAATATTAAATGCACAATTTGAATTTAGGTAGCATGGTATACAATTCATTAATTTTGTTTTTTTTTATCGGTAAACGATGGGAAGATTCAAGTTTAAAATAATTATAATTTGATATTTTTAGAATAAATCCCCTAGTGTTATAATGATTGTCGATCATCCGTCTTTCTTTCTTTTCCAAAAGATCATAAACATCACCTGAGAACGAATAGGTTCTGAACTATTGTTTTGAAAGTGTTCAGGAGAAATAAGATTTGATTTTTTATTTAGATAAATTAAATTTTGAGTAGCTCGATGAATATTAAGATAGAAAATTCATTTTTAGATTTAAAAAAAAAGGAATTTTTTTCTTATATAACAATCATTAAAAGTGATTTTTTAATTAATCACTATCAATAAACCTTTCAATGCCGGGTAATGTTTAATAGTTATCAATATTTGTATGAGAATAAAGATTGTACAAAAAATTAAACTGATAAAATAATTGATTAATAAAACAAACCTAATTTATCGTATTAAATCCTTAAATTGTTTTCAATTAATTTAATTAAGTTAATATAGCAGTAGGCATGCTCAATGCTCAGTCTTGCAAAATCGAACGACAAATATCTTTTTTATAATATTATAGAGTTGAACAGTTGCAATTTTTTTTTTTTTTAAAATGCCTTTTTATAATTATTGCGAAACATTTATATTAATTGATTTATTGTGTTAATGCATATTACAGTAAGATGATCCGATAACACGTTATTATAATAATTTACACAATAGAGCATGCCATACTTCACACTCGTATTAATATTTTATTAGTAAAATAATATCGAAAATTCAATATTTTATCGAACAGTTTGTTAATAATTAATAGTCGTGAGAATTGTTATTAAAAATGTACCTGGAACTTGCACTGTTTATGATATGATTGGGTTTTTACCAACTTAATGATAAATTGGGCGGTGAAAAGAAGTAGGTAAGTATTTAATATGAGGTCGTCGGGGTGGAAGTATATACTGTGTAGTATATATATATATATATATATTATATTCTTATCGTTTTTTGTTTTGTGGACGTCGTTCAATTTGGCACTACTCCTCGGTCGCGGATGCAAGTTGGATGATAAATTAAAAGGGTCATTCTTAAATGACATACGAGCAGTAGTTATCAGGCAGATCGATCTACCACCGCAATCCCCCAAACATTATACGAATAGGTACTACTATTATATATATGCATGAAATAATTCGAGGCGACGAAAGGGAAATTTTGACCAAACGAGTGAGTACATCATCTACTGTAAACTATTATAAGTCGTATATCCTATACAAAGAAACAGTGTTCGGAATAATAATAGAATTTATTGTTAAATTTAACATTATAGACGAATAATGTATGCATATATATACATAGATGAGTGTCGTGCATTAGCGATATTTATTTTTTCAGTCACAGATGATGTCGTCACACACCGTCAGTTTTATAATAATTAATGATCCAATAACGCGCTTATTACAATATTAATATTTGATAAATTACACTACCTATATTATTATATTTTCATATTTTTTTTTACGAAACATAATATACTGTCTATATCGAATTTCTTGGGTCGATGCCCTAAAAAAAAAAAAAAAATGCATAAATTTAAAAATAAAAACAAAAATATCCACCGATTTTACTTTTTTTTTTTTTTTGGACATTTCAATGAGATATAATTAGATAATATATAATGAGATACATAACCATATTCAAATTTAAATTTAAAATAATAATAATCGTTTTCTTGCCGTGTCTTAATGAATAAGTAGATTTACACCTAACCGACACTAACAATAACCGAGTCATCTGTACTAATTTTTTTTCTCTATAGTTTAACTTTCTTTTTATTTTTTTTGTTTCAAATCTTATCCTCAACTAATACATTTACCCAACTATTTAAAATGTATACGATTATTAGTAGGTAATTAAATATGAAACAATCGTCCCTCCTCTTTCGTACTATAGTGCATATAATAAAAATACATAAATCATATTTTTTTTTATCGAGTTGGCATATTCACAAATTTCATCGTGACAAATATATAGCTTCAAAAATCTTTTGTTCGGTATTTCATTGTATAATACAAATTATACCACAAAAAAAAAACCATGAATAATATACTTGAATATATTTTATGTAAAGAATAATATAATATATAAAATTTAAATATATTTAAAATGGTTTTATTACTTATAAAATAGAAACTGACTGCACTTGGTATATATAAGTAACCCTTAACATTTTCCTCGCCAAAAGTTGAAAAAGTCTCTCAAAACTAAATTTAAACCATACATAAGTACTAGACCTTTATATCAAAGCAAGTTCAATAATATGTAAGTATATTTAAATTGGTTTTAAAAATTGTTTAAATGTCTATTTTTTAAATCTGGGTAGAGAGAAGAAGCTTATATTCGTTTACACAAATATATGTATTGTTCTCTTTTGAAAAACACTTGTTTGGATTAGTAATAATACCACGATTTTGTTATGCTATACTTTAAAATATACACAATTTTCTCTCCTTAGTATTTCACTTGGAACATTTTTTCAAACAATTAAACAAAAAATCTAATGACAAATGACAAAATACCGGTTTTATTTTTGTTGATTTCTGTGGCTTATCTTGGCTACAGAGGGATTAATACTATAACCTTATTAGTTTACCGAGCTAGGCCAAGAATATTTATTAAAATTGTATTGGTCTATCGTTGTTTTCAGTATGTAAGTTAAATTTTTTTCCATGATATTAAGATTCAAAAAAAAAATACCATTTTAATAATAATACATTAAATAATAACGGATATATATATTTGTATATATCCAACTATCGTATTTATTATAGTGCTGTTGGCAATACTGTCATCATATACATACATATATGTAGAGGATCGTGAATCGTATCCAAATACACTCATTAGACTACGCGCCTAATTTAGAAATAATAGAAAACTGCTAAGACGAAAAAAAATAGCTAACGAGTAGTATATATCTAATACTTGCAGTATGTACCTTAACCAAAGAGAAAAATAATAATATGTATATATATTATATATAGGTAAACACGTCACCTTAATGAGAATTTATACGTTTGCATTTTGTTCGCAAGTATAATATATAGTGTGCGTATATAATATAATATATAAGTCATTTTTTTTTTTTTGTAAGAAAACCACGTTGAATACTGCAGACACTGGGAGCTCACGACTCAGAAAAAAAAAAATTCTCATTTAAATGAACATTAAAACATGAAATAAAAAAAAAAAAATCGAAGAAATATACAATTATTAATAGAAATGTATATACGTATTTTAACCTACGCGGTAATAATATTATAATATGTAAACACGATGAGATGAGGATATAATAGTTATATAGGTGGTGGCCCGAAGGTAGCTGGAAATATGGTTCGGCGTGATTACACCGGTCACCGCGGTCAAAGACGACGGTTGAAAAAGGAAAAAAAGTGTTGATTTATTGCACCCAATAGAACTGTTGGCATAAAATTCAAATAAAACAAATGGCTTCAGTTTATTTTTCTACATTAGTATTGAGAGAACATTGAAAGGTATTATAGGTATATATGTTTTCAAACGTGTGGGAGGACATCCCGATAATATTGACCTACCCACAAACCGTCGAACCCGCTCAAATTTAAATAATGAATTTTCATTTGAAAAAACAAAAAAAAAAAATCTCTATTTTATTCCTGCAGCTAAATTACGAATGCGTCAAACATTTTTCACGAAACTACCAACCTATAATGTATACCTACTAATAACTATAGATTATATTTTTTCAAATTCTGAGCGGAACAAGTTATTATGAGAGTAAGTACTAGTAAATTATATATGCATAAACTCCACGCTTTTCGAAACTAAATGATAGTTTATGCGACAGTGCTACTGATAGATAAACTGTATATTGAAAATAGTACATCTTAACAAAAAATTAAATACTTGTGGGTAACGAGATTTAAAATGTTGATTACGGAATATATTGTTACGTTGGGAACAATTTGAATCGTCTTGTAAACAAATTTAATTTTCTAAGTGGATCAAAATATCTCCACTGGATCAAATATTTCCCGGGACCATTTTGATCCGTGGGTAAAAAACGAATCGATATATCCTCATTAAAAGACGGATCAAGACGTCATCGGAAACATTTTAATCGTATAGGGACTTTTTGATCCGTTTATCAAATTCAATTATTTGTTGAACGGATCGAAATGTCACTATACCAAAATGCTACATAAGAGGCAGCCTTCTGGTTGAAAACTAGTTCAGAAATAAAAAAAATTACACGTATCGTATTGTGGCAAATAAACCAATAATTTACCTTGTCAGTTCCTTTACAAAATCTGAAATACTGAAATATATACACCTGGTACTTAAATAATATTATAATTTTTACGGATAATTTTTTTTTCTCAACAATATTGAATTATATACTATACGATCTTATATAAAAGTGGTCCGATTAATAATAATAATATAAAATAAACAGAATAATATATTCTAAAAATATAATAATTAATGTGTCTGTAGGAAACACTCGGACTCTGGTGTTTAACATTGAAAATAAGTATATAGTTTATAAATTATTATAATATATTTTATCATTAGGTTTAAAACATAAAATTCAATTTGTAGCTTTTATATAGCTACCTAGTTTTTTAATTAACCCCGTAAAAAGGACGGTACATAAATCAGAATTTAAATTATTTCTCGTTGTCATTTCGTATTTACAATAAATGCCCAGGCCGTCCCGGGAATAATACTATTAATATTTAAAAATGTTAAAATTTCGAACCGGTTAACGTCTAACCGGTAACAGAATAATAATATTAAGGGAATTGGATGCCGGGATATTTTCGTTCTTTGTCTAATACAAACTACTCAGCATTGCGATTTTAGACCGATAGCAGTCAGTTGGACCATAGTAGTAATAAAAATTCTGAAAACAGACTTGAATTTATCGTGAAATAAATGAGGTTTAATAAAAATAAATGAGATTGGTTGAACCACCTTTTTGAATTTGAGTTCTGAATTTCGAAACATTTGATTTGAAGATTTGAAAATATAAAAAAAAAAATGTTAATTCAATTGAAAAAGGCTAAATCTACTGATGGGTATGTCATTGTTTTAAAAGGGAAGTTGACAGGGAGAGTAATTTAATTTATATTATTACGCAAGGCGCAACGAAAAAAACGATTCTTCGCAGAGTATCTATTGGTTGTATTATTAGTCATAATAATAACTAACAAGTGTATTGTATTTATTGGCAAGATAACCCAGAAATCAACAAAATTTATATATGTCAAATTCCCAAATTGTTTTCCCATTTATTAAGAAAACTACAAGGAAAATCAAAAAATGAATTTCTTAATACACCAACTAGATTAAAAACGCTACAAGAAGTTTAATAGGCACATGTTTTTTGATTGAACCAAGATTTCTGGTAGAAAATTTGTTTACAGATTTCTTTTCCTAAAAAAATAAATTACAATATTGTAAAACCAATACATTCCTCACATTGCTAGGAATACTGATCAAAGAGGCTTGAACGATCTCGTGTACACTTCACACTGCAAATTCAAATTAATTTTCAGAATTCGTATCGCTTCACTTATATCGGTTGGACTGATGACACAAAATTAAAATAATATATATATTCTCCTTTGGTATATAGGTACTCTATAGTAGAAAAGTTCTAAAAAAAAAAAAGAACGTACGCAATTGCCAAAGTCGATAATCATATATTATGATAACAATTTACAACTATACTCATTGAATTCTATAACTGTGCAATTCCATTTTACACTCCGATAAATTATTATACAAAAAAAAATATATATATGTATAAAAATAATAATAATTTATTATACCGTCCAAACGATTAACATTTTTATAATATACGCGCACGAATCGAATGCATTATTATAAGAATACTGTGCAGCAGCGTGCAGTGATGTGGTTCGAAACGATACTATAAATCAAGTAGCGACGAATAAAAAACGACAATAACACAACGACTACAATACAATAATTATTGTAAGTATAACATATATTATAATATTATATTTATAGTCGTTACTTGTAAAAAAAATACACCTATATTATAATATGTACTTGTATATAGCCGTATGTAATAGTTGTATCGCGATGAATGTAATACGCGCGACTACACGACACGCGTACCTGCTTAGGAAAAAAAAATGAACGATCTCCACAACCCAGCCATAAATTTAGGTAGGTATTATTATTAATTACTGATGCCAAAGATAATAATATTGTAAAAATATTATTAATATATTAGGTATACAATAATATTACGTATACAACGTATTATAGGTATACGTGTATAGACACCAAACGATAAGATTATAACATGTTATAATATAGAGAACTGGTTGATCGTAAAATACCCACTAATATAATATTATCAGTACGTCATGTTATTATTATTATTATTAGTTTTTTTTTTTTATCTGTTCCTAATATCCCGCCATCATCATCGTCGATGCTCAACAATATGTTACCAGCAGGGCTTGTTATACGATAGTTTTACAATTGAATGGGTCAATGGATATTAATGGATATTAATCAAAATCAGGTAACCTGACATTTTAGATTCTGAGTGGAGCGGGGAATATATTGGTTTTACAATGATATTTATTATTATTATTATTATTTTTTTTTTTTTTATGTGAACACTTTTTCTACCAAAAAGAATACTCTGATTATCAAGTATAGCACCTTTTCTGAAAGGAAATGTTCTCTGGGTGGTACTTTAAAGAGGTTATTTTTTGTAATTCTCATTTATATTCGAGATAATGAAAGAAACCTAGGTATTTAGGTTAAAAAAGATTGAAAGATTAAAAACAAAGTTGCCATTGGTAACTATTTTTATTATTAGGTTTTTATTATTTTAATCTTTTTTAAACAAGCATTGATGTCATTGAAACGCATATTGTAATCATTTTACCATAATATGATACATATCGTATATTGTGTTGTTGACAGAACAACACTATCAACTGAACTCGGCTCAGAATCGTTTTTTCATTAGCAATGGTTAATCGTTGCTTACAGATATACATTAAATTCCCGTCTGTATTCTATCTTCCCAACTTCCCACCTACAAGAGTACAACGGCTGCATCCACGTGCGAAGTGTGTCCGTACTTTTTTTTTTTTTATAATTATTGTTGATATTATTTCATTGACGTATTGTTACAGATGTATAAAAAAATCTCGGAACAAACAAAATCTTATATATAAAGGAGGTATTCAATTATTAAAGCTATGATTCTAAGCACATAATTTTTAGTTTTTCTTTGGTGAGATAAAGGTTACAGTCTAATTATTATTTGTCGTTCTATTCTGTAAAAAAAGGCATGATTTTTTTCAAATCATTATTCTGTACAATTTAAAAAAAAAAATGTTCATTGACACCTTTATCAATTATTGTGCATATTTTATTATATATGGCTATAGAACTTGGGAATATTCGAAACACAAACAAAGACACTGAAAGCCCTGGAGTCGAATTAGTTAGAGTATTAGTTATATAAAACGTGCGATCATAAAGTAGGTACATAAAACATTGAGCGAGAAACGGGCATTGGTGGATTCCATGTAAAACGGAAAGATGAAAAGTGGTAGTTAATACACATATAGACATCCAAAAGAGCTAAACAGTATAATAATATGCATGACATGGTGGAAGAAAAAATATAACGTGGGAAATCTCACAATTTTTTAAGGTGGGCAAATCAAAAAATATGCGGGAGAAGTAGGAAGCTATGGATAACTGAAACGTGTAGTTAATGACCGTTTAGAATGGAGAAGAAGAGCTATAAAAGTGTAATCCAACATATGGGTTAAAAATAAAAACTTAACAGTTACACACGGTGATTGGCCGATCCCGATTTTAAAACTGTTTTAAAGAAACGTCAGTATACTTTGAATATTTTATTTGCATGTCTAAAAAAGTGCTTTTACGAGTATTAGTACTTGTTGTAAGGTTTGGGTTCTGTATGATTATTTTTCACGGAACTACAAAAATAAAATCAAAATCAAAATAATGAACACTGAACAGAAATCGTATTATTTTAATTCCTGTTTTTTCCAAAGTTTATGTTTAGTTTTTAAAATTATTAGTAAAAATTGCAAGAAAAGTAAAAAATAAAAATACTTCACAAATTCGCCAACTAGACACAATTTTCTATCGGAAACCACTCGAAAATAAATTTATATTATGACTGGAACAAGATTTCTAGACAAAAATTTGTTTACAGATGGAAAACGAAAAAAATACATCACAGTAAAACTTAAGAAAAAAAAAAGTGGGCGCTATTAGTAATAGCGTATCGATTCCCGCTCAGAATAATACATATTATTTTTTTAGTCGCCAACATTGTCGATTTGGAGATTATATAATATAGGTACTTAAGTGTTTATAATTTATGGTCAACGTATTAATCACGACAAAATTACGTATGTTTTCTACTGTCTGCGATCGATCGCGATATATTGAGATAGCTTTTTAATCATTTTTTTACGTTTCATTTTTTTTTCTAAGAATTCCACTAGCGGGTATCTTTTTCCTATACACTTGTGAGACGGCGAAATATTATTGTCAAACATTATTCGTGGCCGTACGCGCTAACATAATATTTTCTTCGTTCCGCCGCGTGTGCGCACGAGACGTATAATTATTTCCGAATCAAACGAACCGTCTAATGGGCCGCCATCCGTTGCCCTCCCCCCGAAGGCACTCACTACATTATGTATAATATAGCCGCAGAGTTTTACACGTTTTTTTTATTATTATTATTATTATTATTATTATTTTTTTTTTTTTGCTGAAAAAATTACCATAATCACACGGAGTACTTCGCACAGTCCCTGCGAAACTTTAGAGAGGATTAATTACAGGGGGAGCCTTCCGTGAAAACCCGGAAAATAATACAAAGTTCTGCAAGACGGCCATAATTATCTGTTTCGGACATTATAATAATTACATTATAAACGTTTAAATAATGTTATTACCATATTATAATAAACAGGGCTTGGATTCTGTATAGCATATTAGTAGCTATAGACACAGCAAGGGATATTGAGGGTATTTTATTAAAAATCGATAATTGACATAATATTTTTGGAAACAAATATTTATAATTCCTTTGGAAAATAAATAAAACAGTTCGAAAAATCGGATATTCAATCGATATATTGGTTTAATATCGGTAATAAATACCAGATTGTAAGATATTGGAAAGAAGTCATATCGGCTCACTACTAATATTTCCCATAATTATTATTGGGATACTGGTAAAAAGAGTGAAGTTAGCATATACATTTGATCCGTGTACCAGATATTCATAAAAAAACAATTTTATTTTTTATATTTTAGGCATATAAAATTCGGTTTTCAATATTTTTTTATAACGTGTATTAAGTATGTTTATTTTGTGTTTTTCATAAATCTCATTTAAACTGAATTAATTATCAATAGTTGCATTCAGTCGACGCGTTCATTCAAGTTAATTTCAAAATTTAATTGAATTTAGTTCATATTTTACTAATAATTTAAAATAGTCAACAAATAATTGTTAATACGAAATAATAAACAATTCAAAATTTAAAATTTGTAATATTTTTTATGGTTTTTGATTATATTATAGCGCATATTTCAGTAATTTTTTGCGCTATAAAATCCAAGACCCCAATTATTAATAATTATTACTATGCATATATTATTCTGCAGTGAACAGCGGCCAAGATATAGTTACAGTTTAATTAAGAAAACACGAATGTGTAAACTACACCGATAATTTATCACGATTAGACCGAAATATAGCATCTGCATGTGAGATTCCCCGTCTTTTCAGATCTACGCCAACTTGTATATTTGTAAACTAATAATCTATTATAGAAACGGTTTCTATTTATATAAATATTATACGAACATTTGCAGGGTGACCAGATAAGAAAATATTAAAATACAGGACAAAAATAGGGGATCGTAAAAATTACGATGAACAACATTATAAAAACTTATTTACAAGTTATTTAAATTATTACTCATTTGTATTTATTGATATTTAGATGCTTTTAATTTTTTTAATTAACGAATTGTCTTATATTTTTAATTATTCTAAATGGATATACTATTAAATAGTAAAATATATTCCACCACAAGTAAAAAGCCGGCTATACTTTACTATCTGGGTAGACCACTGATGAAATAGATGAACAATTAGTAAGGTATCGGATAAAGGGTAATTTAATTTATATGGATACTAAAAGCATTACAACAAAAAAGTGATACTGCTCACGGGTACCGTCGTAGATGGATAGTTGGATATACAGAATGGTTTAGTTTGTAAAATGTATGCAATGATAAAAAGCGAAACAGAATTGTTTGTGTTTTTTCCCAGTTATTAAGATAACTACATGAAAAATCAAAAAATGACCTTTCTAATGCATCAACGACATCCAAAATGCTATACACGAAAATTCCAACAAAGTTTTTGAGTATTTGATTTGATCAATATCTATAATAAAAAAAAAATCATATCATAGTAAGACTTATAAATTCCTTGTTATGCTAAGAATCTAAAACGAACAAAACTCAGCTATTTCGTAAGGTATTCGTCGTATTTTTTTCTTTGTAACTCAGGAAACAACGATGTTGTTATTTGTAGTCAGTTGTTTTAATTTTTTGAAAATGTATTGGAGGATTTCAAAATAATATTCAAATAAAATACCATTTAACAAAAGATCAGAACATATTTAACCTAACAATCAAATAGTAAAATAACATTGTAAGAAACTTATAGAGGCCACATGTAAAGTCGGTCTCATTATAAATTACGAAAAAACAGAATATATAAAACTTAGCAGAGGGATAGATTGTGTTAACGAGGACAGATTACAGAAATAGAAGAATATATACTTTACAGAGTACCACTATTTAAGTACTTAGGAGTTCTTTTAATTCAAAATAATGAGAAAGCAGAGATATTCAGAAAAATACTATTGGCAAACAAGTGTTTCTTGGGAGCTGGAACTCTCCTAAAATCCCAATCCATTTTTGTAAACTTAAAAATTAAAATATATATGACATTAATTCGTCCCATCATTGTGTATAGCTTGGAAACATTGGAAAATTAATAAAGGGAGTAAGGTAATAATAGAAGGAGTAAGCCTAGATATGTTTGAAAGAAAAGTACCGATACAAATCTGTGGCCCTTTTCTTGGCTCTAAAACTGGTAAATAGAGAATACGAAAAAACTAAGAGGTTCAATGCATGTTTCAAAGACCGTGTACATCAAGGGAAGCTTTAAAAATAAGGTTAGCCTAAGCCGGGCATGACTGGAGGGAAAATAGTGCATTGATAAAAGCACTAATTAAAAAAGAAACTTCAGAAAAATACCGCTAGGTATAACTCACCTTAGATGGGAAGACTGAGTGAAAAAGAACATTAAAGCAGTAAGTTTAAGATCCAACTGAAGAGATATACCTCATGATAGAGAGAGATGAGGGGGAATTTGTTATACGGGGATGGCCGTAAAGGCCGAAAATCCTCTCCAGGAAAAAAAAATTGACTAACCAAAAAAGTATTTTCTAAGGAGAAAAAATGGTGTTCAAAAGAACTTAAGTGACTTATAAAAACTTTAAGTGAAAAGGTGTCTAATGCCCATTATTTATTTATAGAATTAAGTGTTCTATCGTCGATTCGCATTTATTCATATACGTCAATTAAAAATTAATTGTATTTAAAAAAAAAAAATCACTTGAAATTTTCATAAGATCTATATATTAGGATACTGATTATCTGATAAAATTCACTTTACACGCACTGTTGCCTTAAATGGACCTTTTTTCCTCTACATTTTTTTTATTTTTTAAAAAAAAAACTCATTTTTAGGTATGGGACATTCTAGGGTCCCGAGAATATTCTTTGGGGTAACTGGAGTGTGGGATAGAGACATTCGAAATATACTGGACGTCTGGAAACCCTACGAATATTTGAATCAATATTTGAGAAAAAATACAGTGTCGTTATAATAATATAGAATATATATTATTATTATTATTATTATAATATATAGTATACTAATGATTAAATATTTCGCATAGAGTAATATTATTGCAACTTTTGTCTTATAGAGCGGTTTTAGTGTAGAATTTGTTTTACATAAAATTTGAATTACAATACGCGACATAAAAATATATTATAGTAAGTTGATATTATTATTATTACAGTTTACCGGAACGATACGAATGTAAGTTTGTTTTATTCGTTATCATAATTTATTATAAATCGCGTACTCGTTTCGAATACGAGTAGGTACCTATATAGTGTAGTTTTTATCTCTTTCGGAAAACGTTCGACCGTTTGACCCTTCAAACTTATATATTATACGAAACGGAATAAGGTGAATTGTTGTTGTTGTTGTTGGTTCTTTTCTTCAGTAAAACACCAGCATAAAACCTAAACTTAAATTGGCCTTTTTTATATTTATAAAATACAGTGGTGTAATTGTTTTTTTTTTTTTTTTAACGAGACAAGATAAAATCGATCGTAGGTAAGTATATAAATATAATACTTACTTATTTCTTATCACGTAAATTATTGTACTTTTTATCGGATTAATAAAGTAGGTCCCTGTAATAAATGTATATACATTTATAACCCCCCCCCCCTTCTATTTGCGTTAAAAAGTCACCGGGCTTAAGAACATTTTGAAAATGCAACGTGAATATTGCAATAAGTATAAAAATATAAAATAAAAATCGTCGATTATCTCGTAAAGATAACTCTCTACGAAATAATTGCACGTATAATATACACCGCATTATTATGAATATTATTAGTAGGTATCCTATAAAATATGATCGCTAACTATTCGAAAATTAAAACGCGAGTCGGGTGGTGTACGATTATAATAGTAATCGATTTACTGCAGACAACGTACATATTATATAGGTAACAACTTGGTACAGTTTTCAGAGATTTCACCATATGGGTATACCTACTATTATGTATTATGTAAAAAAAATAATAATAATTTATATCGCATGCCGTTTTGTTTGAAATATTTATTTGACTTCAGTATTATAATATAATAACATTCCATAAATAACCGTATTTCTATAACTACACAAACCCATAATGACTCACGGTAAGGCGTAATAATTATATTATACGTTGATCGGAAATAATTATTATTGCTTCGCGAATACTTTTAAATATTTTTCGAGAAATTGTATTATTAAAATTATAATATAGTAGACAAGTACTACGTATACGAGTACATTCGATATTTTCGGTTTTTATTTTAGTCATTACGGCGGGCTATGGTACAATTGTTTATACTAACTAACGTGGTATTATTATTATTATCACTAAAGATTCTACCTCTATATCGAAATGAACTATGCATTTACGAATAAAGGTACAAAAAAAAAAAATATATATCTATGTATATACCTAAAAACCACAATAGAATAATAGAAATTAATTAGTTTATTATCTGATTCTAAAATGACTACATTTACATAAAAATCCGTTTGGTGGAACCACTATTTTCAAAAACAACGTAAAAACAGTTTTTGATTTTTTTACACAACATGGATAATTTTACTTCTTATCAAACTAATGACTTTTCTATTTTTCTTTACGAAAAATATTTTATGTGCTATTCCTATTGAACAAATTTCTTTATTCATATTTCTATTAACACGTCCAAAAACGTGAATTATTAACAAATATTGATTTATAAACTTTCGAATAATACGTTAAGGTAAATAAAAATAAATACAAGTGAATTAATAACACAAATATGAACAACTAAAAAAAGAACACAGGACTTATGTAAATATTTGATATTTGTTAAAAATTACAGTTTTAGTGGTATGTGCTATAAAATATGAACTATCTAAATAGTATGTTGAAAAGTTTACATAATGTGAATGTCAATATAGTATCGCGAAAAGTTGACAAAAATAATTTTATTATATCTGTTTTATAAAAAAATACAAAATCAATATCCGTTTCGTGAAGTGGACCAAAATGATCATCAATATGACAACATAGTATAACAAATGTCGTAGTTCGCAGTATAGAGATCATTTTTATGAAGTGGACATCCACAAAAAGAATTTCAAGGATTTTACTCGATACTACAAATTTGATATATATATAACATTATACTGTAATATACTTATTAGGTTTGTCAAATGATATATAAATATAGAAGTTCTAAACATTTTCTTAACCCTATTTAACGGTCTTGGGGCTGCAGTGGTAATAATCAATTATTATAATATTGAGGGTTCATTATGTTAACGTTATTTTCTTGTACTTGCATTTACATTTGCTAATGGTATGGCGGCCGAAGTCTAATATCGAAGAGTTTTAGACCAGTACGTAGGGTTTATGTTTCCCAATTTGAGAATTTTTTGAGAAAAATGGGTATTGCATTTAATACTTTATAATACCAGATTTTCTTCTTGTTTTTATTTATGTATCTCATATTTGTTTACTTTTTTGTGGGTTTATAATATATTTTTAGGTTAGAAGGCGTATATGTATATAAGGGCGACTCTGATACCTGAAGATCCGTATGTGGAATGCGGATAGTTGCGGACGATAATCGGAAGTAGAACGCCGGAGGACATGTGCAAGCCTTGGTTGAGCACGTGCACCGCGAACGACACGGCCACGACGATCCAACCCCATCCGCCTTCCGGGTAGTAATGCTGCTTTAGGGTAGGCACTTCCGTCTTGACCACTACCGGACATAGTACTTCGCTGCAACTCGGCAAATCGCTGCACGTGGCCAGTCCGGAGTCCAAGTCGGGATCCATCATGAATCTGGTCGGTGACGGTGTCGCAACCTTCACAACCACAGCCGTCACCGTTGCTATACGGTCACTATATCTTTACGGTGACGGCTACACAAGTAGCTCACCGCTATCGTTGCCACTACCGCCACCGCAGCAACCGCCGACGCCGCCGCCGCCACTGTCGCAAAATGATGGGCTGCAATAAGCACCGGGGCGGGAATAACTCGTGAATAACAAAAATTAAATGAACAGAAATATCATCACGGTAAAAAATACCCATAGTCGAATATTTAAAATCTCATTAATAGGTTTTTAAACTTTCGAAATAGCAATATATTTGTCCGAGGTAGATTCGAGTAAAAAATTACTAACCGGACTTAAAAATAGTAAAAATTTCCGAATCCGAAATATCCAAAAGGAAAACATAATAATTAATATAATACTAATATGATAAATTAAAATCAAAAACAAATCCATGTAAAAATTATTTTACTTTATTACAATAATTATCATCAGTTAATTATAATCATTTCTTTTATTTGGGTATGCCAATCAGTGAAATGATATTTGTAAAATTATCAAATTTTTAAAATGTTTAGGTAGCGTATAATTTAAATGTAGTAAAAAATTATTTTAATTTATTTTATATTGCAAATCATTTTTTTGTATCCAATCACTATAATATTATATCCTTATAACTATTATTGTAATAATGATCAATTTTTTTTTCAAATGCGACATTGACGATGTATTTCTCTAAATTTGTATCTATTTATATGGTATTGTTTATATTATTTTATTAGATTAAAATATCAGCAAATGGTAATAATGGGCAAAATAGTAAAATTTGAAAAAGTATACTTTACTTCGAAATACTTCACGCCGAAATAGCTCATGAAATAATGCTTTTAAGGAGATAAAAGTAAAAACCGGAAAATTGTGTTAAAAAGACTATAAGCCAGATATCCAATGGAGATAAAAATTGTAGAGACTAGGGGTAAGAAGGTGCAAGTGTTTTGTAATTAGTAGATGGTCTTAAGAACCGAAACTAAGAAGACAACGAAAAAGACTAAAAAAAAGTATATGATACTATTAAAATTCTTATTTGTACTGTTGGTATTTTCGAAATTCGAGCTCTCTAAGATTATAATATATGATTTTGTTATCTTTTCACATAAAATGTATTTTAAATCCGAAGTGGGTTAAAAATATGAATATTTTAGATTCGAATATAATATTATTATTTACCAAACCTAAAAGCGAGTTGCCCTACATGATTAACTTAAATAAGGACATTGCAAAAACTATGAATTTATCGTCGAGAAGATCTAAACACCTGAGAAAAATTTAAGTACTCCCGGAGATCGATTTTAATAATTTAAAGATATTATATGTGTTTATAAACAAATTTAATTTACATTGGTCGAAGTATATTTTTTATATTAACTTATTTTATTTAATTATATACCAATGAAAAAATTTGTCTATAGACATTCAGTAAAACTTTTTGTGTTTATTTGAGAGTTGTGTTTATTTGACCAACGCAGCCTGATTTCACTACTGGAAGTACAAAAGCACATTGTATATTGTCAGAGCTGGTAAAATGGTAACTTTCGAAGTCCACTTAAGCCGTCATGAGATATTCATAGTTTTAACAAACCGTTAAAAATTTAAGGATACAATTTATATTCTTTGTATTAATAAACGTATTTGACGTCCTTTTGACTTTCTAACTGTAGTATATTATAAGATATCCAGTCATGTTACTATCGGATAATATTATTTCCTCGGATATTTCGAATAATTTTCACCTAAATTTGTTTTTTTCTTATATAATATTCAGATATTGTTATTTCTCCTAGTTATAATATTATTACTTTACGCCATAGATTTCTTTACGGTGATATATTCCATATATTCCAGAGTACACAAATCAAATAAAGGCCCGTTTACCCTTTTTTTTTTTATATACACGACTCGTTATTGTTGCTTGCACGATACCGCTATACAGATAATATTATTAAAACTATATAATATCTGGGGATTGATCTGTCTTTTATACAGAGCTAACCGAATTTATGAATCAGAAGAAACTCGACCCGAGGGGCGTGTATTTTTTTTTTTTTGAAACGTAATTATTATTATATTCTCCTGCGTCCTCGTCGTTTCGCTATATAATAAAACCAGTTTATTGTTTTTTTAACACGGTTTATACATATTATAATATAATACTATGTGTACGAGAGTACATATAGGTATGAGGCGAAATTTTCGAAAAAAAAAAAAAAAACATAACAAATTGACTCATCACGGAAAGATAACACACACACGCACACACATATTAAGATTCTTCGTTACCTATACCTAAGTAATAAATTATAAAAACCAAACAAGAATAAGAATAATAATAATAATATTATTATTATTATATTTTGAAAACGTTTTTTTTTTTTTTAATTTATGATTTACTTATAGCGGTTGGTATCCGACATTCTACTCAACTTCACAGCGTAAAAACAATTATGTTTAACGAAAGATCCGTTTAAAATTTAATTTAATAGATAAAATACTCGTATATTTTATAATTTGTTTTTATTTTTAATAGAATTGCAGTTTTTACATTGTATTTATATGTATTTTAAAGAAATCAAATAGTCGAAAATTCGCTTTTGCATTAAGGATCTTCGTCACAATTATTATTTATAATGTTTTTGTTTTCCCTGTTTGTTTTGTACGTAATATATTACCAAAGTCATTTCGGAGTTCAACGGTTGTGACTCTGGTTGTAGAGTTTAGGAAAACGAGATGAGCTATAATACATTTCATAAACAACTGTATTCACTACGAATAGTTTATTTAATAGTTTAATTTTTATCAAAATATGCGTATTTTAATTTTCTTTAAAACCTATAACCATAACCATTAATTTACTTATTAAGACATGGAAATATTTTTAAAAAAATCATTCGTAAAGTCCATCATAGTAAATATTATACAGTTCTTTATAAAATATATTACAATGAATTGTCCTAAACTCTTCAACCAGAAAATCGCAACCGCGATAATGAGAAAATGCGATCTATATATCATGGTATATGTGAAAGATGCAAATAAAATAAAGGTTATAGTGAAAATCTGGCTTAAGCTATAAGGTTTTCGTTTTTAAAAAAAAAAAAAAAAATATCAAAAATGTTATTAATTCGCTTTGTTCAGAATCTATAAAATAACGTTTTTAAAAAACAAAAATCACGAAAAAGAAATTCGTCCGTCTATATAAAGATAGAAAGTATAAACTAACGCGATGTAGGAATTTTTTAAACTATCTTTTACTCGAGTAAAAATAAAATAAATACTTTTAGTAAATTAATAATATGTATATAGTTACCCGAAATCAGGTTAGTGTATTATATTGGGCGATGCGGACTTAAAAGGATGAAAAAATTACGGTAGACCTACTACAATGCAAACAATAATAACGAAACCCGGTTTTGGCCAGTGTTAGTTAAAAAAAAAAAAGTAAGAAAATCGGTCTAACCAAAAACGAAATTGTAAACTAGAATAATGAACGGACGGTAAAGACCTGCGGAACAAAAACCGGATTCGAGTCGACGATTTCGAGTGTAAATTTAAAAATATAATTATTATTCTACTACCCGTAACTATGAAAGAAAAATCAGCGGATCGTGCACGCATCGTGTTCATCAACCAGTATCGTAGCCAGAAAAAAAAATTTGGAGGGAGGGGTACTATTATTTTGTTTGTTTATAATCTATTATTTTTTATAATGATAAAATACACCGAAACCGTATAAAATAACCAATAAAACAAACGATTTCGGATATGGGGCACGCGGCCCTCCCTGGCTACGGCACTGACGTTGACATATATTATTTTGAAAATAAAAATGAGGGGAGGGGCGCAAGTGATAGTAATATTATTTATTTACCTCATGAGTGGGAAATCAGTGGTCGCGGTCACAACACACGGATATATGTGCCTATCGAATCCGCGGGAGAAAAGACGCACTTGGCATTATACTTTTGTGTGTTTTATTTTTCGAAAACCGAAAGTAAAAAAAAAAAATTAAAAACGCGTTTCTCGCGTGTCCCGCAAAGTACGGAATAAAGATTTTTTTCGTTTCTGTAAACACGACAATAAATAAATAAAAAAAAAAAAACCCGCGAGACTAGACCGACGACGAGCTACGCGCGCACTGCCGACTGGGGAAAGGGCGGCCGACACGACGCGGCGGTGTAATCGAGACTGGAGTGCGTCGCTCACTGGTTGCGAGGTCCGGACGGCGCGGCGGCAGCGGCGGCGGCACAACCCTCACCGCGGCCGCCCGATACCGGGGGGGGAGTGGCCATCCGTGCGATAATAATAATTATTGTAATTATCATTATCGGGTCCTTCTCTTACATTATACTTATAACCGTTTCCGCCGGGTCCGATGCACACCGTTACAATGCAGGCGTGTTTTGGCGGATGCGGTGTTATTGAGCAATCAGCAAGTCACCGCAGTCCGGCGAACATACCGTTTTGGCGATGTTATTGCTAACGGGCGATAAGAAGTGTGATAATGAGTTTCGATTCGCCGTTTAGTTCGGCGCTCACGGGTCTTATCATCCGCTTGTGTACAGTGATAATTGCTTATCCTAACTGTGCAATCACGGTCTTGATCACCGCGGTTGCAATGGTAAAACGACCGGTTCAAACGGCTGTCGCGGTATAAAAGTATACGATGAGACTCACGGGCTTCGCATTTAATGGCTGCCGTCTGAATTTCAGCAACATTATAGACAGTACATCGCAGTTAGCTATTATCCGTATAGCTGTGGCTGCAATAATGTCGTTTGATAACTGTACGCACTTTTCGACAACCGCGTAGCCGTAGAACCAGCAAACAATTAAAAAATACGTTTACTGGCGGCAGTCTTCGGTTACTGCAGGTTGTCCGTTGGTAAAACAATGTACCTAACTATACGGTTAACTAGTATTTAAAAGTGTATTGACTACAGTTAATAACAACATTATTAATAACCCGGCTACATAAATAATTTTTAAAAATTTAAGATTTCAAAAGAAAAAAAAATGTTGAAATAATATTATTTGATGAAAATTAATCTAAACTAAGATACATATTAGTTTACGTTGATCATGGAATACTAATCTTTGCTTTATTTCTTGATAGTATTAACTCTACAAATAGCAATATTATATTGTTTGTTTCAATTCATTTTTACGTTCTTAACGAAATGAGGAATATATTTGTTTTGCTATGATGTTTATTTTTGATTTGTTTTCCAGGTCTGTGAACAAATTGTCTACTAGAAATGTTGCTTCAATAATCAATTTTTCTTTTTTTGTTGGTTTCTGGTAGAAAATGTTGTTTAGTTAGTACATCGGGTAGGTCATGTTTTGGTTTTCCTTGTAGTTTTATTAACTATTTTGGAAAATAATGCATGAAAAACGGTAAAATGTATACAATACGTACGGTTTCTCAATAACAGTTATATTTTTTCTAACCGAATAATTCGTGTGCCATTTAAAAACATATTTTATTTCATTTTTTCATACACCCCATTTCAGAACTCGTAAACATAATATAATGGAAATGGTTCATCGGTTCAGATTTACAACCTATAGTAATATTATTATATAATAATATGTTATTGGTTTTGAACAGTATTTTCAAAATTGATAAATTCATAACGGGTATTGCTAGAAAAAGACCAGGGTGGGAGGATAAATGCACATTATCATTACATTTTATTATCGAATAATATTGAACAATAATAAATCCTTTAAGATATTATACAAAATTATAATTATTTTTTTTTTATTATAATCCGTGACAATCAATGTACATAAAGTATAATATTCAATTCATACATTGTATCGTTGGAAATTAATATTATTGAACTTTTTAATATAACTGATGATAGCTTTTAAAAATCGAAATAATGTATTGAATTATTTAAGCGCTTTTTTGTATTTTTCACGAAATTTATAGCGGTTAAAATTTTGTTACATTTATTAAAAATTTGTTTCCAAGTGATTTATCAACAATGATGCTAAATTATGTGACATTAATTGCCATCCGCATTTTATATGATTGCGGTAAGATTTGTTTACTATACATTATTGAAAGAATGTGATTACCGGCTGTATTATCATTATTTTCTATAGAAAAATCCGAAATATTAAAAATTAAACAAAATTGAAATTTATAAACTCAAAAATATACAAATATATTACTAATTAATTTAGAAGTATTGTCCGTGTTATTATCATTAGTATTTTTATTTTTATAATCATGGTAATATAAACTTACCATATTACGAAAAAGCGTTAAGTAGAACAAACATTCATACATAAGTACAAATTCGAAAAAATGAACGAATATTATAACTTTATTTTTCATTTTTTTTTAATGTAATTGGAATTATTATTTAATATGTTTTTACGATTTTTTTTTTTTATCGGTATACCGTATATGACACGTTAATTAGTTTTCATTCATTTATATCATGCCTAAATTGTATTACACTTGAATACTATAATAGAGACATAGAGTCATAGAGCCATTTAAAATATATCACGGTAAACAGGTGAATGATGATGGCTGCAGATAAGATAGTATCGAAAAAAACAAATGACAATGCGTGTTGAATAAATAATGAGACACATTGTTATATTGAATATTCCAAGCATATACTATTATACCTCCTATTCGGCCGAATACAATAATAGAAACAAAAGACTGGCTAGTGATAGTATAGTATGATTTTTTACACATCTAAATATCGTATTAAATATAGATAACTTAAGTATTGTGATTAAATATTAATTTATACAATTTTATTTTTTTTATAAAATTATGTAAATATTGTTTGTTCTGTTTACAGTAATTGTAAAGAATGACTTATTCAATGTCACTACACAAAAAAATCTATTGATGTCGGATACTACCCCTAAATGCAATGATTGGGAACCATGCTTCTGGTCAAAAACTTGTTTATAGGCAAAAAAAAACCAATTTATATTTTTCGATTGCAATGGGACAAATAACGAAAAAATGTACTAATACAAAACGAATTTGACCACGTTTAATTTTGTATTTTTTTTTTTTTTTTAACTTCTTAACTTTATCTAACCGAGCGATTTTTTTTTTTGTTTAATGTATCTACTTTAGAAAAAAAAAAAAATATAGTCGTTTTAATACGTCGATCTTAAATTGATAAGTGTCATTATGACTTAATTTGTATAGAAATCCAATCCAGACTGGTTAGTTTATTCGATTTTAGATCCACAAAATAATGTTTCCCTCCACTCCGATCATACTGGTTAGACCTCAACTCATATTTTATGTTTATTATTGGCTAGGTTATGTACACACGTTCCCTGCATATTTATTTTTTTTATAATATATTCACGGATATCATTCGAATTCTTGTGAATAATCGAACTGATGTGTACATATTATAACTTATTGATCGAATTATAAAGAAATATGCAACTATCAATTATTTATACATACCTACATAACTGTAGTTTTGAAAATACGTTTCACATTTTCGGTAGATTAAAAAAAAAAACATACTATTATAATAATATATTAACTAGGTATACCTATAATGTAAAAAAAAAAAAATATCGATCGATTATTTCTTCTCACAAAGTAATATTATTACGAAACAAATAATGAAGACATAACATCCTATATAATTTATGTTAATTTTTTAATGATATATATTTTATATATACATATATATGTTTTTTTTAGAATAGGTTATAATAAGGTTTAATCGCGTTTAATCGGGTTTATGCAAATAATATAAATATCTCAAGTTTCTCGTACTTTTAACATGTATAACAACGATTGTTTAAATTTACATGCACGGTGCTTGTAGGTATTTACGTCAAATTGTACAACGATAAAAGAAGGGAAAAAATAATTATTAGTAATTTGTCTTTTCCGTATCTGGAAGCAGAATTACCATATATTTACCATACATAATTGTGTTGAAGTACATTAGACATCATAGACGGGTTGTTAGTTTTAGAAGAAAATCAAACAGCCATGGGCTGCTCCTATAATATGTATTATATCCAAGTACGTATAGTTCGTGTATTAAATGTCTCCGCCCCAAATGTCAATCATGTGAAAATATTGTATAGTACCTACATATATTACGTGTATCATATGCATTATTCAAATATATTATTATAATAATTTTCTTGTATTGTGTATATTGAAATTAAAAAGTTGAAAAATATCATAGCAAACTATATATTTTCGTTAATTTAAACAGAATTAAGTGACAAAAGTTTATATATTTTGATTGAAATTATAATTTTTTTTAAAATTCCAAAATTATATACAAAAGATTTACTTTTAAGCTGCGATCACACGATAGTTATCACGTGATAGTTTCTATCACAAAAATAAAACCATTATTGCAAAAATGTATACCATCACTAATAGTGATAATATAGTGATTCACTATATTATTATATGTGTTTACACGACAATTCCAGACGTATTAGTATAAAGCTATAGAGGTAATTATTATTACTTTTAAGAATATTATCTGAAAATATTTAGTTAGTTATTATTTAAGTAAATAATATAGTGTATAGTACAATCATAGTTATTTAAATTGATAAAATATGTACTAATTTAGAAGATTTCGTGTTCGTTTTCATGAATGTTTCACATGATGGTGAATAATATAAACAATGAACCATGATAGTATTAATGATAGTTACTATCATTATCGTAATAGAATTAAAAACTTACTTGCAGGTATGGTGGTAATAACTTTCATATTGTTCACACGGTGACAGTAAATCGTACAACTCGCACGATCACGGCTATCATGAAAGCAATTATCACATTTAATCATCATTATGTGACTGTGACTTAAGAAATAATAATACGTTCACTAATATTTTTATTTACACGGCTACGGTTAAATGAATAATTATATAAATAAAAATGAGTTTATTAAATTAATATTTCAAATGCATCAACACATAAAAAAAAAAAAAAAACACGGTAAAAAATAAATGTTAGATTTTTGGGACGATGACGAGACACGATAGAAAATGATCGGTTAATAGGTACCTGTCGGGAATTCTATAATACTCTATACTTCATAAGGTGGTTTACCTACCTATATATATAATTTTCTATTTCATTTTACTCGTGCATTTATGGTCAAGCGAAGAAGGTCGTTTTAATTAAAAATTCTTCGGACACTACGTGCAAGAAAGACATTATATAGGTAGGTACAGAAATAAAAATTAATATTTGTTTTCGACGGAAGTATAGTGAGAAGGTACTACGAGTATATTGTGTTATTTTATTCCACAGACATTGTAAAGTAAATATGTGTACATAGATAAACGGAAACGTAACTGTCACATAAATGATGATACCGAAAATATAAGTTTTTACTTTTTTTATACAACGTTTTTTCCTAAGAGGGGAAGAAAGGAAACCCATTACACTTACGTTGTCTACAAACAACGGTATGTTTTAAAACTATATAACTTATCATTTGTCTAATATTTATATCAAATATATTATTTTATTCGCCATTTTGTTATTATAATATAACTTTTGCATTCTGAGAGGAATATACTTAGCGGCGGAATTATTACTGTGATGTAATAATTGTATATTAATGTATATGTATATTAATTAATTGTCTCGAAAAACAATTTTTAGAACACAACACATAATTTAAAAAATCCATACAGTAACTTCATTATATAATATATGCATACAAAATAATATGTTATGTTATTTTCCAAAAGCTCCAATATTCAATATGCATAGATTTTATTTTTGAATTTTAACGCCAAAACAGGCGATTGTGGCATGTTGAACTTAGGACTAAACTAGACTAAAGTGGGAAGAGGTACAACAGCAAAATAACTTAAATATATGTGAAAAAGGTAGTAGTAGCATAAAGCTATAAGGTTAGATATAAGCAGTATTAAGAAGACGTGAAGAACAATATGGGAGGTGATCCAAAAGAGATGTAGTGGTGAGGCAAGTGGAACAGAGAATAGGATCTAATGGAGTAAAAAGGAACTTGGAAAGAAATTACTGATAAATTATCTGATGCGTCGACTGTACCGTCAAAAAGAGGTGAGATAAAGGGAAATATCAGCTATAACCCGATGGCAATGAAGAGTAGGTATGTTAAGAGTAGAACGGATTAGTATTAACTCAAAAAACATAAGACAAAAGTTTGTTTTGTAAGGGCTTAATGTGAAGTTTGTCACACGCAAAATATCTCAAAAATTATCAAAAACTAAATAAACTTTTATTAGATTTAAATATGACTAACGATGATATTTTTAATCTGTAGAGCTTCATTCAGGATACCTTATTAATTACCTATAGTTTGTATTTTTTTTTAAATAAAATTAAATGACAATACGCAGTATTGAATTGACGCGAATCATCTGATAAAACAAAGTGTGGTAAGTACTATAACATTTTGATCATGATTAAATCAAATTTACTAATATAATTATTATTCGCCTGAAATCGTATAGAGTTTATACGATATAAATAATATTAACTATATTAAAAATATCTCACTTTTTGGGTAGAAGTTCCAAAATACCAAAATGAATATTCACTCACCTAGAAAAAAAAAACAATGTTAAATATATTTTTTTATAGATAACAGAATAAATATTTAAAATTAAAAATTTAGATTCTGAGCAAAAGGAGGAATGCATTGGTTTTACTATGAAGTGTGTGTGTGTTTTTTGTTTCTGTATAAACAACTTTTCTACCAGAAATTTTGCTCCATTCAAAAACTTTAATGGACTTTTTTTGTACAATTTTAGATCTGATATAGTTAATAGGAAAAACTGGAAATTTATAGATTTCTGAGTTACTTTGACAACAAGAGTAAAATACGACTAATTATCCTCTAAACATAATTGTTTTTCCTCCATAGCAATATGGTTTATTATTTCATACAGATGGTATTAATTATAACTTCCTTCTTAAAACCCTAACATTGATAGAGACGTATCATAAAGATGCACAATATTTATTTATTTATTTTTTTTTTTTTAATAATATACCTGTATAATATTCATAATCATAATTCTTTTGGCCTAAGGAAAGTATTAATAAAATTCAAATGAATATCTACAATTCTAAAATGAATATCGGATGAATGTATAATATAGGTATACACTATTTTAGTTTTTATTCAATCATTTAAGGCAAGATAATTTGTTTTAAAATCTCTTTGGTACTGTTGATTTTTAGGTGAGTTTTTGACACAAAAAAAAACCAAACAGAATCCTAAATTGGCTACATGTAAACTCCTACAAAAATGACATTTTTACCTGAATTTAAAACATAGTGTAAACTCTTACACAACCCCTTTTTACTTGTCAAAAATAGATGGTGTGATGTCCTACACGGACCTTTTTTTACATTTTTACCTTACAAAAATAAATGGTGTAATCTCCTCTTACACAGACCTTTTTATATTTTAGATTCTGAGTGTGGCGAAGAGTGAATATTGGTTTTACAATGATGTTTATTAGAGATAATTACACTTAGTGGGAAAAAAACGTATGGTTTTACGATTTTATTATTTTAATTGAACATGCACGATATTTTTTACCAGAAATAGTTCTCTAATCGAAAAATAACAAGAGACAATTTTTGTTGCATTTTGGATAAATATTCGTAGAAACTTACGAATGGAAAATAAAATTTAGTAAGCATATTACTATAAGGCATCGTATTAAAAATTCTCGAACATTTCGATAACGTCTACGCTATTTTCGTAAATTAGAAAAACAACTATCTCTACCTCTTATTTTTGTAGTTTATGACTGATTTTTATTTATTTGAATAACTAAAATAAAAATTATATTATAATATTTTGCTTTTGATTTTTATAGTTTATGACTGATTTTTACTTATTTTAAAATACCTTATTTTACTTTATACAACTTTACAACTATCTAGTGTAGGAGTTAACAATATCTGTTATATAGAGTTAACACTATATTTTATAGGAGTTAACAATATGTCAATGTAGGTGATTACCTACTTCTGTAAAAGTTTACCATCCCCCTAAATTATTACCGTCCTAGACTGCTGGTCTTCCTGATATAAATCGTAATGGTATTATGATATTATATAATATGATTGTTGTTCAAACAAATACTTATATGTTGGTCATAGAGAAGCCATGCGGGTCAGTTGTGATTTTGCAACAAATTATCAAATTAAAAATTAAACTTTTCCATCGAAAAAAAAAAAAAAAGAAGAATAACGTAGAGATACCACATTTTTTGTAAAGTTATTATTTACACTATAGTTGATGTGGCGCCAGTAGGCCTAACGCAATTATACTTTATTTTCCTTGTTCCTCGTATTTTAGCATTTCATTGATATAATATGATGTTATAAATGCTTCCAATTTCCTTTTTTTACGATTGGGGAACCCAATTAAAATTGCCCTGCACTAACTACATGGTATAATATAACCAACTGTAATATTTATTACATTCTGTCACATAAGTACTACATTTATTTCTGGAATATTATTTAAAATACTTATAGTTTTTCATTGTTTATAGTTTATTGTTATATCTTATAATTTATATATGTTATTGATACTAATTTTACTGTTCTCCACCAGTTTTAACTTATATATTATTTTATTTAATTAATTTACTTAAATGTAAAGGGCAAATCCCGTATATGATTATAAAATAAAAACAATTATACGTTTTTTTTAAAAAAATAAGTAATATAAAATATTGTTAGTTGAATGTTTATTTTTAATTATTTTATTACATGGAATAAATGTTAAGGTTTATTTTATGAAAAACCTGAATAAAAAATACGGACGTACTTATCTTCAATATTATAATTGATATTATAATATTACAATAATATTATAATACAAAAGGAAAATCAATATCTAAAATAAAACTCCAAATTTTTCTTTATACCATTCATTTTTATGACGTCCTATAAATTCATGATACTTTGGATACCTTTGCCCCATTTGCTTCTCCCCCCCTCCTTTCCTTTAGGACGGCTATGAATTTATAATAATATATATTTTCTATTTGACAATACTGTGGATAATTAGGTATAAAGTTAACGTCGTACAACGTAGAAATAAAAAACACGTAACGAAAGGTATTATGCTTTTATTGTCAGTCGAGTAAAATAATAATAATTAGAGAGAAAGAAAGTGTTTTTTTTTTTTTATTTTATTTTTTTAGAAATCTATGCACGCGAATCGTTTCGATATAGAAGGCGGTTAACACGCAATGTGCAATATTGGCAACGTTTTAACTATAAATAAGTACGTGTATTGTCTCGCAAATAAATAAATTATAATTAATTATACTATTATTATGTTAACAATACATTTTTATTTTTATTTTTAATTTTAATTTTTTTTTTTTTATAATACGTATTTTTCCAGAGTATAACCCTGTAAAACTTTAATAAGGTACAATAAAAATAATACTCCAAAAATTATTAACATGAAGATTATTGATTATATAATAAGGTGTTGCTTTTAGGTTATCTCGTTATCTCTTATTATAATTATAACCTACTCGTTTTAAATTTCAACTAAACAAATTTTATTACCCTCGAAAAGTAATAAAATTATGATTAAATACAGTTTATATAATATATAATATCGAGATTTAAACGCCATTACTTTAATTTTATTGTTCCCTTTATTTTTTGTTAGTATTTTTCACGAATTTCAGAAAATATCTTCGTATTTCAAGATAACTCAAATGTACAACAACAAAAAAGTACTTATGTTTTTTATAGCTAAATATTTATGTTTCATTTCACGATAATTAAATATCTATTCTTCGAGGACTGTAACTATATACAGGTACATGATATTTATTAAAGTGAATTGATTACTCATAAAAAAAAAAAATTAAATAAATGAAAAGAAAAAACCAAATATAATTTAAAAATGAATAACAATTATAATTATAATAGTCTAAAATATAATATAGTTTAGATGAAATAGGTAATATATATATATACATACATACATAGTGAGCCGGAAAAAAAATCCAACTATTGAACAATTAATATGCAAAATATAATACACACCCTGTTACCTGTATTAGTTCATTGTGGGGTACACAAATGTATAAGTATAACAAATATTAACAGATGATTATTTATTCAAAATAATATGTTGTGCAACAAAACCATATTTCTATAATTAATTTCGATACAAATTTGGCAACACCGAGTTATAATATACCACGTATGTATATTATAATTGTTAAATCAAAGTTTTTAGTTAATTATAAAAAAATAATAATAAAAATGTTTTAATCACTTAGGTATGGGTTATTGGACGTTGTATATTTTAATTAATAATAGTGATAATTGCACACGTGCTCTTAATAATGTTGATTTTAACCAGATTTAACACAACTAAAATGTTAATATCAGTATGCACCTACTCTTAATTTATTATTTAGGTACAAATAAATTATAAAAATAAATACACTGTTTAAACCAACCTTACTAATTATTATTATTATTTGTAATTATAAATGTGTGTAAGTTGTGGTAGTGTTTCGACGCTGCCGCCCTATTTGAAAAGGTTAATTTTTGAATAATAATTTATGTTACGAGCTCAGTATAGCAGGTATTCAAAGTTAACGAGTTTCATAAATTGTATTATAATATTATAATCGATGTTTTAAAAATAATATTTTAACGCGGTTAAAACTTATTACATTATACCTACTTGGAATAGGTAAACACGAAATTAAAATAAACTCTTAGAAGAATTATGTACGTAAATTTAGATATAATTCACAGAAAGTAAACGATAAATAGGTATACGCCTCTATATAGTATAACCATCATTTATGAAAAATAAAAATTGCCTATAAATCAATCAGTTTTTTTAGAAATCCTTTAAACACAAATTAATTATCGCGTTGGTCTTACACAATATTGCATTTTAAACATACGGTTCGACTCGCGAGTCATGAACTGCAGCATAAATAATTGCACCTAATTAAGAATATATTATTATGTACGACTATAGGCAGAAATAATGCATTTTAACAGTCTATTTGTGGTTCCACAAGAAAGTATGTGACTGACATATTTAACAATAATTTTTATTAAAATAAGTTATAACTGCGGCGTGCAATGTATAGACCAATTTATTGGCAAACCAAAAAGCTTATAACTTAATTAATTTAATTAATTTAATCACACCCCCGGGATTTTAGGATATTATATATAAATACTGGTATTTAAGGACGGAGATATACAGAGTGTTGGTAGTATCACTAAAATAGAATGATAGGTACGTGTTAACATTTGAAAAATTCAACAGCTTTTAATAACAAGTATAAAACGAAGTATTTTGTTAAAATAAAAATTACTATAGAGTTCAAACTTCACTTACCTATATATATAGCCATTAATAAGGTATGTAATTTTGTTTGTTTTTACTATTTCTTGGCATTGTTAATTGTCACATTATTTTATCTCGAGTCAACAAAGTAAAAAACAACTGCAACGACTAGTAATTTTTTCGAATTTGTTTGCCTATTGGCAAAGCTATTGCTCAGCGTAACCATTATAATAATAAAAATATTATGACCCAAGACTAAATGCATTAAAAATAATCAAAACGAACAAATCATCTGTGTTGATAATGATGGAAATTAGCAAACATCATAATAACTATTATTTTCTTTTCAGACCGGCATTAAAATAAAACCACAAATGTAACGGATTCGTGAAAAACTGCAGAGAAAATAGTCTAGTGTAGAATTATTACATAAAAATTAAAATATAAAAATGCTTGATGGTAGAATGTAGTCAATTAATGTGATGCTTCTAAAAATACGATGTCGCTATATATTTCCAGTGTAAAAACTATTTATACATTAATAGTAGTCCCAACTGAAAAATATGCTTCGTGAAAGAACACGACACTTAATTAGATTTATGATACTCTACATTATATTATACAACGTGTTTAGTAGGTAACACAGAAAAAGTTATTCAAATTGTTCTGCAAAAAAAAAAATGCTGACTTTCGGCCAACAAATCAACTTTATATTCTCTAAATAATTAGTTATATAAACTATTAATATAAATGATAAAGTACATCGAAAATAATATATCACTTAGGAAACACAAATAAAAATGTAAATATCAAAACTGTTTTTCACAATACTTATAACATTGTATATTTGATAAAGAAGTTGATACTGCTCATGGGTCTCATGAGTAGGTCACTATTTCAGGTGGGTAATTGTCAGTTGAGAAGGTATAGGGTACACATATCTGATAACAAATGGACTGCGTTCTGAGAGAAAAAACTATAGGTATTCATGACGAGATAGAAAATGTGATCACAATGCTATAAAACAAAAATATACACCAATATAAATTGTCAATTTTATTCATGAAAGTTAATTTATCATATTATTTTCATTACATTATATTGCATATTGCGTCATTGAATTATATTATACACATTGGTTTTAATAGATAGGTACCTATCCGATTATTAACAACCGATATCTTAAAAACAGCAGTCATAACATTATGTTATACTAATTTTATACATTTAGATTGTATACGTGCTGCAGGACAAAATAACATTTGTTGTCAACGAACGATCGAATTAGATTTCACTTAACAAAAATAATTTCAAATTTAATCAGAAAGTATCTATACCAAATACAAATTAGGTACATAAAAAAACCAACAAAATTAAAATGTCAATAAACAATTCAAAATGCTACAAATATCACAAAACCCGCGACTTCCTTTGTCAGTGGCTATATATGTTAATAGGATATCTTATCATTTTCGATCGGAGCAATATTTCTGGAATAAAACATAAAAAAAATGGAATCAGTAAAGCCACGATGCGGCGTGCCGTAAATATTTGCCGTTTTACCTACAATTTTCTTTCGGATTTATTTTCAATTATTTCGAAAACCGCTTGGAAAAGTTACTTCCATAATGCACCAACTAGACAAATTTCCTTTCGGAAAAGGTACTCTATATTTTTTTGAAAAGTTGTTTATAGAAAAAAAAAATATGTTACATTGTATAAAGTGAAAAAGATAACAAAGATATATTTGTCCTACTCAAAATTTAAAATATAACAGATTTTTTTTTTAAATTCATAATTGTAAGCTGTATAATGATATTAAGTGTCTATTATATTACAATGTCGATAAGTTTAATATTAATATCACGTTAATTTTGTAACACTACCCTATCGTTAAAAAATAAATAGATTTGGATGATGATAAATTATAATTTTATCAAAGTTTAAATATAGCATACCTACTTAGCTTTGAAAAAAAAAATTATTTGGCTGACTAGGTTAAAATATTAATTATGAGTTTATGAGTTAATATAGTACACAGATAGTCCACGCATCTTAAGCTACCGTTACTAAATAGTAAACGGCAGATTAATAAGTTAAAAAGTGATTTTTTTTTCCCACAAAAATACAATTTTAATATCCCGTTATATTTACTGACTGCAGATTAATAAAAATGTAATTTTTAAACTGCATTTCAGTGCATCAATAAAATTCAATATTTTCAAAATATAAAAACAAATAGTCTATAAATAAGAATAAATCGGAAAAAAATAGAAGCTTCTAATATATGAACGGCAGTTATTGACTATAGACTGAGAATAATATTATCATTTCTAGCTGTTGTATTTTTTTTTTCTTGTGACACTTGGCGTTACGCCAAAGAAGGAGTGACAAATTAACATAGTTTGTTATTTCACGGAAACAATAACTTTCAGACACACTCCGTGTGCAATTTTTTTTTTATTGTCTTTTGAGAACGTACGTATACGCGAATTTCCGTATTAAGTGCACCATTTACCGGTGAAATGTATTCGCACGATAAATTACTTGATTAAAAAAAACCCAGTGATTTTTATTGGTTTTTTTTTTTTTTTTATAAATATTTGCAAAGTTTCAAACGGTGCCGGATGAACAATATAATAATATTACTATTATTGTGTAGCCGTTATGCATATTAACATTCTGGGATCCATTTCGGTATCTGATTGGTCAATTGCTCGTGTTTTATCTTGCGAGTACGGAAATGTCAAATTGGGTATGTTGCTGTTATTATTTTAATAGTAGTAAAATTGCTTCGCCTTAAGGCCATTCGCCATTTCCATTCAATGTCTCAAAACTTATATAAAAAATAACTCTGGATTTGTTATGCAACACCACCGTGAGTATAGGTTATCGAAGAAAACTTATAAAACAAATAAAACATATTTTGATCATGAATAATCTATGTCATCATATTGAACCAGAGTCGCTTTCTATAGGTGCTGAAATGGATAGCAGAATGCTTATATGCAACCGGGGTTATATCATAATTAATTTTTAGACGTAGGTAATCCGAAAACACTGTTGGCGGATATACCTAATAATTTCGATTTAATTGATTTTTAACGTTTTTCGCAGTAATTATATATCAAAGAGCAATTACACCCACGTATGTTCCTATAATATTCAATAATTTATTCATAATACTAAAATATAGTTACTTTTGATTTTCATCGAAAACAATGCATAAAAACAATATCGTTTTGTTCAAAATGCATTACATGAATATATCCGGGGACGCTTTGTGAGCCTTATTGTCAGTAAATATTAGCCAAATATTTTGAAAATAACACAGTTAATAATATACATAAATATAAACGATCAAATCTTGTTTATATGCATCCATTAAATCGAATTAATTTGATTGGTTTTGAATCAATTCGAATTAGGGTACAAGTACACATACACGTCTAAAACCGTATTAATATAATACACTGCCATCAAACCAATTTACGTTGTAACATTTACATGCACAGTTTAAACCGATTTACTTTAATTCGATTTTTTAATGTAATAAAATAATGAATATTATTACAATTTCAATTCTTCAAAAACTGATAATGTTTATTATTATACCTTATTGCAAGTACCTACCGCAATCCTGAATAGGTTGTTGTATAGTGTGACCCGTTTACAATTTACATGCATTTTGTACTTTCGTAGTTATTTCCAATGCGTATTTTAAATGCGATTTAACTAAATCGTTTTGGTCAAACTGAATTTAAATTATACCGTTTTAATAGCCATTTACATGCATTTAACTCTGGAGTTAACTAATTAGAATTGAGTCAAAGGGGTTTTAGTTATGCATGTAACCGTAGTAAAAATTAGTAAACTAGGCAGATGGTATCATTAATATTATTATATTCTGTTAGTTGTATTTAAGTTTCAGTTATCAATAACTATTCTAAAAACTCACAAATATTTAGTGTAAATATTTTTCCGAAACCGTCCAATACTAAACATTTTTAACGAAATTTATTTTAAGATTTTGAAAAATGGCATGTACAATAAACTGAATATGTATACTATCATTGTAATAAGAAAATTGTAAATGAGACGACTTCACACTCGCATCATATGACCAGCCACCAAGGATAAATTATGTAAAAGGTATTGGATAAAATAGTTTTCTTTTTTTTATTTTCTAGTTTCTAAGCCTCTAAAAACCACCATATCATATCTCATATCTAATTCCTCCATCCATTGGCATATTATTATTTATAGAAAATGTTTCTATTACACTTCCCAATCTCATCGTTCTGGGTATTTCTTTATAGATATTTTCATGTGGATTCTGCTCAGTCATCGATTTTTTTTATCTTAATTTGATTAAAACGAGCATATGATAATCGAACATCCAAGCACTAGTAAAATAATTTGGTTGAATCTATTTGTTCTATTATCTGAAGCGTTTACAGTATTTCTAGTAAAATAACTAATAATTTGTTTTATAATATCCTGGGCTTAGTTGTAAATGTATGGAAACCGAATAATAAAATTATACGAACACTAAAAATAATAATAAAACCCCCAATAAAACGGATGCTAAACGGATTCGATTAGGACGGTTCAAACAAAAGGCTGCAATGATGTAGATATGTAATAATATTAAAACCTGCAATTAACATAATATTGAACCGTACCCGAAAACTCGGGAAACCAAACCATTTGATTATAGAAACCGTATATTTGTAATTAAATTTTATTTCCAAAGGATTATACTATTATAGCAGTTTTAATAAGTTTAAATTTGTATCGAAACTATAGCCACGCGTGGTAAAAACAGTGAAATTATTATGCACCAATCGAATTGTATTTATTTACTAAATATATTATTAATTTCACCCTCAGGTGGATATGATTTACATTTAACTATTAGGTGTAAAATATCATGGTTTTGACCTAATCTATAACCTAACCTTGAGTCGGGTTTAAAAAGAGAAATCAATCGGTGCAACTCCTTTGCGAACATCTAAAACGTTTTACCTGCAATTCGATGACTCGTTTAAGCATATTAAAAATAAAAGTTTTTGAATAGCACGTATGTATATTTCGCATGTGTGAAACCCAAACAGTTAATGTTGAGTAAGGTTCGAATCCAACATTTTGTAAACAAATTATTTGCATTTTTCTTATGGTTTCTTATGGTCTACGCATTTCTCGCATACTGAGGTTTATATTTAGGACACTATCTTTCTTGCATTAGTATCATGTTTGGGTTCACTGTTCAGGTTGGTAAACTGCTATTCCTTCCTTCCCCCGTAGGGTGTGACGAAGCCGGTAAAGGTAGCGAGCCGTCCTCTGCTCACGTACATAATGATTACACGTTTTAATTTAACGGATGAATCGTAAAAAGGTAAATAGGTGCAAAATAGTTGTACTTACCCATAGTAGTTAATCCTAAAAACCAATGATGCGCAAACAAATTATAAAAAATCGGTAAATGTGTGCAAACAAATTTTACTCAAAATCAATTATATACGGAAAATCGTACCTACCGATTAGTCATTGTTCAACTCAGTTAATCTAACTTAACCTAATTTAACTTTTTTCTTTCTCTTTGAACCGACAACAAACTAACCTAACTGTTAAGAGTATTTTATATTTATATGTATTCGAATAAAAAAGTTTTGATTAAAAATGTAAATTGATAAATACGTGAGCACAGAGTTCGTGTTTGAAAAATATGTGCACACCACACACGTATAAATAATACATGTGAATTTACTATCCGTGTTTACGTGTTTTAGTGTTATTCGTGAATATATAATTATTAACGTAACTATGTAAAAGTACATGAAAAATAACGTGAAATACGTGATTACACGAATACAGTAAACGCTTAGGTACTGTAAACATGTGAATATACGTGTAAACTTAAATAGTTACACGTGTACACGGATTTGTTTAAGTCCGGGGTTTTATAAATTCGAATGTTAATTTCACGTGAATACGTGAATGATGCCCTCAAAAAGTAAAGGTAATAAAAAAACAAAACAACGGACAAAAAATTCGCACGTGGATGCAGCTGTGCAGCCACTGTTGTAGCTGGGAAGTTGGGAAGGTAGGATGCAGACGGGAACTTAATGTATATCTGTAAGCAACGATAAACCATTGCACGAAAAAATGATTCTGAGTGGATTTCAGTTGATAGTGTATTTTTGTGAACAATATATACGTCATGGTAAATTGAATACAACAATGAGCGTTTTCATGATAACAATAATTGTTTAAAAAGATTAAAAATAAAAACTTAATAATAACAAGAGTAAATAAAAACGATTGCCAATGACAACCTTTTTAATCTTTCAATTTTTTTAACCTAAAGAACTGGGTTCTTTCATAATTCCTCATTAGCTCAAATATTAATGAGAGTTTCAAAAAATGACTTCTCTGAAGTACCACGCAAGGAACATTTCATTTCGGAAAGGTGCTATACACTTGATAATCGAAGTAAAAAGAAAAAGGTAGAAAAAGTGTTCGCATAAAAAAAATTACAAATTACAAAAAAATGAACACCATTGTAAAACTAATACATTCCTTGTTTCGCTAATAATCCAAACATGTTTTAAAAATGATTATACTCGTCGATATGTTTTAGCCAAAAAAGTAAATAATATAAACATCACACGTATAAGCCACACGTATTATGTATTATGTATTTAAATAAATAATTTTTTTTTAAAGTTATACTAGATAGTAGTTTTACTATAGTTTTAATAAGCAATCATCGGGCAACGAAAAAAATATCTAAGTACAAAGTGAACGATTGAATTCATAGACACAGAACATATATAATGCTGCGAAAATTGTGGCCTTTGCAGGAGCCTGGTGGCCCGGGGGTCACGGTTCTCGCCGGACCCCATGCATTAATCCGGACTTTGCATGTGTTATTATTTATTCGAATGTACGGACAGATATCCCATTGCAAAGTCGGGGTTGTATGTACTATAAACTAATATAAGAGCGTGCAAACGCGTGGAACTATAGCGATACAGTATATTTACGCGAAAATCACAAACAGTACTCAGGTCAAGCACGGTTAAAATCGAATTTGCTACCGGCCGACGAGTGTCATTAAAAGGTTAGGCGCAGACGGAAGAGTTCTTCGCGTAAAATTATAGGCGTGTGCGTCGGAACCACGGTAGGACGCATAATATTCGTATCGATCAGCGACCATACTGTTATTCGGAGTGATTAATCTAGCATAGCTCGGAAAGTATTAACTTTTTCGGAAATTTATTTTCTAGGACATTTAAAAAACAAGCTACTCAATAATTTTATATAAATGTTGTTTTCCGACACCGTTATTTTTAGGGCTAAAACCACTACCTAATTTTGATTTTCAACTGGCAACCTACATTAAAAATTCCATAAATGGATGGAGTATTTTTTAAAATAAATTTTAGTGTTGAAATTGTCTGATTTCCGTCAATCCCTTGACGATATATTCCACTTTTAAGTTTGGGTTGGAAGTGAGTGGTGAAGCATCATTCGTGCGGTGATGGCGGTACGGCGCGCGGAGTGTTAATAATGCACCACCACTCTCCCCCAACCAAAACTTAAAAGTGGAACATCTCGTAAACGGATTGACGGAAATCAAAAATTTCAACACCGACATTTTTTTAGTGGTTTTACCTTCAAAAATAACGGTGAAAAAAAATAACATAAACATCGAATTGTAAAACAGCTTGTTTTTTTGAAATATTCTAGAAAACAAATTCCGGAAAAAAGTTTATACTTTCCGAGATAACGGGTGTCTCACGATAGATTGATCGCACTCTGTATGTTATGCGTAGCGTTATTATCGTTGTAACGAAAATTTTAAAATAAAAAGCTCCCCGGCTGGTACCGAACACACGCGCGCCCGCCTAAAAACAATTTCTGGCGCCGCGTACGTGCGCGCAATTTATTATTGTTATTATTATTTCGCGTTATATTTTATACGCGCGCGAATCCGACCACGGCTCACGGTCGTAAATCACGCGTACGCGACGACTAGACGACGACGCGGCGGCGGCGGCGGCGCGAATGACACATAACGTTATTATTGTTACTATTATTTATATTTTTTTTTTTTTAACATTATTATTATAAAATGTCCTGTCCGTCCGACACGCTGTCCCGTCAAGTAGTGTTTTCTGAAAAAAATTGCTGTCTAATCGGCGTAGTTTCACAGAATACTTATATTGGCCTTTTAGTAGGCATAGGAAAATAATCAAAACCTCCTGGCGATTTTATTATGTAAATAAAATTGTTCGGTCTTCGGTCGATATGATATGCTTAAATATTTAACACAAGATTCGTTATAAATTGTACATAAGTAGCCTAAACAGCAAATTTGAGTTAATGCATCAGTTTCTTTTTTTTTTTCATTCGCGTTTTAAAATCATATTTTGACGAAAAACGTAAAAATTACGGCATTTCAAAATATTTTTAACAAAACATCGCTCAGAATCGTGTTTCGTTACCAACGATTTATCGTTACGTACAGATATAAATAATATAACTTTATGTATCTTACCTTCTCAACTTCTCACCTATTTTTTTATTTTAAATTACCTAATTACAAAATGTCCCCGTTCGATCACGGACTGGATCCCAGTATCATATTACCTATCGTTCCCTACTTGAAACGAACCACCGATGCATGCAAATTGAACCCTTTGATTGGCCAAATATAAGGTTATTCAGGCACCTTAGGATATACAACTTCACTTCTATCAATATGTGATAAGCAATTTAAAAGCTAATCAGATAATTCCATTCGCTTATGTGACACGTTTCAAGCAGGGAGCGTAGCCCTGAACGTAGAATATACCTAGGTATAGGTTATACTTAATAGGTTTTTGAATTAGATTCATCAATATAATTGTTCTAATATTAGTGACTAAATTAAATTTGAAACAGTTATAATAATCATAGCTGCTATATCTAAAAAAAAAAAAAACACAGAATATTTTGATAACTTTACCGCGTACACCAATATATGTATTCGATGAACATATCAGGTCTCTAAGAATATTTTTTCATTGGATGATGATAAACAAATGTAATTTAAATTAATTTCAGAACCTGTTATTTTAAAAATATTTACGTTTAATCTAATTTTTTCCCTAGTTATCAATAAAATACAAGGAAAATAAAAAAACGACCTTTTTATGCACCGCAATGGTGGCATAAAGTTATCTACAATTATTGTATTTATGCTTATATTTGTATAGATTCTGTATAACATAAAAATAAATGGAAATTGCAGAAATGTAGAAGGGCGAAGGGCTTTCTTCGCGTTTCTTAATTTTAAATATTTTGGACTGGGCCCAATTTTTCTAAATCACGGACTATACTTATCTGTCTCATTTCGATCCTCCTTTCGAAAGAAGCAGCTTAATACGCAATTAAGGACGGGGTAAATCTTTTATACAGTAAACATAGATTTTATAACCTATTAGACCTATAACCTGCTCAGTAAATCTAAAATATAGTGGTAATATTTTCTTGCCCCTTTACTAGTTCAGTGACACTGACCGCGATTAGCGGAATGTTTTACAGTGTTTAAAAAAATCGCTGACGCAACACGCGATCCACAAGTCACGCATAGTATACCTTTTTACCTATTCTATTATACGATTCTTAAAACAATTTTCGTTACACATTTTTTTCCCTTTTCTTTACCTATAACTTTTAGGTGTCTTTCTAGCCCTCATTCTCTCCTTATACATACCTCTGCCTGAATTTAACAAAATTATTTGGTGCGAAATCGGTTAAATGAAGTGTATTAGACAGAATTGTAAATCACCGATCGGTTGCATACAAACCTATAAATACATTTTCACACCACCGGTGAAAAGTTTTAAAAATACAGGATGTAAGGTAATTTAATTTGCATACTGAAAGAAACAATAAATCAATGCAATCAAACAACGATTTTGAGAGGGGTAGTAAGTAAGTAGTATCTATTTATTATAATCATTTTTTTTCTTTGTACAACCAAGATTCCCCAGAAATCAACAAATACCGATATATCAACATTTGTTGTACCTACATTTGTTGAAATCGTATGAAACAACTATAGGGAATTGACAAAAAATAAAGTAACACCTGGTGGAAATTCTACATTTTCAAGGTAATGTTTGATACAATCGAAGCTTTGGATCTATTAAAAAGGTTAAGAAAAAACATTTTTTATCTTTTTCGTGGATTCAGGATTTTGTTTTTTGATTTTTTTTTGTGTTTTTCTTAACAAAAGGCAATTGTGGGTATAACTTTGTTAATTTTAGGTTTCACTTGATAGCACGGGTAAAAATTACGACTTATTAGTAGTAATAATACTCTGCCTAGAATCATTATTTTCGTTAGCAATAATTGCTTATAGTTATAAATTAAAATACACTAAATATCTTTCCTTCTAACTTTCCTCCGGGTGGCACATCAATCAGCAGTATCTATTAGCCTTTTTTTGTATATAATATATTATTTATATATATATATGTGTGTATACGTTATTAACTAATTGTTTTTAATTTTTAATTATTTTACATTGCAGCCGGCGAATATAATATTATTAAGTACGTTAGTACATAATACAGCGAATTCCGCTTAATGTGATCACTGGTTTATAAAATCGACCGTTTATTGGAATCAAAAATCAAAATCCCAAACCAAATCGTATGTTACTAATGTTAAATTAACCTTTAATTAGAATTACCAAGTACCGGATAATTGAATATATCGGATATTTTATGAACATTCTTATAGCTTTTATGGTGTTGTATGTTTCATTATATGTAGTTATGTGTATTTTTTTATTATAAGTTCCAAAAGTTACAGGTTGGTACAATTCACATACATTATTACGTATTCAATTTTAATTTTATGTATATTAATTGAATATGGATTTTAATTTCAGACTAATATGAAAATGAAATTAGTAGATACTCAAGTGGAATCGAAAATAGATACCTAGCTTCTTTATTTTATATTAAGTGTACGTATTAATATAGAATCAGAAAAAAAAAAAATGTTTTATAAAATTAACCGGTTAATCAAAATGGCCTGAACCGATATGATCACATTAAACGGAACTCACTGTATTATTATTATATTTGTATATAATCGAAATTCCCCGGTACAAAGCGCGAACAATTAGCAGTACAATGCAGATGGTCGGTCGACGTACCGAATAACATATAAGGACTTCAGGTACATTGTAATAATATGTAAGGCGGATGAAAAAACACGGGAGAAAAAAATGATAAAAAAATCTCAAACCGGATGCGTATTAAACCGTGTATATTATGCTCGGTTGACGGCAGTCTGTATGCTATAATAATGTCTAACACTACGGTATATTATAATATTACAAAGTGGCGGCGCCCTGCCCCGTACCGATGTGCGGTGTAGCACACATATGGTGTTTGGATTAGATTTAATCTGACCGTTTATATTAAAATAACGTGCGTCGGAGAAAATCATTGGCGTGTATAAAATATTTTATTATTATTATTATTATTATTATTATTATTATTATTATAACCTGCGCTCGACGATTATAATAACGAATTAAGAAAAAAAAAAAAAAATGTAAAAAACTGATCTCATAATAATCAGATGATATACGGGTGGTACGTACTTGTATATACGTACTAATATATACAGGGTGATATGTTTTCCTTCATTAACCGGCTGTGATCTTTTACGGAAATTTCGGGTATAAAAATGATTCGAAATTGTTCGTGCACATTATGACTATAAAGTGCGCCGAATCCAATAAAAAAAAATATATACGAGTATATATATACTTCAGTAAAATTCGGAAAAAAAATAAAACTAGAGTTTTAATTATTATTCAGTAGTCTAGAGTAATATCTCAAAAATAATCTAATATAACATAATAATGTTATATTATTTGTACGTGATGTAAAAATCATGGGAACTCGCATCATCGAAATTTTGATAGTCAAATAGCTTTTCTTCAATTCAAATAGGCTACTGTAAGTTTTATAGGAGTAAAAAAGTAGGCACGTAATAACAGTTATACGGAATTCATAAATATGTCCGTAAAAGAAAAACTCAAATGATACGTATTAAAACTCTCCATATTAGATAATTGTCGATTTATACGACTAAAGAATCACACTGTATAAACTAGTGCGAACGAACCAAAGAAAAAAAAAATCACAGGGAAGTGGTTAATTTAGCTATTATTGCTACACACGAAAAATTCGACCGGTGTGCTCTGTCGTGCGCATGTGTACGCTGCGAAAAATACTCGTATACACCGATCATTTTATACGTTGATACGAATCAGTCGGATTAATTTATTTTTTATTTTTTTTTTCCGACTATAATAATTATAATATTATAAAATTCACGCGAATGCACTTTAGCGCCGTGCGAATGCGCGTCAATACTTGATATGCAGGCGACAGGCTTAAAATCGATATTACCCATCCGTGAACGATTAAATAGTTTTTTAATTTAATTTATATTGAAATCGTCTCGTACGGTGTTATTTTATCGTTTTTTTTCAAAGTATACACCTATGTAAAGTATTATTTACCCACAATATAATAAAGTCATGAACTCATACGCGAGTCGTGCTAGGAACCACTGTATGTAAGTGCTGATTCGGTACAGAGCGGCCCGCACATATTATATTATAGAGTTTGTCAGAGTTCTACCGTTCAACTTTATTCATATTTACTATTTACACGACTACTACTCTAAAACTAACGTGTGGACAAATTTATTTTAAACTGCGGTAAACCGAAGTAAAGGCTGCAATCATAGAAAGTAGACGGCTCAAAACAGCTCGCCGACAAACTCGACCCAAGGTAAGACTAACCCAAAGAATCCGTGGTCACCGGAATTAACCGCGGTCACAACAATAATATACGTGCGTCTGTATGTAAAATTGGATTTTACTCCGATTTGTAATACACGAAAATCGTTGAAGTCTATTCATACAATATTTTTACGAGCCACTTTTTATGTATATTTTTTTTTTAATATAATTAAATCAAAGGAAAAATATGTACACAAGTAAGTTGATACGATGCAACATTATAAATACATGGATTTAACACAGAGAATAAAATTCTCACTTAGATATTTCAATCATGCTTGTGGTGAAGGTAGGGAATTGTGATTACAGACTATTATAAATAGTTTGTTACTATTATATGAAAACTAAATATTATCAAAATGTACAAACAATTATTTTAGATAACACTTAGATTATGATTGATAAGAGCAGCTTAATACAACTTACAATAAAATAAACCTAACGAGATTCATTTAGTTTTATTTACTTAAATAAATACATTAATACAAATAATAATAATTAAATAATTGCTATAATATATTATAATGTTAAATAACGACTTGCATATCAGTTTATTAATTTTTATAGTTAATAGGTGTGCACAGTTATGTATGATGCGCTAATATTTAACAATTTAAATTTTATAATAAGCGAATAAATACAGATTTTTAGTAAATCGTTCATTTTTATAAGTTACTTACTTAAACTATTATTATTATTATTATTATTAGGTATATATATATATATATTTTTTTTTTACTATATAACAAAAAAACGAAATGAATATGAAAATAAATCATATTTTACACATAATATTGTGTGCATACACTTTCACTTATATTAATTTTAGATCCCGAGTAAAGTTTACCGGGAGTGAATCCTAGTTTTACTAAAGTGTATTTACACCGCCTCTCCCAAATAAAAATTGGGGAATTTTCGGTTAGTAAAAAATGATGTACATTAAATACTATAAATGATTTGAATTTTTTGCCGGTAGTACTTTAGTTGAAATATTTTCCAAATCCTAAAAGTTATTAAAAACAATTTAAAAAAGAAGTTCAAGGATAATGGAGACGGGTGCAGCCATTAGCTGTTATAGGCAATTTAGTATATACCTGTAAGCAACGATAAACTATTGCTAACGAAAAAGCGATTCTGAGCGGAGTTCGGTTGATAGTGATGATTTATTAACAATATATATTAAGCGTCATTATTAAGCGTTTTTTTTTCAAAAATATGTTATATTATAGTAAAATAATGGAACAAGTTTTGTATATTTTTTTTAATAATATTTATTTAATCTTGTACAGATTTTCCCGGTTTTTAAAATTCGATGAGAAAACTCCTGAGAAAATCGAAAAATGACCTCTTTAAAATACCTACCTAGTCGGATTTACTTTTGAAAAAATTGCTGTCATTATAAATTGAAGTAAGATTTCCATTAGAAAACTTGTGCATAGATAAAACCAAAAAAAAAAAAAAAATAAATATCTTTGTAAAACCATAAATTTCTTCGTTCCGTGTAAACGAGAAGGAGAGTGGTGCGAGGAAATTTTGTTTCGCCCCGGAGCGTATAAATCCAGAATGCGCCACTGCGACTGCATCACGTGTGTCTATATCATCGTGGAAATACTAAACTGATTTATTTATATGCATGGCACTGAAGCATACGTATAGCTTCTACGCGTGCGTTTTATTTATTCTGAGCGAAGCGAGTAAAGCGAGTGTACTGGTATATTGGTTATATTATTTGTGTGTGTGTGTGTTTTTTTTTTTTTTCAGTATATAATATTATAAACTAAGTATAAGTATTGAGTGCTTACACGTTTAACCGGGACGAAGGATCGCTGTGAACGGAGATCCTTAATCATGTAATATTATGCTAAAGTGCACGACCTACAGTGTTTGACGAATAGTCAAAAGGAAAACGATTATTATAATCTTGAACGATTTCTAATAGCCATCACACAGTAAACGGACGTTAATCGCTCGCGGAGGCAAAAGGTCATGAATGGTCTCCTGCCGCTAAATGCATAATGCTGTACCTACATGCTATTATAACAACCGCCGGGTGCGTTCCGTCGAGCCGTTTTGTGTACCCGGGCGTGTAATAGGTTGTATTATTAATAATATTTCCAAAACGAAAAGTAAAAGTGCTCGCGTGCCTAATCGAAAAACGGCTGAATATATTTTGAAACGCGTCAACGAATAGCCGTACCTTACCTGACCTTACCGGATCGCCGCCATAAATATTATTCTGGCGTGCATCATTTCGAAAATAGCTACGCCCGTAAATAACCGAAAAAAGAACCAAACCACAATGTCAAAATTAGTACACCGCGTCCAAACAATACCAATATAATTCTTTGGTCCCGGGGAAGAAGAGCTCAAGTAAACTCTGTACCGTTTTCAATACGTACGAGTTCAATTTCGAAAATAAATACACTTGCACACAATCTAATACATAAATAAGTACGCTATAAACTCTGATTTTCAAAAGTACGTACGCTTATGCAATTTAGACTGAAAAATAATAAGAAAAAAATTATTAAAAAAAAAAACATTTGGCGAAAATTATTTTTCCTATAGCGAAATTTCGGAATAACTGCTCGTACGTAGTATTAAAAGATCATACGCAGCCACTAGTTTTCGAGGGTTTTTCAAAAACAATTATTATTGTTACGTTTAGAAAAAAAAAAAAAAAAAAATCATTCAAAATGGCCGGGTTTGAATATACAATAAGCTGATCGATTATAGTAGCGGAAAATTGTAACATATTTATCTCCAGAGTTTCACATATATTTACCAGGAGATTACCAATCCTTTCGAATCAACATAAATGAAAATAAACACCGTATTTCTTCTACAACCGGAGAACATTTAATCAGAAATCCAATAGTTTTTCGATAGCGTTTGTCGGATTTTTTTTTTTTTTTTTTTTTTCAAAAGTAATGATGATTTATCGTCAGTTTCTAGTGTTTCGGCGTTTAAACCGAATTACACCCGTATCCAATCGTCCCGTGGTGACGTTTTTTCGCTCGTAACTTCGTATAATTGGGACGAAAAACGGCTATTGTACAACTTAAATAAAAACCTTAAACAAACGTTTCATCCGAAAATCAACTGTTCGACCAGATTGTCGACAAATTATTCTGCTTGGCAACACTTTGTTTTGCACGGCACATTCTAGGTAAAAGTACTTGATTGAAAACTGTGAACATTGCATATTATTATGAACAGCATAACTCCCCATGTTGAAAATAATTTAAAATTTAATAATTGGACAAAACTAAGAATACAAATGTTCATTTGATTAATAATGCAGCGTACTATATAATAATATAATATTAGTTATTAAATGAATATAACAACGGTAATACGAACTTATTGCACGAAATTTATCTTATTATAATCATAAGACATTATGTCTTAAATGAATAAATCGGATATCAATAGCCCGGGCAACTTCGCAAGTGGGCGGGCCATTTTTGTAGGTAAAAATTTGGGAAGGTAATAGAGGGGAAATTTAATGTTTATATATAAGCAACGATAAATCATTGCATACGAAAAAACGATTCTGAGCGGAGTTCAGTTGATAGTGTTGCTTTCTCCACAATATTTATGTCTAATTATGGTAAAATAATTACATAGACAATAAATAGTTTCTTTAATAACATTTGTTTAAAATTGTAACTTTTTTCCCGTTTTTCCTACGTCTTTCCATAATATTTACTAGTTTTTCCCATTTGTTGAAACTCCTGGGAAAATCAAAAAATTACCTCTTTAAAGTACTTTTCCAGTTGGATTTTCTTTAAAACTTTAATACTTAAAAGTCGGAGTAAGATTTCTGGTAGTAAAATTTTTCACAAAAAATATTCATAATAATAATAATAATAAATATCATTGTAAAACCATAAGCTTATTCACTCCACTCAGAATATAAAATTATATTATTAATATTACTTTAAAAACTTAAAATTTACGATTTTCGAAGACATCAAATGAAAAATTAAAAAAAAAAAAATCAATCTGATCAATCTAAATTGTAGGTACCTACTGCTCATATTTAATTAGCCCATTTAGCAAGTTGAAGGAAGAAACTTTTACAGTACTTATATTGTGTTACTGGCCTAACATGTATTTCGCGAAAAGAAATAACACAATTTTGTTTGTCTAAAGATAATGGTTTCCTCAGTTAAAAAAAAAAAACAAAAAACAAAATGCCTATTGACGTGGAAAATGTGTTTAGTTTACTCGGTTTCGGATAGTAATGGTCATAACTTATATAGGCCGGGAGTCATAACCAATGTTTTTATAAAATACATCGATATAATATAATATTATGTTATTAGAACTAAAACCAATTTTATTGACTTTAGAAATTCTTCAACGGAAATCTAGCGGAAGGCCATAATATAAATAATAGGTAATATTTCATAATATATGAAGGAAACTATTGGTTTGGATAAATATTGTCTATTTGAGTTTTAGTCATTTTATTAGATAAAAATAAATTACATTAAATCGTGTCAAATGTTTTGGAAATAAAATGAAAAGGACTCTTTATTATACCTCTTGGGCATAAATTCCCGGTCGTTCACTTCGGCACAATAATATTATGATAAAAGTTTTATATTACGGCAGCGCGATCTAGTTTTATATTTAATAGATAGTAGAAGCGATATCGTGTCGGAATAATGTCGCCATCTGTACGTTGAAAAAACATCTAACAGTGAAATTTTAATAACTATATACCGAATTTTTACACCAATATTATTCGTTACGTCTAAACTCAGAAAATATTTCCGAAGAAAATAAAACTGTTTTAAAATGTTGATTTCTTAAAAATTAAACGATACCACTGTATAATTTACATTTTAGATTCTATGTAAAGCGACAAATCTAACAATTTTCGGTATAATTTTTGTTTATTTCTGGGTTAGAAGTTAAAAATCCAACAAGTAAAAATATGCGACTTAATACGCTGTTCAGAA